GCTGATAAAATATTTGATTATATCCCTTAATATATTCTTTACAAAAAAAAGAGATATCCCACAAAAAACAGTTTCACTGTAAACCGTCGCGCCAAGTACACGTCCAACTATTGTTACAAACCTTGATAATTCAATTTTTACAAAAAATTATTAAATCGAAAAAAAAAATCCAAGTACAAAAAATTTTGTAGATTAAAAAAACGCTAAAGACAGTAAATATTAAGGAAAAAAATTGAATGTACTTGGTGTGCATTATAATCGAATGATTCACACTAAGGACATTTAATTTTTTAATTATTAAGCTGATTTTTTAATTATTAAGCTAATTATTTAATTATTAGGCTGCATTTCTTTAAATACAAAATTAAGAAATGACCTTGCATCTTGAGAACTATTTTTTAATACCTTTATCCAATTCAAGTAGTATAATTTAATTTTAGTCAGACGTGACATATGCACGTGATTAATTTTTCTGAAAATCTTCCGTCTAATACACTCTTAGAAGGATTTATCAACTATTAATAGTTTCATTAATTCCAAGACAATTATTTAATTTATTAAAGTTTAATAAATATTTATTTTAAAGAAAAGTACATTTATTAGCAGTTAATTTAATAAAAGTATTAAGGTGAGGAACAATAATAATAATAATAATAATAATAATAATAATTGACAAGAGTTTGAACTCTTTTGACTCAATAAATTTTTTTTTTTAATTAATTTTTATATTTTTAATATTAATTAATGATATTTGTTTTGTTGTTATTCACCACGTGAGAGTAGCGCGAATGGCGTACCGAAAAATTCCCGGGTATTCTTTCGACGACATACCTCAATTCGACTAATTTTAATTGTCCTTAAATAATACTAATGTTAATCAAAGCTTGCAATTATTTATATTCTTCTATTTAATAATATTATATTTAAACTGTAATTTCTGCACAATTTAAATAAAATAAATTTATCACCAAAAAGTTAATTATAAAAATATAAATTTATTCAACAAACTTGTAACAAAATAACAAAAAATATAACAAACTCATTAAATTTATGAACAATTTAAACATGCATATTATAAATAAATTAATCTCTTATTGAATATATAAATTTTAATCTTTAAATTCAAAAACATGAATATTATAAATAAATTTCTAAACTAACTAACTATTTATAATGAACATAACATTTAGAATTAAACTTTTTTAGCGTTTATTTTTTAATTATTGGCTCACCTTTAATTATGATTTAAATTAAATTACCAACTGTAATTAATACTGATAGTCGACAGAATTTTCGACGGTGGTTACTTTAATAAATTCGCCGGGTGTTCTTTGGACAATCGCGTCGATGTGCTCCGGCGTCATCACTTCAATGCACAAAATTCGGTAAAATCCCCGAGAAAATGGCTGCGCGTTTTCAATACTCTGCGCCATTTTGTATTTATTGAGGATTATTATTATCTTGGGGTAATTTTTTGTGAGTAATGCTGTTCGGAGCTCATCTATGTCCTTGTGGAACTCTTTTTACCACGTTTCTGTACACAGATTCAGGTGGTGGAACTCTGTCTGTAAACGAAATGGCGGACTTTAATCAACAAAATGGTTGACTCTAGCATATTTCTAACTCCGAAGCTTTTTAACTATAGCCCGGTAAATTTTCTAACCCTAAATGTCTTTAAAAATCTTTTTACTTTCAAAACTTTCTAACTAATTAAGTTAAATTCACAAAAACTTAATTAATTAATTCCTAATTGCTTACACGGAAAGAACAAGATATAATGAGACTGTTGGAGATATAGTAATATAGTAATATTCGCACGTACACTACACACACACACACATGCGCCGACGCGTCGATCTACTGTGCATGCAGTCACGCCGAAATATTGTATACTCGAGTCAATTATCTATTAGCACGTTGTCGAGTGAAGTCATTGGATTCTTTTCAACCGTTGTAATTAGTTACTAATAAATTTATACGTCGTTCATATTAATTCCTTCTCTATTATTATTTATATTCACTCAATTCCTGCCTAACTCCCACAGAGACACTGGATATAATGAGTATAATCCAAATATCACGCAGTATAATCTGAATTATACTATCTATTATCTGAAATTTTTTTTACTACAGATCAAGTGTTATCTTGTTTTTTTTTTTTTTTTTTTTTTTTTTCCGTGTAGATCATCCAAAAAATATTACAAATAAATCCCATAAATTATAAATGATAAACTTACCTATCAGCAAATTACTCTTCATCCTTCACCATTAATTCCAGAGCACCTTTCTTATCATCATCGCTATTGAACCTCAAATAATTTTCATCAAGATTGACCTTCTCCTTCTTAACATGAGTCTTATTTTCATGACTTTGATTTTGGGCCTTATCACAACTCTGAACCCTGCTGATTCTATACCACCATTTTCGACTTTACAATCTTTAAGCTCAAGCGAAGTGATAACTTTGTCAACGCAATCAGGTCCAACTTGGTCAGCGACTTTCTCAGATTGGTCTTTATCCCCAACTTGAAATACTCGAGAACAATTAGAGGGACCAGCCTTAGGCTCGTCATTTCTAACTTTTAAAGTCTCAGGAATCTCTCGAACATTATTTGGCCTAACGATTTTCTGAATCGAATACTTGGTAGAGTACTCACTAGAAATAATCTTGAGCTTGGGCCTATCTTTCTCCTCTTCCGCGACGGGGAATTTTGTCGGTGAGTGTTTTCTTTATAGCTCCGGCGGTGTTGGCTGCGTTTTCTGGTTCAACTCTGGGAATTTGAGGTCCATTAAGGCCCTAATTTCGGGGACTTTTGACACATTGGGCAGACTATCAGTGACTTTGTTGTTGGGCCGCAGTTTTGTCGGGCGAGATTTACATTCTGGTGAATCTATCACTATTATTTGACGTTCAGTTATCGAAGCAGATGCCTCTGGGGGCTTGACAGAAGTTGCTTCAAGTGCTGGGACAGAGGGCACAAAATGTTGAGTTGGGTTGCTTGAAAACCCGTAGAAGAGCTTCTTCAACCACATTCGGTTCACGTTCACGTTCACCGGACATATGCGGTTGCTAACGCTGAATCTAATTCAGCTTCAACTAAAAAAATCATACAATTTTCTATAGTCGTATAAAATTATATCCAAACCAAATTTCATAAAATTTTTCCGTAAAAAATATAGTCTCGTATAAAAATTACATAAAAAAATCTCACATTGTTCACGAAGATGTAAAAGTCTCTCAACAAGCTGATCGCTGAGCCTCTCCCCTGTGGCATCCTTTTCACCATAATCCAAATTGTAACCTTGACTTATTTCCCGTGTTTCGAGTCTGTCAGACTCCCTCTTGATTTTTATTGGTGGCTCGGGAGTCGGAGACCTGGAGTCCAGTCCTCTCTTGCGCTTCTTAATCGTACTTTTTCGTGGCATTATCGTCGATGCGTCGACACTGAAGAATTTCATAAATTATAAACTATAATTATGTGACTGAACCTTATACTTTAGTAAAATTTATCTTATGAAATAATATCAAATATTAAATAATTAACAACATCCCTTAGTTAGTCAACAAACCGTCCATTACTTTTTAAGTTTATCGTAATTATCATTTTACTGAATGTGACTGGTGGGACTAAAAACAAATCCTTCTCTCTTACCAAAGGTATACTTAAAGTCAAATTTCAGTTCGACCACTAAACTGAGAAATAATACTAATATAGTAATACTTCCCTCAAAAATACTAAATTTTCCTCCAAACATTCAATATTATATGAAGAATAAGATGATAATTAAATTAGCCGATATTTCAAAATTTTTAGAAATTTTTTATTGAAAAAATTTAAATTAAAAAATTAAAAAAAAAATTTATTCACATGTAAAAAACTTTAAAAGTTATAAGTGCAATTTTTTAAAAATATCTTTTTAGTTGTAATTTAATTAATAAAAAAAATCAAAAATTTTTAGGCGTCTGCTAACTTCAGTGTCATAGAATAAGACTGATTACTTACGTATATAGAAACAATTAAAAAAATTTTCCACTCCAACTGCACAATGTTGATCCTTGGTCTGAATTATTATCAGACAATTGGCAATTTTTCGTACTGGTATTTTCACTTTGTTCCAAATCTTCTTTATTATTATTATCACTCACCACATTAATATTCTTATAAATAAATAATAAATAACAATAATTATAAAAGAATAATAATAACAAGTTTACATGCCGACAATCACTTAATATTGTTATTGTGGTTATTAACTTAACGCGAGTGACAAAGAGAGTGTACTAAGGGCTTACGAATACGAACTCAACTGAGGACATTGAGTTAATCCAGAACGAGTGGGGAGAAGGGAAGGGAGGGGGGGGGAAGAGAAATCACCAATTGTATGTCTTTAGAAATTCACTCTGTACTCAGAGAGACATCAATTCAATTTTTTCTTTTTTTTACTAATTCTGTATTAAAATTATTTTTTTAATTAAATTAACCAATAAATTATTCAACAAAAAAATTATTTAAAAAAAATTACATTTTTATTTTTTTTCTATAATTTATTTATTACAAAAATTATTAAATATCTGCCTTTACTCCATTATTTAAATGATTAATCTTTATAAAAATTTAAAATTTTTCCGCGCTTTTAAATTAAATTCCCCAGCGCCACTCGGAAAAAATCTAAACTAAACAACAAACAACTCCCTACTCTCCTTTCCTTCGCTAATTCCCCGCACTCCGCACGCGATTTATCGCGCAGACTCGACACTTACCGCGTCTTGGCTAAAACATTTGTCGCTTGTCGCCGGTTCGTACTCAGTTTTCTTTTGTCACTTGCCACGAGCGGACGTGCTTTCTTTTACACTAAAATTTTGTCAAATATTTTTATACACTTTTTATCTTTTCTAAAATAAATAACAAAAAAAATTGCAAACACAAAAAAATAGTAATATTAAAAATTAGTTGTGGATCATCGAAGGCAACAATTAATTAATTTATTAATTAACTAAGAAGAAGGTGTCAAGATGATGCAAGTTCAACAAGCGTCGTTAACTCATCGGCTCCCGGTCCCGAGGATCGTCAACGGGTTGTATCCTTACAACCAAAGCCTCTACGACGAACTTCTCAGATTGTTTGCTAACAATCTTCATGTCGAGCCTCAGCGTCAAGTTGGTAAGTTTTTTTTATTATTATTTTTAGTGAAAGAATTATTTTTATCAAGAATATTTTTTTGATCATTTAATATCAAAAGTTATTATTATTATTATTAATTATTCATTATTAAAATTCTTGATTAGACGGCGTCGAGTTTCAATGAGGATTATTTTTATTTGTTTTATCAGTGAAATTATTTTTAAGCTTAAAAATAGATTATACTTATATTATTTTTCAATATTATAATTATTATTTTGAAGGTAAAATTTGAAAAAATAAAAAAAATGAGACTGAAGAATTTTATAAATATTTTAATAAGTATTAAAATAAGACGAGATTATTATTATCTTTATTTGATTATTTATTTTCATAGAAAATTAAATTGTATTCAAAATAAGTACTTATAGAGAATTTTTAAGTAAACACATTAGTTTTATTTATCATAATAAATGTACTTATTATTATTTATTATTTTAATGAAAATAGTAATGATGCATTTCTTTAAACTTGAGTTATTATTGTTATGATTTAAAAAAAAAAACAGTAATAATAATTGAAGTGTTGAAAAATTTATTATTATTAATATTAATAAAAATTAAAGTTACATATAAAAAAATTGACCTTGTAAAAATGACATAAATCTAAAGAAAATATATTAAAAGAGAGCAAAACTATACTAAGGCAATATATATTGTATATTAAGTCAATACCATAAACTGTGACCATGACTAATTCGTCAACTTATAACACATTACACAAATATCGAAACTAAATGCATATGTACTTGTAGCATTTGAAATTTAACAGCCACTTGAAGACTTTAGAAAGACTTAATCCCCTTACATCCTCTATAAAAGATACAAAAATCCAAAACAACAGAATGCAGAGAAATAATAATAATAATAATAATAATAATAAAAACTCGGCTTGACTTGAACATTTAAGTATGTATATTACATTGTCACTCTGTCAGTCTACTTGTTTACACATGTTTACTGTTTGGTGTTTTTCTTGTTTACTCTTCATAGATTCGTAACGGCCGCTCGCTCCTTCGATCGCTATACTCTCTCAATATGAGACTATAATCCTTTGTGTCAAAATATAACAAATATAAATCTTGAGAGAAAATAAATTTCTTCTTTATATCTACTTTAGATATATTATTATTGTTTTAAAATAATTTAAAAATTAATTCTCTAAATTTTTGTCATAGTTTTGTGTAATACTATTCTTTTTTCTGAGAAGTAATAAATAATTTTATTTATTTATTTGTATTTTTTAGCAGAAGATATAATGGCCGACTTTAGATCTAACGGCCGGGACTTTGAATACTGCCCTGAGTTAGAAAACGGGGAAATTCCCGTAGTAATTAATCGCCGAAAAAAAAACAACAAGCCACTGCCTACTGAATGCGCATTCTGCAAAAATAACGGCGAGGAAGTTCAATTTTACAAGCAGCATATTTTGAAAGATTTAAACGGGCGCACTGTCTGCCCAATTTTGAGGTATTAATTTATTTAGTTTTAAATTAGAAGGAAATTTAAATAATTTTTACAATTTTTTTGTTGGAAATTTTAGAAACTTGCAATTTTTTTCACAGATTAAATTTAAATAATTTTTTACAAGATATAATAATCAATATTAAAATTTTCCAGGCGTTATACATGTCCAATCTGCGGTGTAAACGGGGACCAAGCTCACACCATCAAATACTGCCCTTTGAACAAAAGTCCTGAGCCAATTCCTCTGACAAACGCGATGAAAAGGCAAGTCCGCAACTCTGCCGGCAAGACTCGTTCCAAGTAATCATTCTCACTCTATTTTCTACATACATATATATGTATGTACACACTTTTTCGCTTACATACATACATATATATATATATATATATAAAAAAAAAAAAAAAAAAAAAAAAAAAAAAAAAAATTTAATTAGTATTAAGTAAAAATTAGTGTTTTAATTGTTCAACAATTAGATTTAGTTATTATTATTTTTGTAAGAAATCAAGATTGGGTGATTTTGAAAAATGATTTAAATAATCAAGACTAATTTCAATTGAATTTTTTTATTCAAAATTTTTAAGCAAACAATTTGAATTGTTTTTTTTACCAATTTTGAATGGATAAAATTTCGTAGATTAAGAATTGAAAGAAAAAAATTGCGACTGATAAAAGTTTAATTACTTGATTAGATCTCATATTTTTTTATGAAAGAAAAATCAATGATTGGCAATTAAGATTAATAATTATTATTGTTATTTGATTGATATAATTATGGGATGAGATGTGTAGATTGTAAGAGGACATTTTTGATGATTATTAATGTTTATGGTAATTAATATTTTGACCAAATATTGATTAGTTTATCAATACTCAGGTACGGAATGATGCCAAATATAATTAAGATTATCATTATTTAATCGTTAGTGATTACAGACAATAATTAAGAGTTTAATGTTTTGGAAATTTTTTTTTTTCATACTCACAAGTTTAATAAAATAAATAATAATAATAATTATTATTATTATTATTATTATTATTAGATTGGATTAACCAAATTAATTATGAAATTGATTAAAAAAAATTTTGAAACATTTGAATAAAATAATAAAAATTTTAAGTTTTTTTATAGCTTGCTAAATTTTCTATAAAAAAAAAAAAAAAAAAACAAAGTTTAAAATTGAAGAACAATTTAATCAAAAATATTTTAATGTTAACAGTTTAAAATTCTGGTCTATTAAAGATTTAATAATTATTTCTCAACATTAAACTCACGATCAACAAAAAGTAAACATAAGACATAATAATTAAGATTTACATAATTATAATTATAATTATGGTACAAAAAATTAAAAATTAATTAGGAATAAGAAAAAAATATTGTAAAAATGGGTGTGGTTAAAAATCAATTGCATAAAAAAATGCCTGACGTTTTAAAATAAATCAATTAACTGACAATACACAATGAAAAAATGGATTAACAATAAATAGTTTGAAATTTGTATATTTACCGAATTGAATTTTAAAAATTACATGCTTGTTTTTCTTTATTTTTTCTATTTTAAGAATCTGGCAGCTTAAATAATTGTATAAAAGTTTATATTTTTAAAAAATTGCACATGATTAATTGATATAAATCAAAAAAATACCGACGAGACGTTGAATTTTCTTATATTTTTAAAAAATTGATTCCTAAAATGAAAAATTATTGTAATTGTCTATATTTTTGATAATTCTAATGCTGCCCGAATTTTTTCGGCATTTTTTACTTGTCTTCATTTTTTGATCATTTTTTCGCTCTTTTTTTATATTTAATTAAAAAACTTACCACGCCCGTTAATTATACTTTATATGAGAACAACAAACAATTTCTCATTTTTTTTTTTTTTTTTTTTTTTTTTTTTTTTTTGTAGTTTTGTATTTGGGGTGAAATTTTGTAATAAATAACTATGAATATTTAATTATTTTTTATTTTATTTTTTCCAGTTTGTAAAAAATATTTATAATTACCTTTGAATTTTTTAGTAAATAATAATTGCGAGTAAGTTTTATTGGGCGGTGCTTGGAGTGAAGAAAGGTTGGACCAGAGAATCTTGGATTAATAATAATAATAATAATAATAATAATAATAATCAGTTGGCATTTGGCAACCAACCAGTGTTGCTTTTATGTATTATTCGGGTATAAAAAGCCTTTACACTATATAAAAGAACTTTAGTACCAGCCAACGGAATATTTCACAAAGTAGCGTTCGAATGGATCGATCCATTCAATTTTTAATTCCAATCACTTTATGTCAGTTTTCAAAATTATTGATTTTTTAAACATGATTTATATTTATTAAATTATTACATTAAATTTAACAGTTTTTTTTTATTAAGTATCTGCTAAATTAATTTTATTCATTAAATTATTTAAATTTATCTATCGAGTTTGTATAACTTTTCTCAGCTGACGATAATTCTCATAGTTCCTAGACGTTGACAGTCGGAAAAGTAACAATTTTCATCCAGAAAATTAATAAACAAGTACTCAGCGCAATAAATTTGTATTGTACTCATTACTTTTCCAACTTTTCTTTATGATACTTTTTATTACTCCCTAAAATCCACACTGTTTATTACTCCAAACGTCAAAAATAATTACCAATATTTTTTTAAAATATTAATTAATTAATCCACTAAAAAAAATTAAATAAAAAAATATACTGTGACTTTGACTTTTATCGGTATCGACCAATAAGAACATAGTTCTAAAAGAAACTCGCTTTTAATTGGTCAAAGCTAGCAACGTGGTGGGAAGAACGTTCTAGTAGCGTCGATTTTCTGGTGAGCTGTTAACTGCGTGTCCTTTTTCGTTCTTTCGTCTTTGTGTTTAGTCACTTTAACCTCGCCCGAGTTACATTTTATAATTTACCTATTTTATTGAATATAATTAACAAAAGGTATGTTTTTTCTATTTATTTATTCATTTTTTTTTTTTTTTTTTTATTAAATTAACTATATTGAATTATTTTATTTTATTAAAATTTAGGAAGCAAAATGTCGAAAGCACCTGCAGTTGGAATTGATTTGGGAACTACGTACTCTTGGTAAGTTATTTAATTATTATTATTACTTAAAAATTATTTTATATTATTATACGGAAAAAAGAAAAATAATTTTATTTTAATTTATCTATCCACGTGGTCTTGAATTATATAGTCTATAATAATAGATGAGTCATGCATCTACTATATATAGTAACCTAGCATTTACTGTACTACTCAGGCAAAAATAGCATGACTATAGTGTAAAAAAAAATATTTTTTTTTAATTAATTTTTTATGTTACAGCGTCGGAGTTTTTCAACACGGAAAAGTTGAAATAATTGCCAATGACCAAGGAAACAGAACTACCCCCAGTTATGTCGCATTTACTGACACTGAACGGCTTATTGGTGATGCCGCCAAAAACCAGGTCGCCATGAATCCTAACAACACCATTTTTGGTAAGTCCGCCATTTTATGTTCATTCTGAGTAATTAAATACTTTTTTTTTTATTTTATCTTTAATATTTAAATATTTAATAAAATTAAAAAATTATTATACAATTTTATTTTAAAAAATTTGTTATTTTTCTTAATTCAGACGCCAAAAGACTGATCGGTCGCCGATTCGATGACCCAACAGTCCAAGCGGACATGAAGCACTGGCCATTCGAAGTAGTAAACGACGCTGGCAAGCCCAAAATCAAAGTCCAGTACAAAGGTGAATTAAAGACCTTCTTCCCCGAGGAAGTCAGCTCGATGGTCCTTGTAAAAATGAAGGAAACCGCGGAAGCTTACCTCGGCGAGACTGTCACCAACGCTGTAATCACCGTCCCGGCTTACTTCAACGACTCTCAACGTCAAGCGACCAAAGACGCGGGAATAATCTCAGGAATGAACGTCCTCCGTGTAATCAACGAGCCAACTGCCGCGGCGATAGCTTACGGTCTGGACAAGAAAACTACCGGCGAGCGTAACGTCCTGATTTTCGACTTGGGTGGCGGAACCTTTGACGTCTCAATCCTCTCCATCGAGGACGGTATCTTCGAAGTAAAGTCCACCGCAGGAGACACTCACTTGGGAGGCGAGGACTTTGACAACCGAATGGTCAACCACTTTGTCCAGGAGTTCAAGCGTAAGTACAAGAAAGATCTGACCAGCAACAAGCGTGCGCTGCGTCGTCTTAGGACCGCCTGTGAGCGCGCAAAGCGAACTCTTTCTTCATCCAGCCAGGCCAGCATTGAAATTGATTCGCTCTTCGAGGGAATTGACTTCTACACTTCAATAACTCGCGCTAGGTTCGAGGAACTCTGCGCTGATTTATTCCGAAACACTTTGGAGCCAGTCGAGAAATCCCTGAGGGATGCAAAGATCGACAAGTCGGCTATTCATGAAATTGTCCTTGTTGGAGGTTCAACCCGGATTCCAAAAATCCAGAAGCTCCTCCAGGATTTGTTCAACGGAAAGGAACTCAACAAGTCCATCAACCCCGACGAAGCTGTCGCTTACGGTGCAGCTGTCCAAGCTGCCATTCTTCATGGTGATAAATCAGAAGCCGTTCAGGATCTTCTTCTGTTGGATGTTGCGCCACTGTCGCTTGGAATTGAGACCGCTGGAGGCGTGATGACTGCTTTGATCAAGCGTAACACTACCATTCCAACCAAACAGACCCAGACTTTCACCACCTACGCGGACAATCAGCCCGGTGTGCTCATTCAGGTCTACGAGGGAGAACGTGCCATGACCAAGGACAACAATCTTCTTGGAAAGTTTGAACTGTCTGGTATTCCTCCGGCACCCAGAGGAGTCCCGCAAATTGAGGTCACCTTTGACATTGACGCCAATGGAATTCTCAATGTTTCGGCTGCTGATAAAATGTCCGGAAAGGAGAATAAGATTACTATCACCAATGACAAGGGAAGACTTAGCAAGGAGGAGATTGAACGGATGGTCAATGAAGCTGAAAAGTACAAATTTGAGGATGAGAAACAGAAGGAGACTATTGCTGCCAAAAATGGTCTCGAGGCTTACTGCTTCAATATGAAGAGCACCGTTGAAGACGACAAAATCAAAGGCAAGATCAGTGATGAAGATAAAAAGGTTGTCTTGGACAAATGCAATGAGATCATCAAGTGGCTTGATGGAAATCAGTTGGCTGAGAAGGAAGAATTTGAGCAGAAGCAAAAGGAGATTGAAGCTGTCTGCAATCCAATTGTCACCAAGTTGTACCAAGGAGCTGGCGGTATGCCTGATGGTATGCCTGGTGGTATGCCTGGTGCCGGAGCACCACCTGGAGCTGGAGCTGGAGCTGGAGCTGGACCAACCATTGAAGAAGTTGATTAATTGTAGAAAGATTATTTTTACTTTAGATAAAAGAAATTTGTATTTTAAAGTAAAATAAAAACAGATCAACAATTTAATATTAAAATTATTGTTATAAAACTTTTTTTTTTATATTCATCACTTTGCAGGGTAATTCGGGTAATAGTAATTTTAAAATGAATAATAATCTAAAAAAAACTAATATAAATATTCACAATATTTATTTTAACAAACATATTATTGTCATTAACTTTGACAATTTAATCTATTTAAAGTTTAATTTTTTTTTAACTTTCAATAATTAAAAATTTTCACACTTATTATTAATATATATATTACAAGTGTATAGTTTTTATTTATCAACCCCATCGGTAAGTATACCTAAATCCACACCATATATATTATAATGAACAACTTTTTTTGTTGAAACAAATTTTATATATTAATAATAATAATACTTACAATGTAATTTTCTGAACAATAATAAGGCTTTTTTTGATATTTAATATTCACTATTAATAGAAGAAATAATAAAAATACTTGAAAAATTTTTAATTTTTTCATATTAATATTTTATTTAGGTATTAATACATATTTATGGCAATTCTTATCCAGCAAAACAAAATTAATGATACACGGAAAAAAAAAAAAAATAAAATAAATTTATAGAGTTAAATTTGCCACGTGTAAGATATAATATTTAATGCCAGTAGGTACATATGTACATATATATATATATATATATATATATATATATATATAATGATTTTTAACTAATATTTAAAATAATTGTTTTTTTTTTTAATTCGCTATTTCGCTATAATAACAATTTTAATAAATTGTTAAAAAATATTATTATTTCTAATATCTTGATCGGCTATGCCTGATACGATTATTGTAAGAAGGGTGAAAAATAGCTGCTGTTGGATTCGGTCGGCATGTGTACTTAAATCCACACCAAATGTATAATGAACATGAGGATCGTCCCCAGTTGTTAAGCTTTTCTAGACAGTCACTGTCGGTATTGCACTAAAAAAATTCAATTATTATATAAACGTATTTTTTTATAATTATTATTGAATCATAGAAAAAGAAATTTTTTTTTTTTTTTTTTTCACGTATATTATTACTATACAATCTTAAAATTTAAATTATTTAATTATACTTTTTAATTAAAAATACTCACATAATTTTCTGAACAATAAAATGGACTTGATTCACATTTAATATTTACTATTAATATAAGAAATACGAAAAATTTTAATTTTTCCATATTTATTTGATAATTTAGACTCTAAAAAAATTAAAATAATAATATTTATTAATTATTAATACTAATAGTGTGTACCTAATAATTATATAATTACTTTTATAAATGAATAAGATTATTAACATTATTAAAACTGTTGACGTAAAACAAAATTCACGGGCAGGAAATAAATTTAAAAACTGATAATGAGTAAAAATAAGACAGTGGCTTTTATACGCAAAAAAGAATAAATATTGACTAATTTAACAGATGATTAGTCAAATATGTCATTATCACCCAATGTTTGGAATAATAATTAATAATTGACAATGACTAATCTTAATTAGCCCACGGCCTTTTTAATAATATATAAGATAATTTCTAATGTAATTAATATGATATAAGGTAAAATTGAATTAGATCATTAATTATTTTTAAAAATTTATTAATATAAAGAAGAAAAATTAATAATAATAAAATATCGATTAAAAAATAATTATGTCACACGTAATGGATATAAAATATAAATAATAAGCTACTATTAAAGCAACCCTTTAATATTTAATAAACTCTCTTCACGCTATTTATAAACACTTATTATAAATTACACGGTATTATTTTAATTTTATATCAGCTCTAAGTATACTCTAAATAATAAATTCAAAACTAAAAAAAAAAAAAAAAAAATCCTCCCCCTTATCTTCCTCCTCCAATCAACAAAACAAATATAATTTATCATCATTTCTCAAAATAAAACTTGAGTCAGAAATTTTTCCCAAATATTTCTTCGAATTAAAAAAAAATTATCTATTTTCTAATACTGATGTAAAATTAAATTAAATTGTCAAAAGGCTGAAAAATCTTTTATTTATAAAATATTGCCTAGTAATAATAACTTTCACCGAAAAATAAAATAGTTGATATATATCCCAAAAAATTACGTAAGTAAAAAAATAATTTCGCAATATGATATTATTTAATAAATAAAAATAACAATGCTGTAATACATAATAAATACATAATATCCATAATAGATAAAAGGGACAATACAATGAAAGTCAATTATATTACCCACTCACTCTCACTCTCACTCTCTGCCATTGTCCTGGAGTTCGCGCACGAGTGCTTATAAAAAGAAAACATTAAAAATAATCATTTTGAAAAACCCCCCAAACTGTCGGAGACATAAAATATAAAAAAAATTACCTAGTGACCTAAAACTGTTGAGCGAATCTCCAGCCCATGAATCATTAATCACTATAATAATTATTATTATTTTATATTTTTTTAATTGAAGGAAAAACCAAGTACGTAAAGCTGAAAGCCTCAGTTGACAGTCGGTGGTCAACGTTCGCGGGTCGAGGATTAAAATCGATTGACGGTTTAAGTGAAACGCTCTGATCAGAGCGGATAAAAAGCTATCCGGATCCAGTTGTGGCTTTGGATTTTGACAGTAAGACATAAAATATTGAGAAAGGTACATAGAGCTCTTTAAGCCCTGTTAAAATGATTACCCACATGGATTTTTATCGTGTGTATGTGTGTGTACTATCACACATGTCATAAATAATGCATGTGGGTACTCATATTTTAAAAGGTCTTGGAATTTTCTCCTTGAAAATGGAAATTAAAATTTGAAATAATTGTTATTATTGTTGTAATCAGTGATTGAATTCTCCGAGGTTTGGAAAAATGGAGGCAAAAATCCTGGTACTGATGACGGTTTTGGTATTTAAAGTCCAGATGATTATGGGGTACGATGAAACTCGGGATTTTTGTACGAGATGGAGGTCACCTCCGAAGTTTGTTAGACCATCGAGTAATTATACTGTTAATTCTACGAAAAGATGGAGTAATATTAATCATAGTAACAGTAATGTTAAAAATTTGGACAACAACTTTATTTTACATATTTTGAAACATAAATTAAAACTTAATCATGTACCAAAAATACCGACAACAACATCAGTGACAACACCTGATTGTTTTTGTGTTCCTTGGTATCAGTGTGATAGCAATAATACAATTATCAGTGATGGAATTGGGATTATTGATGTCAGGTAATAGTATTATTATCAACTTGATTTTTAATTAACTTCTCAGCTTCAACTTGAATTTTTATTTCAGAATTCGACGTTGTACTGGTGATCTAGAAGTTTGTTGCAAGCCACCACAAATGAAACCAACTACGATAATGTCGACTCAACCTCCAACAAGTCCACCAACTTCACCACCTACAAGTCCACCAACATCACCGCCAACTTCACCACCTACAAGCCCACCAACTTCACCGCCAACTTCACCGCCAACTTCACCGCCAACTTCACCGCCAACTTCACCACCAACAACTCTACCTCCTTTTCCCACTCTTCCACCACTCCGATGTATGTGCGTTCAAATATATCAATGTGGTAGCGATGGCTTCATAATAACTTCAGGAAGTGGAATTATAGATCCACGTCAAACTTCATTTCTATGCTCTCAATGTGCGTGTGAAGCTCCACTTGTTTGCTGCCGTATTCCACCCAACAGCAATCAAATAGTCTATTCACCTTCACAAACTTCCATTTCAACTTTACCTACGACTTTAACTTCATTAATTTTCTCAACTCAGACTTCTACTATTCCACCACCACCACCACCACCATCACCACCACCAACAACAACCACCCCACCTCCCACTTCACCAACTTCAACTTCTACTTTACCGTATAAATGCGTCCCAATATCTCAGTGCGACCCAAATGGGTTCATAATAGTTTCCGGAGCTGGTAACATAGACCCTCGTTATCCAGCACGTCAAATATCAATTGTCGACAATGAATGCGGCGAAAATCAAGTACGGTGCTACTTGCCGGCCAATGGTCAAGACAGTATCGCATTTCCCGACGTTCCGTCCTTCCCGTCAATAGATCCACGTGCGAATTTTACCATTAAAAATCCAGGAACTTCTAAAGCTTGCAAATGTGTCAAATCTACTGAGTGTCAAATTGGAAGTGAAGTTCAATTAGATGCAGCAGGCTTCATAGATCCCCGCTTCAGGTATTGCTTGCCTGCCGATCAAGTTTGCTGTAAATTGGATGGAATAATCATTCAAGCTATCAGTACTACTTTGACTTCAACTACTGTGAAGCCATTTTTACCAGCAAGTAATCTAATTGTTAATCGATTCGACTCGACTGCTTCTGCACAGCCATTTTGTGGTGTCAAAGGACCAAAATGTAGTACGGGTAATTACTCAAGTCTTATTATTAAAACAATGTTAGACTTGTTTTTTAACATTTTTAATAAAACCTTTCAGACTAGATAATTTTTATTTAAAAAAATTAATTTTCAGAAAATTGTATTGAGATTGAAGGACAAACGTACTTTGGGGAATTTCCGTGGATGGTTGCGTTGATAGTAAAACCGACATTGACGGGTATCAACGAATTCTTATGCGGAGCCACAATGATTAATAATCGTGCTGTACTAACCGCTGCTCATTGTGTTCTCAAGTAAGTGATATTAATCTTATTATTATTATTATTATTATTATTTTTATCACTTATACTTGATTCTTATGTATCATCATGAGCTGTGTTCGGAGAATTTTCTTATCTACTCCAGTCAATCCGTTTAAAAATTTTTACAATGGAATGATCTGAGTTTCATTTACATATTATATATATATATATTAAAAATTTAATATGCTTGATTTCAAAATGCAAGATTGATGATCAGGAACGTAATACGTTAATGTATTTTCTTCTTGTTTTTTTTTTGTTGTATTGTTTCTATATTATTCTCCCATAATCTCAAAGTGCCTCAAAAATTTTTTAACTTCCCGCTAAGAAAATTGAAAATTTTTAATTAAAAAATTATATTTATTTTGAACAAGAATTTTTAAATTCAAGTGAAACCCTTTCTCACCTTAATTTTTTTTTTTTTTTTTTTCAAGTATTGGATTGCTATACTAGAGAACTTACTCCCCGGGAGAAGAATTATAAAAGCATCTTTTTCGAACAATCGATGCTTTTATAATTGATAGACCTATTTTATAAGAAATAAATTTTATTTATTTGAGAAATCTACTTGCATTTTGGCTGCCGAATGGCCTTTTCTTATTTATTTATTTATTCTATTCTATTCTAAAATTCAATCATTATCATCAACGTCGACATCAACTATATGAATAAGGATCTTTTGTATTTTATCTAAAAAATACTGGCGATCGCAAATTAGTCACGCTTGACTGCTATAACGAGAAAAGTTGTTTATAAAAAATAATAATCAACCCCTGAAAATAACGTAACGAGTGTGCAAGGTACGAGAAAATAATTTTATTCTGATGATTTTTTTTTAATTTTTCAGCGTACCTACACGGGAAGAAAATTGAAGGATTTATTACTATTCTACTATTGTAATTTTTACTAAATAAAATAGTAACGTAGTCCATATACTTCTCATTTAGTAATTTTTACAATTCAACTTAGGGTTAAATGAATAAGACCAAAGCACAATAAATTATCATGGTAAATCAGATGAGTCTATTATAAGACCACATTATACTAGCCACTTTTTGTTAGAGGCCTATTGCATCTTCACATATATATTTCTCTCCTGCCATATTCCCATCTGCATCAGTATAAATTGCACAGTATTCGGTTAATTGATCACAATCATCAGCATCTTTACACTGCAAAATCAGAGAACATTAAATTTATTTTATATTTTTTATAGACTATTAATAATAATATTACTGGAGCATTAAGCCTTGCGTCCACAGTAACAAAAATGAGCCCACACAGGACGATTAAAAAAATAGCCAAAATTATTTTCGACCATTCTTGCGATTTTCTTTTTGATCTCTCTGGAAATTAATCTGACAAAAAAATAATAATAATTAAAATTTTATTAAGTTTTTTCTTCATATCCATTGTTTGTATCCATCAAAAAACTTAACATTAAAATTTTACATTTTTATTATTGGTTCAAAAAAATATTTACGACTTTAAAATTTAAATGTTGTTTTTTTAAAATCATGGATATTTTTAATTTTTATGAAAATTCTTATAAAAAAAATTATACCATATGTTTTTCTTAACTTTTCAGCCCGGCGGTCCGATTGTCGGATCTTCACTGCAATTAATGTTTTGTCGATTTTTTTTAAATAAAATTTGTTTTTTTTTTTTTACTTTTCATTATAAATTCTGAGTTTTCAGAAATTTAAAAATTTTAATCCAAGTGATAATTATCTTTGTGATGATATTCAAAAATTTTATTAAATTTTTAAATTGCTGTTGAGCACTATCAGAAAAATATATAAATATAATAATTTAAAAAACTCTTTACCTAAGTAAAATTATAAAACGTAAAATAATATTGGCCCTATGTAATAAGAAAAAAAAAAATTAGTGGCTCAACAGTTAAGAAACATATGTAGTATCGGATTTTATTGGATAGGATACTAAATGTTTATTAAAGATGTTATTATTAAGGTATCACGGGGCGGTTAAATTAAAGTGAGTATTTATTAGAAAAATTGACAGAGTTAAAAGACAGAGGTCTGTCGTACATCGAAGTTAAGTAGGAACTGCCTCTTCGAGTCCCATACAATTAGATCTTACTTACTACCTGGGTTTCTCACCCCCGCATCAGTCATACTTCGTTCTTACACTCTCGGTACTTATAATGTACATTTTTGCCACGAGACAAATCTATACTTACGTTCCCACGCATACAAATATTTTCTAAACTATCTTAACTAAACATCTGTTATTTGGGAATTTTTCTTAATCCCTTTATTTACAACCTTTTCGAAAAAATACTTACTGCTAAGTACAAAGGTGCAATAAAACAATAAAATAGAGAAACTTAAATCTAAAAATGACCATTCCACACATATGGTAGTTTTTTATTATAAGAATTTTCAAAAAAATTAAAATATCCATGATTTAAAAATAATAATAATATCTAATTATATGTTAAGTAAAATCAACAAGATAAAATTCTTCAAAATTATTTACTTGATTCAAGTAAATTTTTTTTTCTATGTAAATATGAGAAAATATGTAATTTATTATATAGGAAAAATTGATACTTGATAAAGAAAAAAAATTAATAATTAAATATAACATACCAGATTTTAGAGTAAGAAAAGAATTCGAGGAGGTTGTGATAAAAAAGTTTATTAATTAATAAGACCGAGATACTGGTATTTCTCTTATATATATAGTTCTTTATCAGCCCCACTATAACGGTTATCACGGCCGATGAGAGCGCAGCCGAAGCGCTGCGCTAGATCCAATTGGCTGGTCCAAAAGTGCTATATCTAGACAAAAGACAAAAGGCAAAAGTCGCGGGAAGGGATTAATAATAAACAAACGAAAATTTTAATAAGACAAGTCGAAATATTTTCCATTTTCCATTTTTTACCCTTAAATTAAATCAAATTGATGAATAAAAATTCATTATTTTTATCCATTTATTTCAAGTTAAATTATAATTTCTCTATAAATTCTCTATAAGAGAAAAATTCTTAAAATGATCATCGATCAATTATAAGTAAACATTTAACGTCTGACTAAAATTAAATTGTATTACTGACTTGTAGATAGCGCTCGGGTTATCTGATGTAAATATTTGCCGCCTGCTGACTGCATGAATCGATCAAGTTAAAATTACTTGAATTTTATAATTACAAGATGTAACAAATAAATAATTACATTTAATCATTTAATCATTCATTTGACTCGTTGTAAAGTTAAATTATAACTTAATAAACTTCCAACATTAAATATTTTATGAATAACTAATAAATTTTAATTGAAAATTTAATGACGTCCATATGTCCTCCACGTCGTAATAAAAAACATGATTAATTTATAAGACCGTGATTCTCTGATATGTAGTTCTTTATCAGCCTCACTATCACGGTTATCACGACTGTTAATTAAGAGTTAAGTCAGAAGTGCTGCTGCTTAAAAAAATAACTCGCGGGAAGATTAAACAAACGATCATTTTTAAACAAATCGAATAAGTATTTTCCATTTTTTACTCTTAAATTAAATCGATATATAAAAAAAAAAAAAATTCAAATTTTTTTCCATAGTTAATTGTTTAGATCTATCTATCTATCTATCTAACTGGTTATAAAGTTAAATTAAAGATTTTTATTTCAATATCATTTTAACACTACTACTTAAAAAAGTTATATTAAAAGGGTATAAAATAAAAATCACAAAAGAGGGGTTGGCAATGGCCTGGTCGGCTCGGTGGTCACTTTTCAAAAGAGTGGGACCCACCCGGGTTTCGATCCCAGCACGCACCAATATTTTTCAGTGATTATAAATAAAAATATCTGCGTTACGTTACGTTGCCAACCTCTAGTAGTGGCAGAGATAGCCAGGCGGCTATCACGTCTGACTTGGGTGGACGATCACCCATTTAAACAACAATTTGAATAAGTGACCACTCTAGTCAGCGTTGGCTAGCGCGAGGGATCTCTGCACACTAGAAGAGGGGCCTAATACTCCAATGGTCGATAAACAAGAGTTTCTTATCAATTACTGCAGACTTAGCCCAGCTCCGACTGTATACTCTATCATGGGTATTTCCCATGTTTCTGTTGTTTCCCCATGGTTCTGTTCCAACAGCCTGACAAGGTGAGGTTCAGGGTGAATACGGTATACAGAAAGCACAAGTCTGTCCACACCCGCAATAAAGAGGGAGATATAATATGGAGATAAAAAGTGGGGATATCTCAGCCTTGTAAAAACCAGATAACGGTATACAAGTAAAACTCAAAATAATATGTGTGGGAGTATTTTTCCACTTTCGAAACTTTTCGTCAACCACTGTACTCTTTGGGCCATAAAATCCCTTCCCCGGCATTCAAGGGGCTCATGACGTCACGGGACCCCAACGCTAACAACGCTAAGTGTTAGCGGCTAACACCCTCAAGAGTCAAGGGGCATGAGGCAGATTTTCCTCAGCCTCTGAGACACACACATCTACGGTCTAGGACACTGGTTCTATTTTCCTTTATGTTACTTATCGTATTATTGTAATCGCAAAGTACTATCTTGACATTATTATTTATACACGAACTATCTATTGGTATCATTTACTGATAACTATATTCTACGGGATTGATTATTTATTGTGAGATTTAATTAACTTCATTCAAATATTGTAAAGAGTATAGTTATAAATTGAATAAATTATAAAACTAAAGAAATGGACTACTACAAATAATAAACTATTTTGCAAAAGTCTGGTTAAAATTTTAAATTTAAACCCGACTGATTGATTTAGCTTTTTTATTTTTTAATTCTTTCCTTTTAAAATAAATTAAAGGATAGTAAAAAAATTTTTCATAGTGCTTAAAGAACCTTTTTCCAAAATCGTTCTACTGATGGAACTATATATGACTTCTCTTATAGAAATCTCAAGACAGAATACTCTTGAATCATTTTTACAGAGAGAATATATATAATTTAATAGCAACGTCGGATCTCAGGTTACCCTCTATACATATATAATGATAGGATCGCGTCGTTGCATTCCAAATCTAATCTCACAACGTAAACTATTTAGTCTACTGGACAGTGTGTTGATGATTTAAAAATTTGTTATCTCGTGGTATTTCCGTTACAAAAAAATTTCGAGTAATCATAAATTTATCTTTATAGTTTTATGTTATTGTTCTTATTTTTTGTGTTTTTTTTTTTTTTTTTTTTTTTTTTTTTTCTTCTTGTCCTTTTTAATTTTAATTTAGTATTATAGTTATCTTAAAAAAATGCTTTGCTTGTTTCCATTCCAGTAGAAAACCAGGACCTATAATCGCCCGATTCGGTGAATGGGACACCTCTGAAACGAAAGAACCCTTCCCTTACCAAGAGTCAATAGTCCAAGCAATAATCACCCACCCCCAATACTACAGTGGTGGCTTGTACAATGACATAGCTATCCTAATCCTAGAATCTCCCGTAACTTATGCGGCTAATGTGATGCCAGCTTGTATGCCAACTCAAGAAATGATCTTCACGCCTGGAACAAGGTGCTGGGCGACTGGCTGGGGTCGTGATGCTTTTCGTAAGTTTTCTTTTATGATTAATAAAGAAAAAAATCAAAATTTCACCTGAAAATTACCAAAATAAATTTTATTTTAATTTTTTAGAAGGAAAATACCAAACGCTGCTTAAAAAAATCGACCTGCCATTAATTGACCGAGCAGAGTGTCAATCTCGGCTAAGAACAACTCGGCTGGGACAATACTTTCACCTTCACACTAGTTTTCTCTGTGCCGGGGGTGAAGAGAACAAGGACACCTGTACGGGTGATGGAGGCGGGCCACTTCTTTGTTCGATTTCTTCCGGTCAATTTGTTCAGGTAAATATTTTGACTCCTGATTTTATTAAAAATAATAATCTATACTATTATATATTTATTCTACAGGTTGGAATAGTATCCTGGGGAATTGGTTGCGGTGAATCGCAAATACCTGCTGTCTATACAGATGTAGTTAAATACAGATCATGGATTGATCAACAATTAGCTAATTACGGTGTATTGTAATATTTAATTAATTTTTAATTATTGACATATATCCTCTATGAAAATAAAATATATGGTAATTTATATATATATATATATATATATATATATATATTATTTTCATACGGGTTAAAATTTTAGTTCAATTTAAATAAAATTTTTTACTCTAAGTCAATTTGTTAAAAAAATAAATTATTTATTGTTAAGATTAAAAAGATGAAAGTGTTTTTTTATCGGTACTAAATTTAAAAATTAAACAAAGGATTCAGTTCTTAAGAACCTTTTTATGTTTACTAACTACACGTTTACATGTAATATAAGCTGTAATTTTAGTCGCATACAAGTGAGAGTGTATTGAGATGTTGGGTTTTACTATACTCTTATTTATAATCTTTTTAAGTGTAGAGAGACTTTTAAGAAATAATTATACCCGGATGAGGATCAAGATAATGAATTACAAGAGTAATTTTGTTAAAATTTTAAACACTTTAAAAATGATTTATTATACTTATTCAAATTATTAGTTATAATAATAATAATAATAATAATAATAATAATAGTAAATTTTAGGAAATGAAATTTTTATTTTTATGTTTGAATTTATTATTGATAATTTTTGTTTAAAAAACATTAAAAAAAGTCGCTCAATACAAAATTTTATTAAATTAAATCTTAATTATTTACAATCAATTTTTTTAAGCTATAGGATTGATAAATATTTGTTGGCGTGGAGTACAAAGAAATCTTTTGAGATATTTATGTTTGTATATCTTGTGTTTATTATCGGTATAATATAAGGTAGAGTGTAATTTAATATTTTAGTTTCATTTTAAGAGATTACTCTACTTATATTTTATATCATAAGTTATTTATTAATAACAATAATGAATTTTTTAAAAAACGCTCCGGCAAAAAATTTTTTACAAAATTTTATTTGATTTAATTAAGTTTTATAAAATTTCAATACAATTAAAAAAAAAAAAAAAATTTTCAATTAGTTTTCATCAATAATTTTCTACTAAATTAATAAAAAAAAAATATCTCTAAACTAATTATAAAATCTCGAAAAAATTTTAATTAAATAAATAATTGTACTTTTAAATTTAAAAGTTCCCGCAAATTTAAATTCGCAGATTCTCCGGCGCAAGCGCAGAAAAAGCGCGGTATTCCTCCAACCGCGGGCCCTTACGAGTCCCGAGCGGCGCTGAGCAACCACCTCCGAGCGAACCGGCGTGCGGGTGACGAGCACGCGACACCCGACAGCTTAATGTCCTCAGTTGAGTTCGCAAGCCCTTAGCACACTTTCTTTGTCACGCGCAACGCATTCTTTAATTTTTTACACAAAAAAAAAAAAAAAAACAAGTGTTAAGTTAGTGTCAATATTAATAATAACATTATCAACATTAATGTTAATAACAATCATTAATTAACAATATTAAAATAAATACCTCGAGTTAAGTCAATTTTACTTGAGTTAAAGTGACTGTCGGCATGTAAAACTGTTATTATTATTTTTTTTCTCGGAATTTTTAGTTTCTTTATTCTCTTTATTTACATTTAACCAATTTTTTACATTTTTTACATTCAATCTTTAAACCTTAGCAGTGCTTATTATTGTTTTACATTTATTTTTAAATAATTAATAAATTATTAGTGTCTAAATTATAAAATAAAAATTAATTGAATTATTAAACTGGTGAAAATAAAACAAATAGAGGTGAGTGATTTATCTTAGTGAATTTTTATAATTATTCTTTAATTATTTTATTTTTTTTTTTTAGGTGTTCAAATTAATTATTATTGTCGAAATTTATAGAAATTTTTCAAGGGAGAAAAAAGTCGACGCGTGGATTTTTGGTGATACATGGATGTAAGAATTTAATTTATTTATATTAGTTACTTTTTCGCACAGTGTGTTATTGTTATTAATCAATAATGATCATCATCAAGTGTCGCTATTAGTTAATAATAATTAATAATAATTGTCAAGTGATGAATTTTTTTGAAGGTTAGTGAAATTTTTTTCGACGGCGTGCGAAAATTATGATGATTAGAAGGTATTTGGCGGACATTTTAGGTTTTTTAAGTTTATATTTTCTTTCTTTCCTTTCTATAGGCATAAAAATATGAGTTGACATTTTTTATCTATCAATTTTAGGATTTTTTTTGAATAAAATATTAAAAAAAGTTGCATCAGATTTTTTATAACACTAATTATCAAATTTTTGACAACTTGTTTTCTTTTTCTTAATTTAATGATAATTAAAATTATTTTTAAATAATTTCAGTCTTAGGATTTAAGTAAAGTTTTGAAAAATTTTTATTTTTTTTTTTTAAAAAAAAAGAAATTAATACTGAAAAAATAATTTTAGAAATTGCATAATTTTCACACAAAACAGGTAACTAGTTTTAAGAATTATTCTATATCATATTTATATATTTTTTGATAAGCAGATTTTTAAAATATAAAAAAATTTTAATTTTATTATGGGTACGTTTGGAAAAAATTTATTGCAATTTTTATTATACAGAAAAAAATTTTTTTTTGTGTTTCTTAATTATTTTTTTATATTTTTTCAAAAACATTATTATTGTTATTATTTTAATTTAAATAATTATAACAATATTTGTTTTATAATTACAATAAATTATGAAAATAACTCTTGAAAAATTTTTAGAAGAAAAAAAAAAAAATAGTAAAAATTTTTCCAAACCGACCCAAAAAAAAAAAATAATGAATATTAAATCCGAAACTTATCGCAGTATAATACTGACCGGCGGAGCTGGGATCGAGAAAATCAAAAATGGCGAACCAAAAGCGTCACCGTGAACTAGCTCGTTTAAATTCCGATTTAACCGATAAAATGATATCACCACCAGGTCCGGGTCCACGTCGTTGTACTGCTAATATCAGACGATCATCGGTATCATCATCCACGTCATCTACCATTTCGACGTCCAGAAAAGAACCAGCAATGTCATCAACACCGACATTACCAATTTCTAATAAATTAAAACTTCGCCCAGTAGTGGTGCTATCAGATATAGTTAAGACCGGTGGGCTGACCACGCACCAGATAGCTTCCTTAACCAACCAGACGTTTGAGAAAACCAACAAGCTCCTGACCACGGCGTTGAGAGCCTCCAAGCCGTGTGTGACCTCTCCAGAGTCTTCAGAAGGCGAATCGAGTGATCCGAGCTTTTTTTCTGGTAAGAAGCGGACCAAGAGATCTATTTCTTCTGACGGTCCGATCCGTAAGAGCCGAAAAAAATCAAGGGGCTACCACTCTGACACTAAAACGATAAAAAAAGTCTTCAATGGCCTTCTTTCGAGCTCCCAAGGCGCTTTGGCCGACAAATATTTGCCGGCAAATATTTCCAAGAAAATTGAAGCCGATTCTGATGGATTAGAGGATTATAATGTTTTTGCTGGCGAGACCACTGTTATGAAAAGATTTCTGGAGTCTAAAAATCGGCAAAAAGAAAACGATAATCTTAAAATCAATGAGGTTCCTGTAAATTGTCTTCCTGAGGCTCCTATAAATTGTCTTCCTGATCCTCCAGAACAGGCGAATAAAAATTCTATTTCTTCATTGAAAAATTACCGAATTCCAAAAAAAAAGAATGAAGAAATTGATAAAGAAAATTTGATTGATAATAATAATATCAATGTGGTCAGTGATGATAATAATAATAAAGAAGATTTGGAGCAAAATGAAAATACCAGTAAAAAAAATTGCCAATTGTCGACTGATAATAATTCAGATCAAGGATCGACATTGTCCAATTGGAGTGGAAAAAATCGGTTGAGAAAAAGCTTTCCGATTGATTACAGCGAGTCGAGTTACGATGAAATCGTTCAACAGGTGACTTGTAATAAATTTGTAAGAAGTAATTCACGTGACTCGTCGGCTGGAGTCAGTAACATTAATAAAAAAGAGAGAGCCAAGGAAAAAACTGAGACGTCTGCGGAATATGTTTTGACGGAAATTGGGTTTGTACCTAATGTTGATAAATTGTCAAAGGTTCATAAGAATAGCGGTGGAGATGCGGAAAAATCCGTTGAGGTTAGTCAAAAATCGGAAGAATTTATAGAAGAAACAAAAAAATCAACAGAATCTATTAAACAAGGTGAAAATAAAGAAGATAAAATTAAAAAATCGGTAGAGCTTATCAGTAAAGAAGGTAAAAAATCTGAAAAATCAACAAAGGTCGATAAAAAATCGGAAGAATTTATTGAAGAAAATGAAAGAGGGCCAGAAAAAAAAGATAATGTACATAAATCGGTTAAAGTCGGTAAAGATGAAGAAATACCGATTCAATTGGAGATAGCCATGAAAAGTGAAATTTCGGATGCAAGTCAAAAGCGGGTGGTAATTGACACAAGAACGTTTGTTCATACCGATCTTGATGATGGCAAGAGGTATAAGTATACGATCAATACGTTAGCGTTCAGCAGTGTCGACGCATCGACGATGATGCAACAAAAAAAGACGATTAGTAGGCGTAAGAGAGGCCTAGGCTCCAGGTCTCCGTCTCCCGAGCCACCGGTCAAGATCAAGAGGGGACCCGGCAGACCCAAATCAGCAGAAGGAAATAAAAAGCCTAAGCCGAAAGAAAAAAGAGAGCGCAAGAAGAAAGAACCTGCGGTCAAGAAAGTTTGCGAGGAGTCGGATTGCAAGAAGGGCAAGTGTCGGTGTAAGCTCGACTCTTCTTGTCAGAAGCTCCCGTCTATGCCGAATTTTGATTATGGTGAAGAGGATGCCAGAGGGGAGAGGCTCAGCGATCAGCTTATCCAGAGAATTTTACTTCTTCGTGAACAAGGTGAGATTTTTTTTTTTTTTTTTTTTTTTTTTTTTTTTTTTATATGTAATTTTTATGTAATTTTTATACGAGATTATATTTTTTACGGAAAAATTTTTTGAAATTTGGTTTGGATATAATTTTATTATTTTTTTTTTATTAAATGTAATTTTTTTTTTCAAGGCAATCCGAACGTTGAAGCTGAATTAGATTCAGCGTTATCAATTGCATGTCCGGTGAACTGGAACCGACAGCAGTTAAAGAAACTTCTCAACGCTTTTCTAATTAAGCCAGCTCGACATCCTGCGCCCTCTGTCTCAGCACCTGAAGCAACTTCTGTCAAGCCATCAGAGACATCTACTTCGAAGACTCAACGTCGAACTATGGTGATAGATTTACCAGAAAACAGCGGAATTCGCAGCACTCGCCCTTCAAAACCGCGGACCAAGTTCGTGGATGATCCAGAGTGGAAGAAAGTCGCTGATAGTCTCCGTAACGTGTCAAAAATCCCCGAAATTGGGGCCTTAATGGACCCCAAAGTTCCGGAATTGCACCAGAAAACGCAGCCAGCACCGCCTGTAAGAAAAAGAAAGCACTCGCCGATAAAAATCCCCGAGGTGGGAGAAAAAAAAGAAGAAAAGACTAAGCTCAAGGTTATTTCTAGTGTGCCCACCAAGTACTCGATTCAGAAAATCGTCAGGCCAAATAATGTCTGGGAAATTCCTGAGACTTTAAAAGTCAAGGATGAGAAGCCTAAGGCTCCTCCAACTACGGATCTACGAGACAGATTGGTGAAGAAGCCCAGGGAAAGGCGGAGGTGGCGAGATGACAGTTCTGAGTCGTCTGATAGTAATTATTCTGGAGTGTTTCTAGTTGGGGATAAAGACCAATCTGATGAGAAACTCGCTGACCAAGTTGGGTCTGATTGCGTTGACAAAGTTACCGCTTGGCTTGGGCTTGGAAATGATGACACTCAAAATATTGATTGTAAGGTCAAAAATGGTGGTAGAATCAGCAGGGTTCAGAGTTGTTATAACGCCCAAAATTATAGTGATGAAAATAAGACCCAAAATGAAATTGAAGCAAACAAAGTTGAAAATAAAATTAATTTGGATAAACAACATAATGAAATTTCTTCAACTGAGTCCCAAAATCAAGACAAGGCCCAAAATAAAAATGAAATTGACAATTGTAAAGATCTAAATCAAAAGAATTTAAATAAGGCCCAAATTGAATCACATGAATTATCTTTAAAAACTCAAAATTCAAGCAATTTAGACGGTCATAAAAGTGACGATACAGTATTGTTGACATCAATTGAAAAAAATGGCAACGAAAGTGATAAAAATGGAGATAGCGAGGATGATGATGATGATGATGATGATGACGATGATAGCAGTAGTACTAAAAGTAAAAGTAGCGTAAGTAGTAGTTCTAGTAGTTCTAGCTCGAGTTCTAGCAGTTCTAGCTCCTCCTCGGGATTCGTTGACGAGTCCCAGTCCCAGTCCCAGTCCAAGAGCAGGTCTGAATTAGCTGGTCCTGGCCTCGTTCAGGAGGAGAAGGTCGATCTCGAGAATGATTTGAGATTGAATAGCGATGATGATGATGATGATGATGATGATGATGATAATGCGAAGCCTGGTGGTGATAGTAACGACGATCAGGATGAGAGTTTCAAGTTGCGGGTCGAGGATCAGGAGATAGAGGTTGAGGGTGGGGAGGGAAATTCACAGAGTGCTAAAAAGAACGATAATAATGATGATGATGATGATGATGATGAGGATTTTCTGGAATTGATGGTCAAGGAGGATGAATTTCCTGATAGGTAAGTTTTTCATTTTTAATTAATTGAAATATTATTGATGGTTTTAATTAATAGATTAAATAAATAAATAATAATAATAATATTGTATGAATAAAAATTTATGTAATTTTTTTTTTTTTTTTTTTTTCTAGTGTGGAACCTGAAGTAGTAGCGAAACAAAAAAGTCCAACCTTGGACCGGTACCAAGGAATGGAATCGACTAATTTTGAAAATTTCATTAACCAGAACAACAATGAATTTGAATCAACGTACAATTCCGTCGATTATAGCAATAAAACATACAACGATAGCAATAAAAAGAGCAGAAACAATAATTTTAGGAACAACAACCAGCAGCAGCCATCAAATCAACGAAGAACTAGATGGGACGTTGGTGCTTCCAATGATCCCCAACCAAGCACCAGCTCTAATAATACTAATCCGAATAATATATTAAGGGGTACTAACAATTTTAATATTAATCACAGTGTAAATAGTTATAGTGGGTACAACGGTTTCAATTGTGCGAGTATCAGCAACCCGAAACTCCAGCCAATTAACGGGAACATTCCTCCTGTCCGGAAAGTCTATGATCCTCAAGTCGACGGGGATTGCTCGGTTACTGAGGTAAAGTTGCAGTTCAAGCATTTGTGTCATTGTCAGCTCAAGTATGGCAATTGCGGTAGACTACGTGCTGGTAATTGTCAGTACAATCATACTGTAAGTTTTTTTTATTTAAAAAATTTTTCTTCAATTAATTATTATGACTATTATTAATATATCAATTAAAAATTTCCAGATTCCGAACAAATTAATCTACATCTACATGGAAAGCGAGCAAGAGATTAAGCAGATCCTAGATCACGCGATCTCAAATGGGTTCCTCGGTTACCTAGCATCAGTCTTTGAAAAATCAATAACTAAATTCGACGGCAACTCAATCCTTCTGGTCCTCAAAAATATCCTCTCTCTCTTGCCAACAGAGCAAGTCCGATTCTACCTTGACGCGAGCATCAGAGTCCTCTTGCAAAAGAACAAAACTCTAGCTTTCATCGCGAACAACCTCGCTGAGCAGGTGGTCCAGATTCTGATCCAATATCCGCGACTAGAAACTCTACCAACACTCGTCATGGACGCCATCTCTGAGAAAATATCCCGTGGCGCTTACTGGGACACTTTGAAAAAATTCTTCACGCTAATGCCTCGCGTAGAGCCCGCTCGAGTCGCGATTGTCCTCCAGGAGTCGCTTGATTTTAAAAAATCTCTGGTTCATAATTCGGAAGTTAATCAAATGATCCTCGATATGTTCGACTCTGTCCGTGACGAGATCGATCAGACACTCCTGGCGGACTTTAATAATAATTTTGAGGACCAGCAGAGACAGCACAACGCTGAGATTGCCTCGCCTTCGCCGGATCGAAGGGACAATTCGCCTCCGAGAGTTTCTTTAGGGCCTCCCCTAATAAGGTTGGTACTGCCGGCTCAGGATGATCTTTTGCCTCCTGGGGTCGTTTTTGAAGCGCCAAGGAGAATTGAGGAACGCCCTAGCCCTGTTGGTGAAAGCTCCACCGAAAGATTGGACTTACAGACTATTGGTAAGTTTTTTTTTTTTTTTTTTTTAATTGTTAATAATTTAAAAATTATATCGGATTTATTTGTAATATTTTTTGCTATTTTAATTGATTTATTAAATAAGTTTTTGGGAATTTAATTTGATTATTTAGAAAATTTTAAAAGTAAATAGATTTTTAAAGACACTTAGGGTTAGAAAATTTACCGCGCTACGATTAAAGCGCTTTGAAGTTAAAAACATGCAAGAGTCAACCATTTTGTTGACTAAACTCGGGCATTTTGTTTACAGACAGAGTTCCACCACCTGAATCTGTGTACAGAAACGAGGTAAAGGAGTTCCACAGGGACATAGATGAGCTCCGGACAGCATTACTCACAAAAAATTACCCCAAGATAATAATAATCCTCAATAAATACAAAATGGCGCAGAGTATTGAGAACGCACAGCCATTTTCTCGGGGATTTTATCGAATTTTGTGCACTGAAGTGATGACGCCGGAGCACACTGACGCGATTATTGAAAGAACAGCCGGTGAATTTATTACAGTGACCACCGTCGAAAATACTGCGACTATCAGTATTAACTACAGTCGGTAATTTAATTTAAATCATAATAATTAAAGGTGAGCCAAAAATTAACGCCAAAAAAGTTTAATTAATTCTATTTAAAGGTTAGTTTATTTAGAATATATATATATAAAAATTTAATGAGTTTGGTTTTTTTTTATATTTTTTATTACTGTAAGTTTCTTCAATAAATTTATTATTTTATACTTAACTTTTTTTTTTTTTTTTTTTTTTTTTTTTTTTTTTTTTTGTGTGATAAATTTATTTTATTTAAATTGTGCAGAAATTACAGTTTAAATAATATTATTAATTAGAAAAATATAAATAATTGCAAGCTTTGATTAATTTTAAGTTTTTTTAACATTAGTAAAATTATTTAAGTACAATTATAATTAGTCAAATTCAGGTATGTCGTCGAAAGAATACCCGGGAATTTTTCGGTACGCCATTAGTGCTACTCTCACGTGGTAAGCACCCGGGATAAACATTAGGATCCCTAAAATTATTATCGGCCACATACGGTCGCTGTACTAGAATAACAACAAAACAAACTTAATTAATTAATAATAATTCAAACGTGGAATTTTATTTTGATAATTAAAAATTTTTTATGCCTTCATTGGATAATACTTTATAAGCTAAAAATAATTGATAAAAAATTACCTTGGTATCAATATGACCACTGACAATAAGACTCCCAATAATTAACATTACAGTTCCACCGATAAACAACAATGACGCTAATGTTATTGCTTTCCAGGGAATTTTAATCGGCGGCCTTGCAAACTAAATTTAAAAAAAAGGAATTTATTTTTTTTTTTTTTTTTTTTTTTTTAATCAATTTATAAATTAATTAGTTAAATTTAAAAAAATTACCTGTGAATCAACAAATCCATTATGATCAGCTTCTGTCAATTGAGTGTAATCCACGTTGTCGTACTGTCGAGAATTGTTATTATTATTGTTGTTGAGATTGTTCAAACTATTAATAATATTTTTTCTTCTTGACATAATAATATTAACAAAATCTCCTGAAATAATTAATTGTTTTTATTGGATACACATTTTTCTATTACTAAAAATATATTATTACCAATATTCATAAATTTCACTGACAATTATTATTATTATTTATAAAATACATTTATTTATTAATATTAATTAACAATTGAGAACAAATATATTTTAATAATTTTTTATGTTTAATAAGTAAACAACAATGAAGTTGCAGACTGAATTATTTCGCTTTATATATACTTTCGAGACACTGACAGTCGAGAAAGTCAATAATCGATTCTTGGATTCTTGAGAAAAAAAAAAAAAAAAAAAAAAAAAAATTCACCAATTTGTCCATTGGTTGATTAAAAAGGTGTTTTAAATGCCGGCTTCAACAAAGCGGGGAAATTTTTAAATCCTTCGAGATATCAAAGGTGAAAAAAATCAATAATTTTTTTTTTCATTTTAAATGTCAAATTATATTGAAAAATCGATACTTTATTTTTTAAAAAAAAATTCTATCAATCTATAAAAAAAAAAAATAATCAATGCTTTGCTAAAAAAATTCTCAACAATAAATATCTCGAAATTAAATTATGGATATAATTTTTCTTTCCAATTTTTTTTTAAGTAAAAAAAAAGTTAAATAACCATAAAAGTACTTGAAATAAAAATTCTTAATTTGTTTTTCATCCCTTCTCTTGACTGCTAAACTATATGTATGTATAAGGTATATAAAATAAATATCGATTTATTTAAGTTGCTATACCTATATTAGTGCCCTTAGAGTCAGTAATGCGACGCCTGCGTCAACTCTCTACAATTCACCCTCCACACATATTTATATATACGTACATATAATACAGAGGGTTGAAATTTTGCTCAGTGCGGGCTCTGGGGGCGGCGAGGGCGGGTCGGCCTCCTTTAAAACAATTCCACTAAATCACTAACATACTTAACATAGATATAAAATTTATATTTAATATAAATTAAATAATATACTTATATTTTTTTTACCCAAGAAGAAATAAGAAAAAAAGGGGAAAGGGTGTGTAAAAAAAAAATCCGGAAAATTATTGAGCTTTAAATATCATTTCAGTATAAAAATATATTGTAGTGATATTTTTGTACTTAAAAAAGTGGTTGGAATTATATAAAAGTAGAATTTTAAAAGTGTCGTTTGGATATTGATTTTTGTTTTTTTTTTTTTTTTTTTTTTTTTTTTTCTTCATTGCCTTTTTGTAATTTTATTAAATTATATATATATATATATATATATATATATTTTTTTTTTTGATTGATTATCGGAAGGGAGAGCAGAGAATTGTAGAGAATTTTGAAGAAGATAAGGTTTATTATTAGAATTATTATTATTATTATTATTATTGTGGATGGTAATTAATAGGGGTGAATAATTGTGAATAGAAAGAGGGGAAAATTGTAATATTAGTTTTTTTATAAATTTTTCGAGCTTACCCGCAGTAAATCGTCCCCAACTCGTACAAGGTAATTATTATTATCATTATTTTTATAATTATATACTATGGTTAAAATTATTATAATTTTATATAATCAGTAAAATCAATTCAAAAATTGTTTTATATAATTTTACATAAAATTATATTTAGTCCTAAAAATGATTTATGATTTTCTATAAATATATAAAATTATATTTTTAACAAAACAATAATTTTGTAATCTAAAAATTTTGACGCCTACTTAAAAAGTTACTAATAAAAAAAAAAAAAAAAAAAAACTTTTCAGAAAAATGGATCTCCCCGGGCCAGTAGAAACAGTAGAAAGTGGCCGTAACTTCCGGCTGCTTTCCGAAGAAGAGCTACCTCAGCTTCTAGACTTCCTGAATGGCTACTTACCCGAGTCACTCAAGGTAATTACTAAAAACTAATTTTCAATAATTAATAAATGAAAAAAAAAAAAATCTTTTCAGAAAAATGGATCTCCCCGGGCCAGTAGAAACAGTAGAAAGTGGCCGTAACTTCCGGCTGCTTTCCGAAGAAGAGCTACCTCAGCTTCTAGACTTCCTGAATGGCTACTTACCCGAGTCACTCAAGGTAATTACTAAAAACTAATTTTCAATAATTAAAAAAGGAAAAAAAAAAAAAATATTTTCGTTGCGGTTTTTTTATCGACGTATCTCATTAAACAAGCGAGAAAAAAACAAGGATAGTTTCGTGCAGCGCGGTTCAACCTTGACCGTGAACTTTTTGTCCTTAAGCATGCAGTAACTTAATAATCATTTATAAAATCACTTACAATAAATTATATCGTGTAATAACAATTAAATAAATTAATTCAATATTCAAATATTAACTTTTTTTTTTTTTTTTTTTTTTTTAGTTTCACCAAACAGTATTGACGTATATGAAAAACAAGGTATGGGAATTTAACTTTTACGTGGCAAACGACTGGCCGGAGGTGCCAGTGTGCTTGCACTTCCCTGGTATGACTCTGTCGGTAAGTCAATTCAATTATCTCATGGATATTCGTAATCTGGAGCCCGCAAGAGCTTTCATTTGAGTACCCACACGCATTTTTATCACATGTGTGCGCACATATAAGATAAAAATGCATGTGGGTACTCATTTTACGCAAAATTTCAAGGGCTTTAAGAATATGCAACTGACTTTTTGAAAAAATAAATCCCCAGAGAGATAAATATGATTTTAGCCCCACGGTCTCTTGTACGAGAGCTTCGGTGTTTATTGTCCGACAGACAAGCTGGAGCATCTGACCCTTCTGCGCGAGGAGGACATACTGATTGACTGGTCTCGGCCATTATACATAAACTTTATTCATTGTGATATTGCTGATGAATTGTTTCGTCTGTACAACGACGTCGGTACAATCGACCGCGTGCTCGGTGACGTCTGGGCGTACCGGAACTTGGGCGAGGAGGATGACAGCGGTGACGGAAGCTCATTGGTAGCCGCACAGGAAGACTCTTTGGAGCCTCAGCCGGGCGAGGGCGACGGAGACGATGTACAGGTGCTGCCTCTTAATGCGGAGCACGCAGAGGGAATACACGAATTATATCCGGCCAATGACATGGAGTGCCACGAACTCTTTCTCAGGCTCATCAGAATCCTTCCAGCGGGTGGCGTTTTTGTTAATAATATTCTTGCGGCTTGGATGATACAGTCATACTATGGCGCGATGTTCTCTATGCAGACTAAACCAGAGTTCAGAAGGAAGGGTTATGGTACACGATTAGCTAGGTATGTATTTTTTTTTTTTTTTTTTTTTTTTTTTTTTAATTAATTAATACAATTATAATAATCGTAAAAATTTCTTCAGGTTCCTGACAAAAGTAGTATCCGAACGCGGGTACATTCCATTCGTAGTAATACGTCCTGAGAACGAAGCAAGTCAGAGTTTATACAAAAAATTAGGCTTCCATAAACTATACCAGACCGTCAGAGCGACGATGATTCCTTACGGGTGGGAGGAGAAGGAGAAGGAGGAGGAGGAGGAGGAGGAGGAAGAAGAAGAAGAAGAGAACAAGCTCAAGCAAGTACAAAAAGAGACCGATTGTGACAAGTTCGAGAATATAGTGCGCAAGCTAAGGCTTGAGGAGCGCGTCCTAGACGCCCTGGTGACCAAGAATGACGAGCAGACTGTTGTACCGACCGCTGGTCAAACAGACGACGACGACGACGGTGACAACGATCCGACGATACTCGAGACCTCTGATTCTCCCAAGGGAGAGGATGACGACGAGATTCTCGACGGAGAAAATGGATATGGAAAGTGTCATGATGAAGCTCTTGAACCGATCGAGGAAAATGTCCATCAAGAGGATGTCGAAAAAGTTGATTGTGATAGTGGTTAATTTTTATTATTTTATTATCTAATTTTTTCTTTAAAAAATGCTTGATTTTTTTATTTGATACCGATACCGAGATCTGAAATATACTGACTAAATTTGTCAACGGTCGGTAATAATTATCAATGATATTAAATATTAAATAAAAATCTAAAAAAAAAAAGTTTTTTCTTGCTGAGCTTATGTTGAAGTTTTAAATAAAAATTTCTTACCGATCTCGGTAATCGATACCGATCTCCACTAAAAAATTTCCTCTTATCACTAACGACAATCTGCTTTGCCGATAGTCGGCAGCCGGTATCGATCTGCTTTTTCGACACTAAAACATTGCTTGTCCGTCTACCAACGCACTATGTTTTAAAAATTTTGTTATTATTAATTAATTAATCTAATATAATCTAATTAGTTAATCAAATATTTTTATAAAAAAATATAATAATGTGTAAAAACTATTTAAGAATTTTTGGGGATTTGATAATTTTATCCACAGAATATGTAGGAGAATTTTTTTATATATATATATATATAGATATTTTAAGTATATGAACAAATAGGAATAATTAAGATTTTTTTTAGCTTAATAATTTTTATATTTTTTTTCAATTTACACAAATGTACAAAAAAAATTTTTTTTTTTAAATAATTGTCTCTATACTTGTAGTAGTCTCTAATTAATAATTTATTTGAGTACTCACATCGCGAAAAACCGTGAATTAAATCTACTGGGGCAAATATTTTCGCAATTAAAACATGTGGGTACTCATTTTTTTCGTCTTTAAGCCTATAATTTATTTTGAGAAGAAAAATAAATTTTTTTTTAACGCATATCGTATTTCTAGACAAAAAAAAAAAAAAAAAAAACTTGAAAGTAATTAGAGTAAAAATTATTTGATTTTTTTTGTCAAAATGCGCAAATTTATTAATTACAATTTGTTAAAATTAATTGACCCGGGGGCCAGCTGTGATACATTTATCCAATCTACTTAACGTTCTTATTAAAAAAAATAATAAAATAGAAAATTTTTTAATTAATAAAATATTTTTAAAAAATTTTCCCAGGGACGCGTCAATTAGAGCAATTAAAATTCCAATAAAAAGTATTTCAATTAAAAAAATAAATTGAAGCTTCCAAGGCTATTATTATTATTATTATTATTATTATTATTATTATAGAGAAAATTTTAATTAGGGCCTAAAATATATATTAAATGATTTTTATTGTAATAAATAATTTAAATCACTCTTTGAATTTTTTCACTTCGCAAATGCTTGATTTTAATTTTGTTTTAATTAAATTAATTAATTATAATCTAATGATTAATGATAATAATTATTATTATAATTATAATAACAATAATGATAATTATATTGAAGATATTGATATAAGAATGATGGTTATTATTGTTATTGTATAATTGTATAATTAAAATGTAAAAAGAATTGTCAACAATGTATTTTTTGGTTGGAAATAATTAATTAGGGGGTAATTTATTGTAATTTATTAATTTAATTAAAATAAATATCAATATATTTTATCGATTTTATTTACCTTGTTGTTTATATTAAATAAAATAATTTCTTAATTAGAAAATCAAAAAATTTAAAACGTCGACTAACTCTGGTATCATTTTTATCAATTGTTAATAACAACAAAATTAATTGCACACACTACCGACAATAGATTAATAACACACACACACACACACACTTATCTCTCTCTTATCCATCCATCCTCGCTCTGAATGTCAAACAAATAAGCGGGCAAGTATTATCAGTATCTATTAATTCCACACTAATTCCCATTCCCAGTGTCTGTATCAGTGCCAGCATGCATCTGGACCACATCGTGGCGCCTCCTGGTGGCCATGGCTAAAATTAGTCGTCCGAACGGCCGAGTGCAGTCGTGGAGGCTCCTGGAGTTGAGAGTCGACTCGGGAAGCGGCTGGCGGTAGTCGTCGGAATCGGACTACCGCACTGTTCACTAGCTGTTGAGTTTCGCAGTCAGTATTTGTAGTATTACCGTCAGTATCTCGGCAGCTTCGGCCCGGTTCGCTCTTCGACGCCGTAATCTTTTTTGTTTCTATTTATTCTATTCATTCCAGTTCTTCTGTCTCTTTCTTCAGTTAAGTTTTTTTTTCTCCCCTCCTGGATTCTCTCCCACCTACGGCTAAGTGACGTCAGATAATTAGAGTAAATACAAAATATATAATAATAATTATTACTTAATATTTAATATTAAATAGTTGGACATTTTAGTGAGTGTTGTGCGCGTTGATTATTATTTTTTTTTTTTTTCTTAATAATAATTATTAGTGGTGAAATAAAAAATAATAAATTATTTATTTATAATAACTAACTAATGTTTGTGGAAAATATTTTTTGTGATTTTATTTACTTGTCATGGATAAAATAGAGGTGAGTTAGGTATTATTATTAATATTGCATGTAAAATTTTTTTTTAATTAAGTAATTTTAATTATTTAAAAAATTTTAAGAAAAAAAATTTATTTTTATTAGATAATTAAAATTTTTAATTTTGATCGATATAATTTTTTTTAATTATAATTAAATGACAATTTAATTTTCTAATTTTATAAAAATTGTAAGTGTTGAAAAAAAAAAAATTTTTTATTATTAAATTAATGATATTTAGATTGAATTTGGAAGTCTTTGTCTTACAGTTAACGATAGAGTGGATATAAAAGAGAGGGGGTAATGTGAAAAAGTGGGGAAAGCGGGAAGAACAAGAGCGAGTTTAAAAGTGTATAAGTGCGTGCGCATAAGAAAAACAGAGAAGCACCGAGTAATGACTAGAGAGAAGGAGGGACGAGCCAGGAATTTTTGGTGTAATTTATAATTGAATTTATATACATATATATGTATTTAAATTAAATGGCGCGGGAGAGAGAGCCGGAGGGGGAAGTTGATTGATTATTAATTTTGCTAATAAGTCATGCTTACTTCTTTTTTATCATCTATTTAATTATAATAATAATAATAATAATAATAATAATAATAATAATAATAATAGAGTTATTGTAGAAATTATTGAAAAGTGTTATTGCATAATTGAATTTGATTTTTCTTCACTTTTAATAATAATAATAATAATAATAATAATGAAATTAAAATTTTTAATTTTTTTTAGTAAAATTTAAATTTTAAATAATCTACAATAATTTTGTTTAAAATGTTTTTTTTTTTTTTTTTTTTTTTTTTTTTTTAAGTTAAAATTTTAAATTTTAAATAATCTACAATTAGTTTTAGTTTAAATTCGGGTTTTTTTTTTTTTTTTTTTTTTTTCAAATGGGACCAATAATGATTATAATAACTTCAATAAAGTAATTAGTTGCTAATGATCTAAAAAACAATTATTTATGATTTTGGAGTGAGATAAAATTTGAGCACGTGGCTTACTTTAGAACTAAAGAGTCTTTAAAGATTAGAGAGAGAGTTTAAGTTGTAATTTACTGTATTTTAATTTAAAAAATGACTAAGTATTTCTTTTTTTTTAGAATTGCACTATTATTTTAAATGAGTTAAATTTTATAATTCAAAGTCGGAATAAAATAAAAAATAAAAAATTTATTATTATTAATTTTTGTTAAGATAATAATAATAAAAATTTTCAAAATAAATAAATCAACTAATAAAAATAAATATTAAACTCTCACAAACTTGTAATTGCACTCGGCGTAGACCCACGGAGTTATAATCATAATAATAATATACTTACACGTCTCCTTGATATATACACACATTTATATATCTATATACGATGAAAAAGAGCGAGAGAGATAGAGAAAGAGAGAAAAAGTGGGGACAGAGTCTCGGGAGATCAAACACGAGTATATAAAAGTTTTACTTATTTATATTATTTTGTTTTTATCTTATTTTTATAAATTATTCTATTATTATACTTTACTATACTAATCAATTTTTTATTTTTATTTTAACTAACTAATTACAATAATAATAAATTCTGAAAATTGAAATATTCTTCCTCTATTTCTTTGGAATTTAAAATTCAATTATAATAATTAAATTTTAAATGATAATTTTTTTTCTACTTAATTTATTAATTAATATTAGTAATATTGACATTAATTTTAATAATACACTGATAATTATAACATTAAAAATAAAAAAAAGGTTGATTATTCTTATAGAAAATGTAACTTTTTTTTATGTCAACCCTCACCCCTCGTTACTTTATTCTTCCCGGTCGCAGCATCCCTCCACCTTGTTCCTCCTGCGCTTCCCCGCTGGCATCGACCGTATAATTTAAAAATATATATTTTTCTTTTACATTTTGTTGGTAATGGGAAAATTATTTTACGACTAGGTACTTTTATCAAATTTTATTCTAAGAATATTAATTTTGTCATTAAATTTTCATTTAACTTATCCAATTATTTAACAATTTATTAAAGTTAAACTAATTGATTAGAAAAGAAAATAATTAAAAAACTGTCCTTGGAAAATTTTTATTATTCAGAATAAGCAATAATGAAAAATTAAAAATTTTAACAAAAATTAAACAACAATATTAAATAGTTTCATTATATTTTGATAAAATATTAGTTAAATATTACCTGAATTAGAGTAAAATAATGGACAATTGAAATTTGGAGCAATCAATAATCAATTGAATAATGATTTATCATCGGTAATATAAAAAATAAAATATAACATTAGCGAGTGAATCAATATAATTAAAGCGTAATTACAATTAATGTTTTCGCATTCACTTTAACAGTTTATATATGTGTGTCTATATTCTATATATATATATATATATATATACATAAATTTATGTATGAGCAAGCAAAAGAGAATGAATAAATTTAGTACGTGTGTGTTTACTCACACATATGTCCGTGTGTGTGTGTGTGAACAAACACATGTGTGCGAGTGTATAAACGAGTTTTAACGTGCACGAGTCAAGTTAAATATCTCTGTTGCAATATTTTTATTTATTTTAGTGTTTAAATTTATTTATTTATTTATTCCAATCATTTTAACAATTTTATTTTGTAATTTAATAATGAATAAATTTTTTAAATATTTTTTTAGACTTATAGTTGGCAAATTTTTTTTAGTACAATTTTGTACAGGTCCAAAGAAAACTTTTTTAAAATTAATTGTTCCCAAAAATAAAAAATTACGAAATTTAAAAGGGCTGTAATTTGGAAAATATTGAATTTAATTAAATTTTCTATCAAACTAAAATTTTAACTCCAAGATTTTTCTATTTTAATTTTTAATAGAAATTTTTTCCAAGGTCAATTTTTAATTAATCGCTATAATTATTACAAATAAAAGATGAATAATTAATTAATTAGTAATAATAGCAAATTAAAAATCTATAGTGTTTTACATTCCAATGTTATTACATTACACGGTTATCACGAACTCGCAGTTTTGAATAATTGAAATTTTATAAAAAACAAACATACGTGTGTTATCTTATCTTATACGATTTTTAATGACATATCAGTTTTAAATGACATTTTTATTATTAATAATTCAATTGCTTAAAAAAATTTTTTATTAATAATAATAATCCTGGAATATTATTAGCATATCCATAAATACTAATCCGGTAAAAATTAACCTCCTTAATCGGTGAGATAACAAAAAACTAACAAATCACTTAAAAAAAAAAAAAAAAAAAAAAAAAAACGACATGAACGTCGTCTATATTTTTTTGTTCCTCTCGTTTGATATATCATCTTCCTCTCACTTAACTCGTACCTCTTTATTTCGTCTTAGCCCTCTCGCGTTGCTTTTATTCTTATTAATTTTATAACTTACCGAATTTACTCTCTCACTTCCCTCTTCCTTCCCTGTCCCCTCTTTTTGTCCCGAGGTATCCCCACTTTTTTTTCTCTCTTACAAACTTCAACACTGTATAGTAGTAGTAGTTATTATTCCTCTTTCCTCCTTTATTTCACATATTTTGTTATATGTATGTATATATATATTTCGTACATATTTTTTAGTTCCAAAGTGATATCAAGATTATTATTATTATTATTATTATCATTATAAAAATAATCATAGAATAATATTAAAAATAAATTTTATTTATAATTATATTAATTTATTATAATTTAAAATAAAGGATTTAAAAAAATATTATCTAGGATAGAAAAATAAAATAATAAAGTATAAAGATAGCTTAAATTAAATGAATTAAAAAATAAAATAAAACATTCCTAAAGCGAGACAGAGACAGAGAGCGAATTATTGACGAGGTAGTACGTGTGCTAAAGTGAGTTGACCGTGTACCGAGAGAAAACAAGCGCGGCTTAATCGAGAGGGAAAACGAACAAAAATAATATTAAATAATAATAATAATAAAATAAATATAAGATAGAAAAGTCGATAAGAATGAGCACCACGGTCATAACTATTTCCAATGTTTTAAGAGAGTACAGTCCATATTAAAAATTGTTTCTTATTTATTGTTATTATTATCATTATCATTATTATTAGCATTCATTGATCTCTTAAATATTAACAGTTAACTGTAATAATAATTGATTGTTAATGATAATGATATTAATAATAATTATTTTTAAAATTTCCAATATTTTTGTCAATAGAATTTTTCGTATCACAATAATTAATTAAAAAAAAAAAATTTTTGATTAAATATTAATATAATGATAATAATAGTATTAAATTTTTTGTTAATTAAAAAAAAAAAAATTTAATTAAAATAAAATGGTTAATAATTGTCAGCGGTACGGCGAAAACTTTTGTCTGGGATTGTACGACGTATAAATTAGAATTTTTTTTGTATTTGTGTGTGTGTGTGTGTGTAAGTATATTTCATGCTAAAAATACGATTAAAAATTATTTTTTTGCAGAATATATTTTTTAGTGAATTACATTTTTATTTTATTATAAATATTAATAAAAATAATAAAATTGTTATTAATTATAATTAATAATAAAATGACAAAAATAATCTATATTTATTATCATTATCATCTATTAATCAATTATAATAATTACTCTTGTTATTATCAATGCACGTATCGATTGGCATTATGATGATGATGATGATTATTATTATTATTATTATTATTGCCGCTGCTGGTATACGTAATTTAAAATGATGTATGTTGGAAATTATATACGCTTTTAATTTATTATTCAATCATCATATTTCTCTTTTTTATTTTATAATTTTAATAGTAATTTCAATAATAATTTAAAGTGACCATATTTTATTTCTCTCAGCAAAAATTTTTTGATCAAAGAATTTCGTGATTAATTTTTGTTAGATTAATTTATGTTGTGATAAATTTTTGCTGAGAAATTTTGACATGGGTAATTTTTTCGGATTAATAAAAGAGGAGAGCCATAATTTAAGTTTCAAAAAAAAATAATAATTATTATTATTATTATTGTTGAGATAATAATGAAAATAATAATTCATCCATATAATTTTATACAACTCTACGTTTGTATCAATAATTATAAATATATGAATACATTTTTATATAATCCTCCATCACTCAGCACAATTATATACACAACTATTTAAAATTGTAATTGTAATTTAAGGAAGGTCAGATGACATTGTGTGAAAATTAAAAAAAAAAAAAAAAAAAACAAATATAATTTTAATTACTTTATAAATTAATCTGTTGTCTAGGCCCTCAGATAACAATTTTGTACAATAATTGGTAAAAATAATAGTGACTGCGACTCGTGCGTATCAACACACTCGTTGCTCGTGCGCTCAATTCCAGTCTCGTGCAAAATTTTAAATTTCTCCCCACTAGCTCCAACGTTTGCACTTTATTGTCATTGATTTTTTTCAAATAATAATAATAATTTTTTTTTAATTTTTTTAATAATAAAATTGACAATAATAAGAGTAATAATAATTTATAAACGAACGAAAATTCCATTGAATTTCAAATAGATGACAAATAAAGGAATAAAGAGGCAAAGTATAAGCGCGGTTATATAGACGCGCGGTGGGTGAGCGTAAGGGGGCGGTTTTAAAAGCAATGTAGACCCGGGTGTCAGGAGGCAAGGGGTACTACCACCACCACTTTATATATATATATATTAAACATATATTTATGTCTGTATGTACATATGTATGTGTACACTAATATACAACAGTGCAGTCGGCAGGACCGTGAGAGAGAAAGAGAGAGAGAGAGAGAGAGAGAGAGAGGTTACTTGAGAGCGCAGATAGAGACAGAGAAGGAGTTAGTAGAGGGCAAACTCGATACGAACGTAGAGATCGTGTACAGTCTGTGATAAAAACGAGGTCAATATATAAATTCAATATTATTATTAGCTTAATTAATTATACTTTTTTTTTCTTTTTTAATGTTTTTTTTAATCAGTCTTCAAATATTTAAATTTCGTTATTTTATAATATTTTTTTTTTAATATAATTTAATATTTTGTCATTTTTTTGTCCATTTTATTTATTAGAGATTAAAATTTTATTTTTGATGATATTTTATGTTAAAATTTCATGATATATTTAATTTTATAATTTAAAAACATTTTTTACTCATTGATATTTTGAATCCCCTCTCCACACTCAAAATCAATGTAAAAGATTGATATGAAATTTCTGTTATCATCGTTCCGCAAATCCTCCTCCTCCTCTATTACCCCCACTCTAAAATCCCAACCGATTCCCAAAATAATAAAATAAAAGTAATCAATAGACAAAAGTTGTTTACTCTAACATTCAATTAACTTACTGCGCAATCAATAATACACATCGTTAGCAATTACTCACTTTTTAAAAATAATATAACTTTATATTAATCAATTATTATTATTTTTAATAAAATCAATGATTTAAATATCCCTATGATGATTTTCCATGATAATGGAATAATTAATTCAACTTAATGAATAATGATTCATCAGATAAATAACTTTTAATATTATTAATTATACAAGCAAGGAAATTAATTTCATTAATTATAATAATTATTCACTTATATAAAAACTCACCATGACGTTAAAAATTTCGAAGCCCTTCGAAATGAGTATCCATATGAATTTTTTGACAAATGTGCTCATGTGTGTCAGAATCACACACATGTCGATCTCTTAACTTTTGGGTATCAGGTATAAGTGTGGCATGTTTGGGCTCATTTAAAAAAGGCATGACAATCAGAGTTCAATAAAGGTGTTAAATATGGACCTATTGATTGAATGGTTTTTTTTTTCGTTTTAGCTGCTGGGAAGCGCGTGCTTCAGCCATGGCCCGTACACCTTCTACAAAGCGGTTAAGATAAACAATAACCGTGTTCTGAGGCTCGGTAACTTTTTTCTCACTAAATTATGGACAGATACAGACTTGGTCAGTATCGGAGAACTGCAATTGTTGTGGGTGGATAGCCGGGGCTCTAATCAACCGTTGGCGTCATTGAGATTGTATTTTTTACCGGAGAACACTCCTGATGGACGACGGGATATTCATGGCGAGGTTTGTATATTTTTTTAAAAATTTTTCCGCTAACTATTGTCTAGATTGGCTTTCATAATCATAAAACAAATTTAATTATAATAAATTAATATCAAAAATATCAGCGACATTATAACTTCTTAAAATATTAATAATATAAAATAACTTTTGATAAAAATTTATTGAAAAAGAAAAAAAAAAAAAAAAACGCTTATACGTTTATAATTTTTTAATAAAATAAATTGCTTTCAGTGTATTGTATACCTAGTAGCTGAGTGTATATAGTATAAAGTTTAAATCACGAAGATAGAAATAGTTTCGAGGGGGGTTAAAAATAATAAAAATAAAATAACAACCCACCGAGCTTGCGAGCGAGTTAAAGGGATAAGAGGGGAATATTTGGAACAGTAGTGGGGAATTTTATCCACCACACACTCATACTCCCCCAGATATTAAATAAGAGAGGGGGAATTTTGGTTATAGTGGGGAGGCTAATGGGGGTTACTATGGATACACATCTTTAGTTGTTACTTATGTTTGTACACATTCCATATATATATATATATGAGTTGAGTTTATAGTTCGCGCGTGTTTCCAATACCACTTGTGATATAATTTCCCCTCCTTCAGCCCTTTCAATAGCATACATACATTTTGATTCACCTACACCCTCACTCCCCTTTCCCCCTCTTGAGGTTTATTCCTCCTAGTTTGGATGGTTGAGTAAACGACAAGAATACCCAAACACATTAATTTTATTACTATCTTACGTTTATCTTTACTTTAATATCAGTCATCATTTTAATTTTACTTTTTAAGTTACTGTTTTACCTACTGACGATAAATTTACTATTTTTATCATTTTTAATTTCTACTGATATTTTTTATATTCCTGACATTCAATTAAATTTTTTTAAATTCAATTAAATTTATGATATTTAGCGATATTACTGATATTTTGGACGTTCTAAAATATCAATGATATTTGAAAATATTACCGATATTTTTTATTATTTTTAAATGTTTTAAAAAAAAAAAAAAAAATATTAAAAAAAGTAAATTAAAATAATAAATAATAATTAATATGAGAACCGCTGATATAGACGCGTTGATATCTTGTATAGTTCCCGTCCTTGGCACTCGTGTACTCAAGTGGTAAAATCATTGTCCATTTAAACATTTATATCCTTGCTTTTATTTCGACAATATATTTACTTTCCTTTCTTAAAACCGACCGTTTCACAATAATAATAACCAAAATAATAATCACAATGGTAATCACCATCGCACACACAATAAATGGAAAATAATTAAATAATTAAATAATTAAACAAAAAATAACGCTACAATTTCATACAATTTTTTTTTTTTTTCCATTTTAATTTAAAAACAAGTCAATTATAATTATCATTTTTTAATCTAATATTATCATTGTTATGGATGACAAATTAATAATATTTTGTAGAATTTTATTAGTTTTTTTAAGTGAACAACAACAATATTATTTTTTTCATATTTTTTTTTTGTTAAACTGACATTTAATATAACGTATGAAACACTTAGATATCTAAAAATAACTCGTGAATAATATTTCAGTCATGTATACATTTAAATTTATCTTTGTACACTATCAGATATATATTTATATATAATTTATTTTTTTATAAAAACGAAAAATTAATTTAATATTATTCAAAAATTTTTTTTTTGTTCAAAAAATTGAAAAAACATAAATTAATGTTTATAAATTTTTAAAAGTTTATACAAAATAATTTTTTGCCATAAAAAAAAAAAAAATGTAATTAAAATTTTGGTCTTTGCTGGAATCGAACCCAAGAAAGCTAATTTGATAAATTAAATCATATGCCGCTACGCCAACGTAAATTTAGTATTGCCAAGTAAATTGAAAATTTTTTTTGTCTATTTTTTCAAACAAATCTAATTATATATAGTTAAAAAAATACAATTATATACATGAAAATAAATAATATAATTTTATATAAAATTATAATAAAAAAAAAAAAATTATAATTGAGCGTCACTGGAAAGAGCAGGTTGACTTTCCCCGTTAAAAACTACCCCTCAATATCCACCGCTCTTGCAATCCTATCCCCTTCTCCTAAAAATATCCTCACCACCACGACTCTCTGCTCCCACTCCAGTGGACGTGCCGAGATAATAATAACAATAATATGTATACTACAATTACGACTACATACAACATACTATTACACATAAAAAAGAGCACAGTATAGTTGGCAGTGTTCCTTCTCTCTCTCTCTCTTTTTTTTGCACTACTAGATATTGTTATCATTATTATTATCATCATGGTTATTATTATTATTATTATTATTATTATTATTATTATTATTATTATTATTATTATCATTATTATCGCTCCCGCTTAACTCGGAAATTCTCTGTATTCAAAACCAATCGATACTGTTTGATTAATTAACTTGTATTTAATATGATAACTTTACAGATAAAATATTTTATTTATTATATTAATAATTAAAATTTTTTTTTTTTTAATAATAATAGTTAATATTAAAGTGAATAAATTTATTATGTATAGGTATTATTATGTAGATTTTTTTCAAGTATCTATTAGATTTTAATTTTTTATTTTGAATTTTGTTTTCGTGTTTAACGGGATATTACCCATACTTTTTTTAATCAATGATAATTTTAAAATTAATTAAAATATATTTTTGGTGTTGTACAATATCATTGATATTTTCTTCATTCTTCATTTCAATATACTAATCCTATTTAAATTATCTTTTAGGACGAAGTGCTGACAATCTCAGAAAAAGTAGTCGTCCACGTGCACGATTTGGTATCCTGGTTATCCCCTGACTTAGAATGGACCTGGGGAAAAGAAGTAATCCTGCCACCGGCGTCCACCCTCCCACCAAAGTCGCCACCGTCTATCTTACCGACTGCCAATGAGTCTCCCGTAAAATCCGAGCCCCAGTGCTCGGACACTGACGAAGGAGAGCTCGATAAAAAAGACCTGGTGCCGCAAGTACTTACTGATCCAGGAATTGACTTCACCGACGTTGACAAGAGCGAGCTCTTTGATACTGACAGCAAGCCTCCTCCACCTGAGTCTCCAGGAGTCGGCGAGCAAAACACCAAAGTGGTGGTGCTGTCCTACCCCAGGTACTGCCGGTACCGAGCACTGCTGAGAAGACTAGAAGGTTCTGAGCCATCTTGGCTGTCGACTTCTCTGGCAGCCGCGTTGGGGGGTTTCACGGCTCTACCAGGTACCAGGGTCCTCTTCTGCAGAGACACGTTCGACTATCCAGACCTGGAGACCCACGAGCTACTCTGCAACCACCTTGCGCCCAAGTTAAAAGGTCGCCCAAGGAGAAAACGGAAAAAACGGAGTACTTCTCCTGGAGAGTCTTCCAACGAATCCGAGGCTTCTGTCGCTTCTACCTCCCGGTCGACTTCGTCGTCGCTCTCGAATTTTCCAGCCAAGTCTGCAACGCCACCGTCTACTAGTATATTGACGCACAGTAATTTTTCGGCTTTATCGACAATCCAGTCCGCTTCGTCGATCATGTTGATCTCTTCCAGGGGCGAAATGGTTCGCAGGAGCGAGAGAAAGGTCACTGGGGATGAAAAAAGGTTCATGGTTGATGTTCAGAGCTTTATGAGTCTGAGAGGAACGCCAGTATTGAAAATGCCATTGCTTGGTTACCGACAGAGTAAGTATTTCTTTTTTTTAATAATAATAATAATAATAATAAGTCTACTTAATACACATTTATTAATGTTATCTTTTTTGTTTCAGTTGACTTGTATTTATTTTATAAACAAGTTCAAAAACTAGGAGGTTATGATACTGTAACGTCTAATCGGCTCTGGAAGTCGATTTATGATGAAATTGGAGGTAATACTGGGTCGACTAGTGCTGCCACTATTACAAGACGGCATTACGAAAGGTATAATTAAATAAAATTCTAATATAAACTTTAAAATAATTAAATTTTCTGTATATAATTTTAGATGATGAATAAAATTGAAAAATTTTTCAGGTTACTCCTGCCCTATGAGCGCCACCAACGTGGAGAAGAAACAAAAGTTCGCCCGGTAAGCCGGCGCAGTAAGTCAATCTCTGATTTACCAAGCGATTCACCGGATTCTCCCAAGTCGCCTACAGAAAGCTGTCTCATCACAAACAATATTAACCTTAACCTTAGCATTAATAACAACAATAGTAATAGTAATAGCAATAATAATAATAATAATATTAATAGTAACAATAATAATAATAATAATAATAATAATAATAATAATAATAATAGTATCGTGAGCATTCCCGATAAACCAAAGACTGAACAAAAACCCTCGTCATTGCGGAGTGTGCGCGTGAAACCAGAACGGTTAAAATCCCTGTCGATATCGTCGTCATCTTCAACGTCTTCATCCCCCTCACCGTCGCCCTCATCCATTTCTGTTAATAATAATAATAATAATATTATAATTAATAGTAATAGTAATCATATAAATAATACTAGTTCACCTCCTGACTTACCAGCAAGTCCGCTGTTGACGTCAGCGCCATCTTCTGTTTCTTCACAACAACAATCTTCATCATCGATCGATATTATATCGATTAACTCACCTAATAATTTTGATGGTACTTTGACGGTATCTGATAGTGGAACAACAACAACAACAACAACAACAACAATGGATTGTGATAAGAAGTTTGATAACTCGAAGAGTAATGATGTTTTATTACCACAAAATAAAGAAAACATTCCAATGTATGTTGTTGGAATAAATCAAATTTTAGAACAAGATAATTTTAGCCAACAACAACAACAAGAAAAATATCAAATACAACAAAAAAATTCGGAAGAACAGCAAAATTTTGATCAACCAAAACAAGAACGAGAACCACAACAACAAAGTTGTGAACAACAATTACAAAATCAACAAGATCTAGAAAATCAACATCAACAACAACAACAAGGCTTACAATTTGAACATCAAAAACAAATAAACGATGACTTAAAACAACTAAGTGATGACTTACAACAACAAGAACAACTAAATTTCGATAAACAACAACAAGAACAGCAAAATATTAATGAGCAACATAGTTCTCAACAAACACAACAACAAATTTTAGAAAAACAACAAAAACAAAAAGACTTGTACGTCGAAGAAAATTTGCAACAACAACAACAACAAAGTTTGTTACAACTACAACAGCAAAGTTTGGAAAAACGACAACAAGAATTCCAGCAACAACAAAGTATGCAACAAGAACAACAAAGTTTAGAAAAACGACAACGACAACAAGAATTTTCGGAAAATTATAATCTTCAAATACAAAAACGAAATATAGAATATCAACAAAATTTGGAAATGCTACAAAAACAGCAAGAACTCCAACAAAGTTTCGTTTCTGAACAACAACAACAAATTTTCCGGAAAAATTTTGACCAACAAAGACCCCAACAAATACCAAGAGTCCCATCACCAGAAGTAATTGACCTAGAATCTGAGCCTGAAACTCCGCCCCCAACAACACCATCAATAACAACAACAACAACAACAACAACAACAACAACAACAACAACAACAACAACATCAACAACCACAACCACAACAACATCAACAAACTCCCGGGACAAAATAATAATTCCAACTTTTAAGAAACGAAAGCTCGAAATTCTTCGAGAAGGGGGTCTGGAAGTAACAGCAGTGGACCTAGCTGACCGACCTAGCGTGATTCAAGCTCACCCGAACTCTCCGTTACTTAGCAGCGCACTTCCGCCTACCAAGGATCAACCCGAGCCAAAGCAAAAGCTAATATCAGTAACAGTGACCCCTGACATTTCTCACATACTAACCGCCGATAAGATGAACAACAACTGCAACGCCAAGAAGTACATCGCTCCAGTTCCTCCAAAGGTCATCCAGTCCCACTCGATCTTCTCCGGAAACGAACGAGTGATCTACGGAAACCCCAAAGATATCTTATCAAGCTCAAAGTACGCCGCTAGTTCTCCAGATGTTCTCGACCTCACAAAAGCCGCTCAAAGTTTTTCCCGTCCTAACCTCGAGATCGTCCGAGTTCCGGTCGTTCCTCGTCCTACGTTATTCAAGAATTCCAGTTCTAACATGGCCGATAACTACGACAAGCCGGCTGTAGATAAGTTACCGAGTAAAATATTACCGATGTTAGACTCGAGAACAATTGCGTCAAACAACTTGGAGATAACTCTAGTGAACCCCAAGGGCAATAAAATACCCACCAATTACCAGAGCTCGGTTCGACAGAATGGCGCGGTGGTGACAAAGGTCAAGAGTTCCTCCAAATACCCGGAGAGTCCGTACTCCAGAAAGAACCACATTGTCAACGTTCCGAACCTCAACAACTTACACTATGGCGGCTCAACCAGCGCCACAGTTCGGCAAGTTCCGCGAATTGACAAGATGGCCGACAGCAGAAGAATCAGCGAGAGCGACTTGGGGAAGTACAACTTAAAGATGGCGTATCAGCAGTCCAAGGAGAGGGAAAGATACGACAGAAGACACAGTGTTCCTAATTTACCGGGTGGGTTCATACCCACACCCCAGTTTTATCCACCTGCGCCACCTGGCGTCGTTCAGAATAAGTTCATGCCTGGGCACATGATCGACCCGATTTATTATTCTGCGATTTATAATGGATTGTTCACTCCCGGCCAAGTTCCCTCTCCTGTCAGGCCGCCTGGGCACAGTTCTGTCGCGCCATCTGTTGGTGGCTCAGCAAACCAGAGCTATCTGCCCCCATTGGAGTTTAATGATTATTATAAAAATTTACTGACCCAGCAGCAGCAACAGCAGCATCAGCAACACCAGAGGCTGCTTATGATGTCTCAGCATCAGGCTCCAACTTCTAAGTAGGTGGCGCTAATAGGAAGTTTTGAATTTTTTAGTGCAATTTAAGACTGGTTATAAAAATTTTTTTAGGTGTAATTAATTAATTTTATAGGAGTTATAAGAGATAAGTGATTTTGAAAAAACTATAATTATTTTTTAGCGGAAAATGTACATACAATTTTTTTGTGATACGTCGGGTTTTTAGATTTTATTTTAGAAAAGAGAAAAAATATTATTTTTTTTTTTTTTTTTTTTTTTGGTATCGTAATTTTATGTTTTTTATAGAGTAAGATACGTGCCATAAGATATGTTAATTAATTAAGTGGTAATTAGGGTTAAGACTTACTGTAATTAATTATGGTTATTATTAAGTGATAAGTTAATTGTTTAAAATGATAAATAAATTCATTGAAAAAAAAATTTTTTGTTGTTTATTTGAAAAGATTTTGAGTTTGTATTTCGCGCGGTAGTGAGCTTTAACAATTTAGCGCCGTCTAGTAAATTTACCTGCGAAATTCGTTGTTATCGACTTTGGGAACATTCTTAATATATATACTCTCTGGCGCTAACAACGGACAGTTGGAAAATTAGAGAATTAAAATGATTTACAGAGTTTGAATTTGTCATTTTATTTTATAATAAAATTAAACCTTCTTGTTTAATTATAATTAACGGATTTTATTTTTTTTTTTTTGTTTTTTTTTTTTTTTTTTTTTTTTTATGCTGTACTGAGATTGCAAACATCCTCTGAATTACTATAATTAAAAATTCAATGAAAATCCCCTTGATGCAAAATAAAATTTTAATAAATAATGTTTGTAATTAATTTTTTAAATCAATTGACTACTAATTCCATTATAAATAGCGAAAAAAAAAAAAATGATAAGTATTTAAAAAAAATTGTTTTGAATTGTATTTATAGTTTTTAAAAATTTTTTCAGAAAAAAAAATCAAAAATTAGTTTATCAAAAAACAATTTACCTTTCAATTCATGATGAAAACGTAAATTTTTTTATGTTTATTATTAATTGAAAAGAATCGATGTTGAAATTAAACATTATAAAATTTGTAAGTATAAAAAAAAAAAAATCTTTATGAATAAAATTGGCTGAGGGCTCAACTGACTTGACAATTGACAATCCTCACAATACAAAATATAATACTAAATAAAAAAAATTGACTCACGTATTATATCCCAGTTGTTTTTCCCGGCACTAGATGGGGCTTAAATCTCCGGCCGTGGCGTCTCTTTCTGGAGGTTGGCGTCTCTCTCGGAGGCAGGTATTGGCGCTGCAAACGTGATCCGTTGGCGAGTACAACCTCTAATCTCCGATCCTGCTGTAATGTATAATTAATATTAATAATAATCTAATAAACTATTCTCACCATTTAAAATCATCAATTATAAAAATATTAACGTTAATATTTATCACGTAGGTGCCCACTGGTTGATAATTATTAATATCAATAGCAATATTAATATTGACACCAAACATCCAAGTGAAACTCGTACTGTAGATCCCGAGTGTCGTCCGTTGCGATTCCGTGGGGCCTGGAAAAAATAACAATTATATACTAGCATCGCTCATGTATATTTTCTTTACTGTAAGTATTTATTTTTATTTATTTTTTTATAAAATAATTATTAAGTAGGTAATAAAAAAAAAAAAATAATTTTTTGTTTTAAAAAAATATTTTTTTTCAGCGTATCAAGATTAAGCACGGGTGTGTGAGTTACAGTGTTGGTTAATATGCCGGGATAGTGCGACATAAATTGAAACTTGTGGACCTTTATTTATTTATTATTTTTTAAAAATTAATAATTATTAATTGAAAATTTTTAATTTATTAATTTGCGGTGTATAAAAGTTGAGGAACGAAATTTTATATATTTATGGTGGACTATAATATATATATATATATATATATTATATATATATAATATTTAAGTGAGTATTGTTTGGTGACTTGTCTGACTCTGAAGTAACAGTCGAGTAATTGTTGTGAGGTTTCAGACTCGCGGTTCTTGTTTGCTGTTTGACGTGCTGTGCTTATTGTAAGACCTGACCGCTCACCCAGACATTGGGAGGTAAGAATTCAGGTGTGAGGTTAGATTCAGATAGAGGTGGCAGGTTTTATTGTCGTGCCGGTTTAGGTCGGCAAGTTATAGGGTTATTTTTTTTTTATTTTTGTTTATAAATTAAACAAATCACTTACTTTTTCTAAATTAAAAATTAACCTTCATTTAAAAAAAAAAAAAAAAAAAAATTAATTTAATTAATTTAATGATTTCAGAAATTCTCAAGGATTATAATTGTAAATATCAATAAAAATAACAAAGTTAATTTGTTATATTAAAAAATAGTGAAAATAAAGTTGTAAAATAGTGGTGACTAGTATACAAAATTATTAAAAACTATAACAAAAAAATATAAAAAAGAAAGTATAGTGATCTATACTGTTTTTAAAGAAAAAATATAGTGTTAATTATTGTAATTAGTGTGATACAAATCCTCAGAGTAATGGATTGACATCGATTTAACCAATGATGAAGGCAAATGGTACCAATAATGGTAAGTCTTTTTTATTTTGTTTTAAGGTTCCTAGATATATAGGAATATCATAATTAATTACCTAATGTTCTTAGGATCTAAGAACAGTTATTAAATTTCGAATTAGTTATATTGAAACTAATATTTATTATTATTATTATTTTATTGAGGTTGTAGCCGTTTGAGTACACCATTAGCAGCTACAACCACACTGGAGGACCCAGGAACACCAGCTTCGTGGAAGGGCCCGCCAGCAGGCTCTGAGGCGTCCCCCTACACTCCGAACTCGGTGAATCAGGGCGGTCCAAGCTACAACACTTCGGGCCCCGGTGGAAACCCTGGAGGATTTCAGGGCCCGAGTCCTTTTCCCGGTGGAGCTGGGAGCCCTGCAGGAGGGCCTGGGTACCAAGGCCCTCCACCAGGTTCCGGAACTCCTCAGTACACGGCCTCACCAGCACCAAGTGGCTCTTCCACGCCGGGGCCTGGTCCGCAGTCGAACCCAGGATTTCCTCCACCACAAAACAACTCTGGGCCTTACAATGGACCTGGGCCCAGTCCGTTCGGATCGCCTTCGGGCCCACCTCAATTCGTCGGGAGACCTGGCTCTTCCGGGCCTCCGTTTGTTCCACCAGGAGGTAATCCTCACTTTCCTTCACCTGGACAATTCTCGGGACCGCAGTACGGAATGCCACCTGGGAGCCCTTTCGGGCCAGGACATCCCATGGGACCTATGGGCCCTGGACACCCGATGATGGGCCCAGGTGGTCCTGTCGATCGTATGGATCAAGGGTGAGTTTTTTTTTTTTTTTCATTTTTTTGTTTGGTATGATGGAAAGTGTGTGAATGATTTAGGGAATTTTTTTTTTAAATAAATTTTTTAGCAGGTCAAAAGAGTTGCTAGGAATTTTTAATGAAATTTCTAAAAATTTTATAGTGCCTTTTTTTAAAAATAATTAGGAATTTTATAGAATTTTCTCAACTAAAAATTTTCATGATAAAAATTCTAAAAATTAAAATAAATTAAGAACTAAAAATTCCTTAATAAAATTTCTAACAAAAAAAGTTTTAAAGGCCGCGATTATTAAACTAAAGGAATGAGGTACGAGAATAAGGTATGGGGCAACCAATTACTTGGCAATTAGTCGAGAGCAAGCAACAAGTAAAATGTCGCTGTTTAACCTCTATCGTTATTAACTTTTTTTAATTGTCTTTTTTAAAATTAATCCAATCCGACTAATTAAATTTAATTAATTACCCGCCTCCCCTCCAATTTTTTTTTTTTTGTCCAATAAATTTTTTTGGAAAATCTTTTTTACCGACGTTGAACATTGGGAAATGCCGTGAAATTAATTAGGAAAATGAACATGTTTCGTTGACATTGAACAATTTGTAACTCTTGAGGTAGGCGGTCAAGTCGAGTAGAGTTTAAGAGCATGCGAGTTGAACTAGTACAGCGTATAGTCCGTGAATGAGGGCGTAAGTGAGCAGAAAGAGAGAGAGAGAGAGAGAGAGAGAAAAGTGAGTAGAGCCACTGTCGAACTAGCGTTTCAGTATCGTACTACCAAGCGAAAGAGAGAGGGAGGGAAAACATGAGCCATGAGAGAGAATGAGAGATCGAGGTCACTACTCCACCATCCGACCACCTGTGGAAGCTGTTTGGACGTTTGCGTAAACGATTCCATCACTTTTCTGTTAAATTATTTAACATCTTACATTAATCTTGTCTTGGATTTTTTTTTTTCTTATTTTTAAATGAAAATTTTGTGATTTTTGTCACCATGTGACGATCTTTAATGTGGCTAATTTTTAGTGAAATAAGAAAAGTCCAAATTTTGAACATGGTCCAATTTGTATATCAGAAATTTTCAGCCATTTTCAAAAAATTGGTCCATGGTCCAAAACTGGCCTATTGTCAAAATTAATCACCAAGCAATTTTAAATCTATTAGGACTGAAGTAATAATTATAATTATAATAATCTATAAAAGATTATAATTATAAAGGTGGATTTTTTGGCAATTGACACAAGTATTTTTTACAAGTTGGTAAGACTAGTTGCCAAGGGCAACCCTGGACACGGGGGGAAATTATTGTCCCGTTGGAAAAGCTGATGAGGAAGAAGGACAAAAATCAGGATGAGGATGAGAAGTAGGGGGTGATGGGGTGAGGGGGAGGTTGTAGAGACGGCGGATAGAGTAAAATAGGAAATAATAAAAAAGAAACGAGTAGCGAAAGAAAAAATAAAAGAAAATGACAAGAAAAAAAGTATTATAAAAAAATTTAAAAAAATAAAAAAAAAAGAGAGGGCGAGTTTGTCGAGCTGAGTACAGCGTAGGTGGAAAGAACCCTAGTAGAGGTAGAGGCTTTAAAGGGTTCCATTATTTAACTTTTTTTAAATTCAATCCGTACATTAATGCTGATTTTTTAGTCGCGCTTTAATATTTTGAAGACACATGTACAGATATATTTTCTCGCTGAAGAAAATTATCAGAAAGATAAAAAATATTTAAAATTATATCAATTACTCTTTTGATATTTTTAATTCATCTATAATATATAAAAAAAAATTTGGGTTTTGATAACCCGGGCAGGATTCGAACCCTGTTCTTTCAGTTACAAATAAAAAATATCTTTATCTTAGTCATGAAACTTAATTTCATGCAACACTATGATCAATTTTTTTTTTAATTTTTATTTAATTAATAAATTTAAAAAAATAAAAATTATTACAGTAAATTGAAATTTTTTCAATTGTTTTGGTGTGAAATGCCATATATATATATATATATATATATATATATATATATATATATACAATTGAAAAGACAAGAAAAAAGAGAGGGGGGCGTAGAAGAGAAGCAAGGGGTAACAAATTATTAAAGTGGGAGTAGAGAAACAGGTTCCACAGCGCTCATGGGTCGAGTAGCTTCGCCGATTCGCGGCATCAGGGGCAAAATATATAAATAAAAAAAAACAACAACACTATATATATATATATATATATATATATGTATAGATAAAAAAAAATGAAAAAATTTATAAAAGAGAGAAAATATTAGAGTAGGGAGAACTGGAATTCTGAGTAGCAACGCGGCTACAAGAACCTGGGAAACTATTTTTTTTTTTTTAGTTTTTTTTTTCTTTAAATAGTTAATATTGAAAAATTTGACGAGTTTTCATTTTGAGATATTTTTTTAATTTGATTTTTTGGAAAATTAAAAAAGATTTTTCTATAGTACTTCATTTTTTTATTAATAATTAATTATTATTATGAAACAACTAATAATAATAATAATTTAAAATGTTGTTTTGTAAAATAGGCGCGAAATTAAGAATTGTCAAAATTTATTTGATAATAATAATATTTAGAGTTTTTGGAAAATCAAAAATTTTGATAGATTGATTACGGTTGTTTGATGGTTAAAGTCATAGCCAGTGGTACAGAGCCCCATAAGTATGAGCGAGAGAGAAAGAGAGAGAGGAGGTTAGAGTTGAGAGCGTAGAGAAAGTGGGTGGGTACGAGATATTGATCAAAACCTACCCTGGCATAGAGTCTACCCTCGATCCCCTTCCTCGGTTTCAGAGCACCCTCACCCTCACCCGACTTTACCGTTTCCACCCTACACTATCCCCCTAACCAACCCTCTCACAGCCCGGATGTTTCCAGTGATTCTCAACTTACTATTCAATTTATCCATTATTATTATTATCATCATTATTATTATAAGTTGATTGATTATCAATCATTTATTTTTCTGTCTTGAAGTTGATGACCGCTCTCCGGTTTTTTTATCAATAAAAAATTGTTTTTAACTCAGCCGGTAAAAAAAATTGAACTCTGTTGATAATTTTGCCCTTACCGCGAGGTGTGCCGTTAACTGACCCCCGGAATTTCATACCAAGACAACTATTAATACCGTTAATTTGATCCCAGCGACAACTGATCCCTAAAATGATGGTCTTAATATGACCCTGTTGTGAGGTTCAGCGTGGGATCAGCTGTCGTAGTATAAGATTACTGGGATCAGTTAACGTGGAACCTTACCGACGATCAATCTTTAATTCTTGTCAATAAAAATTTTATTCAATTGTTTTGAATATTTTTTTATTAAAATTCTAACTTTTTTTCAAATTAATTAAATTTTTTTTTATTATATTTTATTTTGTGTTGAAAAAAAAAAAAAAACAATAATCATTTCAAATTCTTATTGCCATTGTTATTATTTTATGATTGTACTTAAAATAATACTAATAATAATGATGATAACAACAACAATAATTATAATAAATTATAAAGAGCATAGGTCGGTACAAAAAATTTATTGACAATCGGTAAAGAAAATTGATTTTGTCGGTAAGAATTCGATTACTATGTCGATAAAAACACATTGAAATTAAAAAAAACAATCAAGAAATCGATGGATAGTTATTTAATTGTTCTTTTCTGTTGATGTTGATGGACAGAGAGGTCAACGGACAGACACAGACATACCGTGACCGAAATGACACATTTACTACCGTAGTATTGTATAGTACTTTTTTCCAGGCGTGTAATTTATAATTACGATGTCTAACCTACTTTATTTATTTCGATCTTTCGTATTATATTTTGCCTCTATTTCAATTTGTTCGTTAAGATCTAGGGAATTTTTGTCACTAAATAAAATCTAAACTTTTGGTCATTTTTAAAAACCTAGATGAATTTTTGTTTATCTAGGGACTTTTTTATGTAAATTTTAAGGAACTTTAGAAAATTCCATATTTCAATAATAAATAATTTGACTAAAATTTTAAAGACATCATTTTAAAACTGGACAATATTTATCAAATTCAGTAAATTTTCAATGTTAATTTTTTCGTCAAAAATTTTTTTCCTAAAAAAAAAAACTCAATTTAAAAATTTTCTCCAAAAATCAAAAGTTCCAAATGATTAAAACAATTTAAAAAATGACCCAAAGAAAAAATAAAACAAAAAACAAAGTTTATAAAGTTTTAGTTTCACGTGGCCTCTGTCGAATTATTTTTCACTCTTCTAGTGAGCACACTATACATATATTAAACTCTCTCTCTCTCTCTCTCTCTTTCTTTCTTTCTTTCTTTCTTTCTTTCTTGGCAGTCCTGCGCGGTCATCCCTCCTCCATCTCTTCACTGGTTGTACTCGTCGGCAGTTCGGTAGCCCAGTGTCGAGTCGAGCCAAAGCAAAACTGGTAATGACGACTGCAGCGCCAACACACCCGCTCAGTCCGCAGTAACGCGACCGTCTAACAAGTCGCATACACGCTTGTATTTTACTCACTGTACTCAAAAGTATTATTACTATTATTATCATTAATATTGTTGTTATTATCATCATCATCATCTTAGTCTCAGTGATGACTTGTACTCACCGCATTACTTTGCCCGTGTGTTATTTTTTTGTGCTGTGCAATTACCATGTGACACGTGGATAAAGTGTCTGGATCTGTTTGTGCCTGTGAATAAAGTTTTTTTTGTGCCAATGTTTTCAAACAGCCATTAGAATTTTTTAGGCCTTATCAGCTGTTTTTCTCTTTTTTGTTCAAGAATTTATGGCGGGAATACTCTAGGTGGTTTTTTTTTTGGCCTTATTGTGAAAAAAAAAAAAAAAGAATTTTAGTGGAAGTACTGTTGAAGTATGTAGAAAAAAAATTTGGAATTTTAAGCCTTATTTGTAAAAAAAAAAAAAAAAAAAATGCCTAATTTTAAAGTTGGATGGGTGAATTTTTGAGGCCTTAGTTATGATTAGTGAAAATTTTTGGGCCTTACACGTGGAATAAGTACTGGAAGTTGTTAATAAATATTTTGAATTTTTTTAACATTAATTTTGAGCGTTATTTAAGGCCTGAGTAAAACTTTAAGTGATGAAAGTATTGGTGTAAATAAGATTTGGCCCTTACAATATTCTATTTTATTTAATTTTTGGGCCTTATGAATTTTGGATGGTGACAGTAGTGATTAAATTAACACTGTATATAATTTTGGGCCGTATAAAAATTATAACTTATTTTAGGCCTCAACAAATTCTATTAAAGTATCGTTGCGCCAAAAACAATGGCCCAACTAACAAACAATTAAAAACAACTAAAAGTGGGCCTTGTAAAATTTTTGGGCCTGATAGAGTAGAAAAGACCGAAACGTCGTGGAGGGGGGAGTGATGCCTGTGAGGGTGGCGCAGCGCCCCCCGAGTCTTCTGCATTCTGGGGCCGTAGTCCCGAGCGCAGGAGTGCCTTTGGGCCTTGGGGGACTTTCAAGCCGTTGTCACGGTGGAATTTCTCCGCCACTGGCTTCCTCTGTTCTAAGTCATCTTAACAACAACAACAACAACAACAACAATAACAATAATATTAACAACAACAATAATAACAACAGTACGGTCCCAAATCCGTTGCAAGCAATGGCGTCAGCAGCGGCCTCACTGACCCAATTAAACAACATGGCGAATGGGCCTCTTCCATTGGGGGGTTCAGGTCCTAGTTTACCGGCCCCGCAGCCACCAACGACTCCGACTCACGGGCCCCCGACCCCACACGGCCCAGTAGGGCCCCATCTAAACGGGGCCTCACCTAGTCCTCACCCGATGCCACATATGATGCAGGGGTCGCCACATCATATGGGCCCAGGGGCCGGGGGGGGACCCTCACCTCACCCTCACCACCATATGGTAGGGTCACCGCATCATCATATGGCTACAGGTGGCTCGGTAATGCCTGGGGGCCCTGGAACTGGTCCTGGCCCCGGGCCTGGAGGCGGTATGATGGCCCCAGGAATTCAACAAGGCCCTATGTGTCCTCCTGGAGCTCCTGGACCCATGGGCCCTCATCATCAGGCCCCACCTGGACAACATATGCACAATGATCCCTTCTACTGCTCGCCGTTTGGAAGTCCGTATTACAGGTAATTTTTAGGACATAAAATTATGAATAATAATTTTTTAAAAATTAATATTAATTAACCAGTTGAGTAAATAGTTAACAAGAGTCCATATTTAATTTGTAAATCGGAAGTTAAAAGAGTGTATTAAGTGTATTAAGTGTATAAAGAGTCCAAGGCTTATATTTGTTATTATTATTATTGTTATCTTATCGCTTAGTCACTCGTTCCCACTTTTATTTTTAGGATAAGACAAAACCTTGATGATTGAATTTTTAAATTCTTATCAAAGTAATAAAAAGAATTAATAAAAAATATGAATTGTAATTTTCAAATTTTCAAATTTTCAAATTTTCAAATTTACAATTTGTAAGCGCATATTTTTACAAGTACACTACATAATGGGCTGTAGTTGCCCGAGAAAGTACGGAAGTTCAATAAACACTAACAGTACATACCAGGTATAACTTGACTATTTTCTTATTATCTTTCATTTTTATCTCAGAGGTGCTCAATTTTTATTTTATTTATTTATTTAAAGAAATTCAATTTTTAAGGGTAAAACAAAAAACTTGTTATTTTGGATGAAAAATTGCCAAAAGTTTTATTTTTTTAAATGGTATTTTGACTATATTACTGTGGAACTAATGAATTGATTTTGATCGGGTTGGTCACAATCAATCCTGGATTCAAATCCTTAAGACCCTACCAAATTTCAAAAAAATCGGTCGAGTAGTTTCTAAGTTATAGCAAAAAATTTTCTGGTTCAAGAATAACGCATCGTAAAAATTTTCTTGATTCAGTAAATTTTGACGATAACTCTAGAACTAATCAATTTACTAACCGATTTACACCAGAGGTTTTAAACGCAATTGATTAAGTATTGCAATCTTAAGGCTCTTATAACATTTGGAAAAATTCGGTCGATTAATTTCGACTTTGTATTAAATTATTCTAATTTTTTAGATACACTTATTATTTTAAGAAGATAAAAATAAATTCAACATATAGAAATTATTGAGGTGACAAATAAGTTGAGAACCTCTTGAGGTTAATAAAAGCAGGTAGATCGGGACGAACCCATACCCAACAAACAAATATATCTATCTATAGATATATGTATATGCAGGTAGTTGTAGTATAATGCAAGAAACTAAGTAGTAATGTTTAAAGCTGTGTAGTTGTTCTTCTCGAGCTGAAAATGTGACGGCATTAAATTTCAACAGAAAATTTCCCCCCAGGCCACATTGTATGTACATTATACATCCTCGGGTCACGTGCTGTATTTTCGGCTACTGTCTACACTTCAATTACCATTATTACTTAAATAATTTATCATATACATATTTTCATTTTCCCGCGACCAGCTATTAAGTTTTCAAACTTTAATACTTTTCAGTAACTATTTAAGATAGATATGCGATGTAGGAGGTTTTTGGTTAGGAAATTTTCCGGGTTACAACATTAGCGCTCCTGGAAATTTTCTTAAATTAAACGGCTTAGTCAATCTAACGAGAGAAAATGTAAAAGAAAAGCCCGCGGAAAACTTTTTTTGTACTTTAGAGGTCTGTAACTCTTGAATTGTTGGTGCTAGTGGATTTTCCCGAAGGACTTACATTGTAGCCCGGAAAATTTTCTAACAACAATGTCAGCATGTTTTCCTTCTATTCCCAATAGTTTGCAAGATATCGCCAAAAAAATGGTCTCAAAAATAAAAATTAAAAGCATAATGTATTAATACAATACAAAAGTATGTACTGAAAAAGTAATTCAAGTAAAACGAGTACAGTATAGTTGTTAGTGTGTTGAGTTGAGTCGGTTCACTTCTTGGTTCGCATCGCATCGAATCGCGTCGGAGTTTGCTTGGTCCGTCTTCTCAAGGCCGCTCTGTTCAATCCTCCATTCTCTGTTCCCGCGCGTTTTATATGTATATATATATAAACATATATTTTATATATACACATATAATATTGGTAGGCTTACCACCTCCATTTACCTCAACAACTTAACGTCTCTCTTCGTCTCTTTGTACTTAACCATCTCTCTTTATTGTATCCACTGTCTTTCTTCTTCTCTTTCTCTTTTTCTCATTCGCGTAAGCGATCTTTGTTTTACCTACACCGTCTTCAGGAACATTTACATCAAATACTAGTTCCATATCACATATGTTAAATTCTGTAGTCAATAATAATAATTAATAATAAAAAAAAAAATTTTGCAGCTCTATAAACAAATAATTTAGTAAAAACTAAAAAAAGTTATTAATTTTCTTAAAGAATTGATTAAAAATTAAGTATCTAAACAGTTAAAAACAGTTTTTCCTGAAATTGACCCAACTTACCCCAGTATACCAAGGATTAAATAAGAAGGATGCGCTAAAATTAACCGCCTTTTATTTTATAATCCAACTGTATCAAATTTTGAAAAAATTGTTTTCTATTATCATTAAAAGTCCATTAAATGTACGGCAATTTTGTTAATCTGAAAATTTTCATAAAATTAATTAATTTCAAGCGTTATTACAGTCTTTTAAAATTAAATTTTCGCATGATTTCGATTATTTAAAAAAAAAAAAAAAAAAAAAAAAAAAAAAAAAAACGTCAATAACTTGCAATTACAATAACACCGTTTTAATAAATAATAGTAGAGTAAACGTATTACTTAAAATATAAATTTAAATCGAGAATGGAACGGACCAGGAGGCCTTCGTCATGCGGGAGGTATGATGAGTATTTTTATCATTCTAAATATAGTCAAAGCTCTGCTATGTATTTTCATAAAATTCACTAGAAACCTTATTATTATTATTATTATTATTCATCCGTCAATCTTTGTGTCTAAAAATCTATGATGATTAATTCAAAAAAATAAAACAAAGTTGTGATTGTTTGTTAGTTAATACTTGTTAGATTTGAATTTCTCCTAACCTTGGACAATTATTAATCGCTTTCTCCTTACGATCACCCGCGATACTTTTCTCAACTAAACTTTCTCATGTATGTATTATATACATACAATAACAAGCTAATGTATGATCGATTTTGTTAGAATTATATAAAAATCTATTTTTAAAGGGCTATAAAACTCGTAAAATCATTTTAATGTAATGGGCTTAACAAAGATATTGAACAATTTTGAAAAATCTGATATAATTATTAGATGATAAACTAAAAGATGAAATTTTAGCTTGTCTTTGAATTAATTTGATTTTTTAAAATTATTAGTCAAGTTTTAATAAAATAACAACCGATTTGTAATCTATAAGATAGTTGTAACTTTAACTTACAAAGGTATTAATGTCTCAATCAAGTCTATAAGTTGATTTACTGTAAAAGGGTAGTGGGAATTGCGTGTCGAGACTCTTAATGCGTGTCTCTTATGATCACTTCCACCATCTAGTTTAACAATTATTACTATTTTATATTATTATATATATTGAATGAATGTCAATGAATGAATTTTTTTTTTTACACATTACACTTTTTAATAATAATAATAATAATAATAATAATAATAATAATAATAATTATTATTATTATTATTATTAATATGTAAATATATTAAATACACTGAACCTTAACATGACCAATCGGTCTGGTCTGACAGATCGTTACCTGTCCCCAGGAGGCACACACCATACTTCCAGCAGCCTGATATCAGACTTTACGAACTCAACAAGAGGTTACAATCAAGGACTGAGGTGAGTAATTAATTAATAATTAACAATTTATTTTTTTAATTAATTTTAATGGAACCCTAACCTGAACCTAGACCAATGACCTTAGAATTTTTAAAACCGCGATCTACCATCACACGTCGGTAATTTTATTATAATAAATCACGTGTTTTCAATTGTTTATCATTAAATTGGCGTTTATGTTGACTGATCATTGGCCATTGGTCACTATTTGGGTTTCATCATTTTGAGGGGCTCGCTCGGACTTTCACAACAAGGTGATTTATCGGTTTCGCGGTTTTTTCGCGGGAGGCTGGTATAAGGTACTAGCGGTAGTCAGGAAGAGGGGGTGGTACTTGTTTTTAAAGGTTTTGATTCCTTCAGGCACTAATCTTAATTTAAAAGACTTTGATCTACGGTTTTATTGGTTCAAAAAATTATTTCTACATTTGAAAATTTTCAAAATTTTTATTTCAACAATCCCCAAGTTGTAAATAGAAAAAAAAAAAAAAATTTTCCTCCAATCCGGAGTCCTAAAACTTGGTGAAAAACTCTCCCGCCCCCACTGAGCCCCATAAACTTGAAAAAAAAAAAAAGCCAAAACTCGAAACTCAAAAAGTTGAGTACCACTGTCATTCTCCTGGGTAATAAAATGAGTGCCCCTGCCCTCCGCGAGGGGTGTAACCCCCTCGATAACCCATATTGTGATCCTCCGCGTCGCACCTCCCTCAGGCACCCTGTCCGCCTCTGCCTGCCTCAGCCCCTTTTAGTACCCAGTGTCTCCACTGAGCGTCGGCCCGCGGCCGTATATACTCCACCGAACCTCCAAAGTATTGTCCCCGAGCGTGGTTAAGCGCCTCCGTCGGTCAATTATTAAATTACCTCCCAAAGGGGCCCGAATTTTCCAAAAATTGGTGGCCTGGATCCCCACAATTTTTCCATAATTATCGTATTTTTTTCAAAATTTATCCGACCCTCGGGGATTTTATACCGATTTTTAAAAATTATACCCGAGATCGAATTTACCGACAATACTTTCTCTGCGCTCGCTATATACACGATCATATACCACCCCTAGACCTTCTCTGCCGCGCGCCAATGAGCGCCCACCAGCTTGCCCCCCTCCCTCCCACTACTATGTATTTTCTCACTCCGTACATACTCGCTGTTTCACTTTTTATCATATATATTTTGTATGACTCTTTTTTTTTTTCTCTTTTTTCTTTTTTTTTTTTTTTTTACCTACTTGGTCCTTTTTTTTTCTTCTTCGGTACTAGCGTTCTACAGTCGCCGGTAAAAATTGTTATATATATATATATATATATATATTTATGGATATTTCTATGTATACCATTCGAGTAAATATATACGACGATACTTTTGGAAATTAAAAAAAAAAGATTGTTTTTATTTTTTTTTTATATTTTGAAAAATTAGATAGTTGATTTTTTTAAAATAAAAATTTTGGTCTAAAAAAATGATAGAAAATAAAATTTTTCGAAAAACAAGTACAAATACCAATATTGTTTTTATTAAATAAGAAAAAAATTCTGTATATGACAATATCTGATATGTGACAAATACAATCATATAAGCCATAATTCAAATATAATTGATCTTTAATTGACAATAAACGTACTGTATATTAATTATATTAATCTAATATGATTATATGATATTACATAACGTCATATAAAATCAGATATTGAAAAATCGGTAGTAATCTAAGTGGGGTTTTTTTGTTTTTTTTTTTTTTTTTCAGGAAAGTGACAATCTTTGGTGGGATTCGTTCGCGACGGAATTTTTTGAGGATGACGCTACGCTAACTCTCGCCTTTTGCCTTGAGGATGGACCTAAAAGATACAGTAAGTTATACTTTAATTTGCAAAGATATAAGACAAAGGATTATATAGGATCAGATAATTGATTTATTGTTTATTGTTTATATTTCAGCGATAGGAAGGACGTTAATCCCAAGGTACTTCAGGTCGATATTTGAAGGCGGTGTCACAGAGCTTTATTATCATATGAAACATCCTAAGGAATCGTTTCATAATACTTCTATTACATTAGATTGCGAACACTGTGTTATGGTGACGCATCATGGGAAACCGCCGTTCATGAAGGTAATTATTACTTATTAGACAATTTAATTTTAATATCGTTTAAATATCAATTTTTAACCGCTTGGTTGGAACCTGTTTGGGGTTCCATTGTTCCCGAAATATTTTTCTCATCTGTTGAAATGTTTCGCATTACAAGTTCTAGGAACCTCTGAAGTTCCAAGTCGAAGAAAAATTTTTTCTAAAAGTTACAGCCTTTTCTAGATAAAAAAAAAAAACCCTGAGTATTGATTAATGAAAGATGTTTTGTTTTTTTATTGTTGATTATGATTTTCCAGGTGTGTACCGAAGGTAGGCTAATATTAGAATTCACATTCGACGATTTGATGAGGATAAAGTCGTGGCACATGAACGTGAGAACACACCGGGAGTTGGTGCCCAGATCTGTCGTCAGCATGCATACTGCGCAGCAAGATCCCTCGATGCTCGAACAATTGACGAAGAATATCACCAGACAAGGCATTACTAATTCAACTTTAAATTATCTTAGGGTAAATTTATATTCAATTTATTTGATTTTTTTACCGCTATTATTGGAACATTTTTACTAAAAATTGATTTTTTTTACTTTGCAGTTATGTGTAATATTGGAACCAATGCAAGAATTAATGTCCAGGCATAAAGCGTATCAACTTACGCCCCGAGATTGCCTGAAGACGACGCTGTTCCAGAAGTGGCAGAGGATGGTAGCCCCGCCGGGTAAGAGAGGTAGAAGGACAGTTGCTTTACAAAAAAAAAAAAAAAAAAACGTCAAAATTAATCTTAAAAAAAAAATTTAATACAAAAAAATTGATATCATAAATTATTATCATTATGATAATGATAATAATATAATACAAAAAAAAAAAAAAAAAAAAAAAAAAGTCAAAATTATCTTAAAAAAAAAAAAAACAACCTGACTGGAAAAAATTGATAAAATTTTTGTCAGGATTGTTTTTTTTTGTAAAAATTGAATCAGAAAAGAAAGAACTCGATTAAGACAAGACGTAAAGTATCTGTCTATTTGTCGCTGGTGTGTGTGCATGCATGTGCAAAATTTTTTTTTATTTTTGTTTTAATTGATTATTATTATTATTGTTATTATTATTATTATTATTATTATTATTATAATCGACCTTTGATTGTCGGATAAAGGTCACACGTTACTAAAATTTTGATAAATCACACGCTTTTTCTTTCTTCTTTGCATTTCTACGCTAATAATATTAATATATTAATTATTATTATTAATAATTATTAATTATTTGAAATATAGACTGTGATTTTTAACAATTAATTTTTTTTTTTATAGAATCCCAGAGGCCGACAAACAAAAGAAGAAAGCGAAAAAATAGTTCGACCGGGCCGGGAAGTAATGCGCCTCCAGCGCCGAGTAAAAAACGTTCACCAGGACCAAATTTTACACTAGCGTCTCAAGTAATTATTTATTTTATTATAAAGTTTAATTTTTAGTGGTGAATCAACCAACTAAAAATGTTCCTCTGTTCCAGGATGTCATGGTAGTAGGTGAACCCTCACTAATGGGCGGCGAGTTCGGAGAAGAGGATGAACGACTAATAACAAGGCTAGAAAACGCCCAGTACGATGCAAGCAATAGCATAGATCAACACGGACACGATAACAGCGGGGGTGGACCACCTCCTCACCCACATCAGTTCCACTCGGAACCAACTCCTGGGAACTCCTGGCCGCCTGACCGTGGCCCTGGACCCCCACAAGGAGGTCCAGGCAATCAAGTAAGTGTTTGAGTCTCTTTATACGCTCTCTATATCACGGTTCCACGAACTTTCAGAAATGTTTCAAAATGGTTCCGGGTTCTTTAAATTATTAATATTTAATCTAGACTCTAGATTTAATTTATAAACAACATTCTAAAAATACAATAAAATTATGAATGTTCCAGGTACAAGGGAACCAAGGCGGCGCAGGCGTACAAGGACCTCCAGATTCAAACCAACAGCAGGATAAAAAAAGCCCCGCAGTGAGTCAGTGAGGCCAGGAGTCCCCGCGTCCTCCCACTAGAGGGCGTCGGGGGCGCAGGCCCAAGAATGTGACTCCCTAGCGGGGCGTTAACTTGATAAGTTATTCAACCACGTCATCCTCAGCACACATGTCTCGTAATGTCATGAGAGCAACACATAGAGTTTTTCCAACAACTGCAACTGCAACTGGAACTGCAACTGCTCTGGGGTCTGACATTGTTTCTGGTATCAGCAATGTTCTTGGAACTGAGATTGTTCCTAAAACAGGAGCTGTTCTAGGAACCGAGATTGTTTCTGGAACTGAAAGTGTTGTTGGAACCAGAACTGGGATATTACCAGCAGCGTTCGCGTCGTTATTACCGACAAATTTGATGTCTAGCACACGAATTTCTTCACCGCATTCACTTTATTCAAATTCTACATTATCGACTGTCAAAAGTATAATTAAGGATAACGATAATATTAATGATAATTGTAATAATAATAATAATAATAATAATAACGATAATATTAATGTTAATAACAATAATGTCAGTAATGAATTGAGACAGTCGACTGTCGGTAACGGAAAGACAGTACTGCCGACTGCTAATGTTAATATTGAGGGTGTAAAACAATTGAGTAATTTAAATCCTAGTAATATTGTTAATAATATTAATAATAATGATAATGATAATAATAATAATCAAATATTTAATGATAATGGTAATAATAGTAATAATAATAATAATAATAATAATAATAATAATAATAATAATCATGTTAACGTTAATAATATTAATAATAATGATAATAATAATAATAATAATAATAATAGTGGGGATGTTAATAGAGACCCAATTCAGAGCATGATTCAACAGCTGTGGTATTTAAGAGGGTTCGAGTATTTTTTGAACCAACGACAGCACCAGTATGGAAACATGTAAATTGTTTTGGGGGTTAGTGAAATTTTTTTGACAATTTCAAAATTGTATAAATTTTTTTTTTCGTGTATCGCTTTGTAGTAAATTGTATTTATTTTTTTTATATGTATTGTAAATTATAAAAATTGAAAATAATTGAACTTGATAATTAATAATTGTAAAAAAAAATTTTTTTAAACAAAGTATGTTTTATATAAATCATTTTTATTGTAAAAAGTGTTAATTTTAAAAAATTGAATTTTTAGTGTAATTAAAATAATTATATTTATTTGCCTTTAATTTAAATAAATTTTTCAATTTTTTAAACTCACTAAAAAAATTCAATTATTAAATTACATTGAAAAATTCAATTATGACGAATTAACTGAATTAATTCAAGGTTCAATTATTCAGTTCCATTAAAAATATTAATTTATCAAAAATGAAAACAATTCTTTTGTTTAGCAAACAATCAAGTCTAAAATTTCAATTCTCCCAAAACAAAGTAAAATCTAACTTAAAAACAATTAACCACGAATTTGTAAATATAGTAAATAAAAATCTAAAAATCCACTCAGTCGGTAATAAAACCTTAAAACTTAACCAACAATCCAAACAACCGAAACAAAAAGTGATACTAGTGAATGCTAAAGTGACTAAAAAAACTAAAAACTAATCTATAATAAAATCTTTGTAATAATAAAGAAAAATCAAGTGGAATGGTTAAACAAAGTGATTGTATTTGTATAATTAACGGACAATTAATAAATTATCTAATATTAATTATTAACAACAATTATGTACTAATAATAATATTAATTAATGCTCTACGAGCTGTGAAATCTCTATCCGTCATCAGTATTGATATTAATTAATTAATAATATTAAACAATTAATATTAATTTGAATAACATTGATATTAAGAATATAGTGGATAATTATAATTATAAATAACCTAGGTTAAGTTATTCTATTATTATCATTATTATTATTATTATTACTATTGTTATTACTATTAATTAAAAATTAAATATATTATTAATATTATAAATATATTATTGACTTTAATGGATAAGATATTATTAATGTTGTAAGTTTTATTATGAGGTTATGTGAATGAGTGAATGATTAATGAGTGAGTGATATATTGCGCATTATTAATATCAAAAGGGTACAAAAAAATTTGGCTCTGCAGAGCAAATAGGGCGGATAAAAAAAATTATTTTCTTTTAATTTTTAAATCTGTAGAAATAATGCTAAAAAAAAAAAAAAAAAAACAGTTATTTGAAAATCGCATTATTAATATCAAAAGGGTACAAAAAAATTTGGCTCTGCAGAGCAAATAGGGCGGATAAAAAAAATTATTTTCTTTTAATTTTTAAATCTGTAGAAATAATGCAAAAAAAAAAAAAAAACAGTTATTTGAAAATTCTTTAAAAATAAGTAGAAAATTAAACATTCCTGAATAAAAAATAAATAAAAAAAAAATTCCGGCTTTTTGGCTCTGAAGAACCACCAGGGTATATAATTTGATAATTTAAAGTTCCCTATTGGAATTAATAACGCGTTGTAATTAATTAATAATAATCGATTGATTGATGAGGTTATGTTTGTTATTAATATCGGGCGATAGAAGGAGTTAGTGATTGTTCCTGGAACAATGATATTAATAAGTGTGTAGTGCAACGAATAAGAATTATTATTATTTTTAGATTTATTTAGAAGTTAACTGATAATTTATTTATGATTGGCTGGTTAATGAGTGATTATTATTATTATTATTATTATTATTATTATTATTATTATTATTATTATTATTAATGGAGTAAATGGTGAATTAATAACATAAAATTTCAAATAAAAAACAAATGAAATCGAATATTAATAGGAAATTTTTAATTGTTAGTAAAAAATAAAATATTTAAAAAAATAAATGAAAATTTTACAAAATATATTTTTTTATTATTATTAATTATTTTATTTAATACATTCCCTGAAAATTAAGTACTATGCTTTTTTTTCTCCGGTCATCACTTGAACAATAATAATGATAATTGGAAGTTTTAAGAAAAATTTCTAGAAAATTCTCGAGCGTGATACTCAAACCTGTTTCTAATTGGTGAATTCTCTTATTCCAAAGCATTCTCTCCTTTTCTATTTGCCCTGTTGTCTATTTCTCCTGTATCTTACTTCTAATTGGCTGTTGTTCCCCTAGGCGCGTCTGCGCATTGGGTCTCTTTCTCGGTGAGGGTTTCCAGTCTTGCAGTCCAATCTTCAGTCCATTGCATCATACACGTGAAACGTGAACTAAACCGACTTTCAGGTATACTTTCATCCCTAAATAATCAATCATTCACTTAATTATTTATTAATTATTAATATAATTAAAAATATAAATTTAAATAATAGTAAAAATAAAAATTGTCATTGTAGATTATTAAATCAACGTTAACTAAAGCGACACAGAAATGCTGTCGGCATCACGAATATTATCTCGCTCGTTCGCACGCGTCGATACAAGAAGCCGACATTTTACTTCGATTTTTAGAAACGTGAGTATTTTTTTATTTTTATAATTTAATTATTTTCTAATTTACTGTTTTATATCAATATTATAGTTAATATTTCATCTTTTGTAATTATTTTTACTCTAAATTTTTTTTTGCACTTTATGGTGCAATTTTTATTGATTTTGCAATCGGATTTTTAATCTTCGATTAATTAATATATTTTTTTAATTAAATTAATTAACTATAATATTAAATAAGAAAAATTTTTATACTTCAAAAGTTGAAATTATTTTTTGAGGTTAGAAAATTTTTCTGATGAATTAATAAAAAAATACTTGAAAAATTTTTTAAAATTCAGTCAAATAATTTACAAGTGCGAAAAATATTTCTGGATATAGGATAATTTTTATCTTTTTAATTAATTTATTATTTATTTTATTAGTCAGTTGCGGTTTCAGTAAGCCCACGTGAGAGATTCGAGACCGTCCAGTACAGATACAAGTGAGTATTACGCTTAAATTAATATCATTGTTATTTTCAAATTTCAAATAATTGTTTTTTATTATTAGATTTTTTTTTTTTTTTTTTTTTTTTTTTTTTTTTTTTTAAGTTTATCTTATTTTATGTGTTTAATCAATTTTATATAATTTTGGAAGGTCACGCCCTCTGGGCTTGGGAAAATTCCATGAGACTGATATGAAATTTTATTTTATTCGAATAACATTTAATTTAATGACACTTGATTATTTTAATTTTTTTTTTTTTAATAAATATAAAAATAATTGTCAGGTCCGATGGCGTCAAAGGAGCTGTCGTTGGGATTGATCTGGGAACGACATTCTCATGTGTGGCTGTCATGGAGGGAAAGCAAGCTAAAATTATTGAAAACCGAGAGGGATCCCGAACTACTCCGTCTTACGTAGCCTTTGATAAAAGTAATTTTTAATAAACTTTTGGTAATTAATATTATTATAATTTATTAAATTAAATTTAAATAAAATGAAATTTTAGGTGGAGAAAGATTGGTAGGTGCTCCAGCAAAAAGACAGGCAATAACAAACCCAGAAAACACTTTTTACGCGACCAAGCGGTTGATAGGTCGCAGGTTTGATGACCCAGAGGTAAAGAGGGAAATGAAATCAGTCTCTTATAAAATTGTCAAGGCTTCCAATGGAGATGCTTGGGTCCAAGGAAGCGACGGAAAAATGTACTCACCTAGTCAGATTGGAGCCTTTATTCTTATGAAGATGAAGGAGACTGCTGAAAGGTACTTTTTATTTATATTTATGTTTAATAATTAAAAACTTTTATTGAAATAAAAATTATTTATTTCAGATACCTCAATACTCCTGTTAAAAATGCAGTAGTTACTGTACCAGCGTATTTCAATGACTCTCAGCGTCAAGCTACCAAAGATGCTGGGCAAATTGCAGGACTTAACGTTCTTAGAGTTATTAATGAACCAACTGCTGCTGCATTGGCGTATGGAGTTAATCAAACTGAGGATAAAATGTAAGTTTTAATTTTTTAATTAATAATATTCATAAATTTTTAATTAAGTTTTCTTAAAAAATGATTAACATGATGCTTATTATTTTTCGTCTCGTGAAAAATTATGACGATAAAAATCAACTGATTATTAAAATTAAAAATAAAATTTTATATAAAAAAAATTTAATGAAAAACATAAACTTAAATTGTTGAATTAAAAATTTCCAGTATCGCAGTTTACGATCTCGGTGGTGGTACTTTTGACATTTCAATCCTGGAGATTCAGAAGGGAGTTTTTGAAGTTAAATCCACCAACGGAGACACATTCTTAGGAGGTGAGGACTTTGACAATGCCATTGTAAATTATCTGGCCTCTGAATTTAAAAAGCAACACGGTCTTGACATCACCAAGGACATAATGACTATGCAAAGATTGAAAGAGGCCGCGGAGAAGGCCAAGATCGAGCTGTCTGGAACCTCTACGACAGAAATTAATCTTCCTTATCTGACAATGGACCCCAGCACTGGACCAAAGCATCTTCACTTGACGATGAACCGCGCCAAGTTTGAGAGTCTGGTGGGTGACCTTATCAAGCGGACGGTCCAGCCTTGCCAGAAGGCTCTTTCAGACGCCGAGGTGTCCAGGTCAGATATTTCCGAGGTCCTCTTGGTTGGTGGAATGACCAGAGTACCCAAAGTTGAGGCCACGGTCCAGGAGATTTTTGGAAAAAAACCATCCAATGCAGTTAATCCCGATGAGGCTGTAGCTGTTGGTGCTGCTATTCAGGGAGGAGTTCTTGCTGGTGATGTAACTGATGTTCTTTTATTGGATGTCACTCCTTTGTCTTTGGGTAAGTTAAATATATTTATATTTTAAATCTTTGAATTAAAATATATAAAATGATGTCTTGACTAATCTTCTCTCTGATTAAAAAAAAAAAAAAAAAAAAAAAAAACAGTTGATGTCACAGTTGAATAAAACCTGATTAAAATAAAAAAAAAAAAAATATCACTCCATTTAATTTAACAATTTTTTATCAAAAAATTATTCTTTTTACAGGTATTGAGACCCTCGGAGGAGTATTCACCCGTTTAATATCACGTAACACCACAATTCCAACAAAAAAATCCCAAGTATTTTCAACAGCCGCGGACGGCCAGACCCAAGTTGAAATCAAGGTCCACCAGGGTGAGCGTGAAATGGCTGCGGACAACAAATTGCTTGGACAGTTTACCCTGGTAGGTATTCCACCAGCTCCCAGAGGAGTCCCACAAATTGAGGTCAGCTTTGACATCGACGCCAACGGTATCGTCAATGTGTCTGCCAAGGACAAGGGCACCGGCAAGGAGCACCAAATCGTTATCCAGTCCAGTGGAGGACTCAGCAAAGACGAGATTGAGAACATGGTGAAGAAAGCCGAGCAGTATGCTAAGGAAGACAGAATCAGGAAAGAGCGCGTCGAGGCTGTCAATCAAGCCGAGAGTATTGTTCATGACACAGAGGCCAAGTTGGATGAGTTCAAGGAACACGTGCCTGGAGAAGAGGCAGACAAGATCAAGGCTTTGATTGACAAAGTCAAAGAGATACTTGTCAACAAGGACTCTACTGATCCAGAAGAAATTAAAAAGCAAACCAATGAGCTTCAGCAAGCTAGCTTAAAGCTTTTCGAGGCTGCTTACAAAAAGGTAATTTTTAATTTTTAACTGAGTTTGGAAAATTTAATAAAAAATTTTAATTATTTTCAGATGGCTGCTGACCGTGAAAGCAAAAACCAAAACCAGCAAGATGAACAACCAGGCGAGGACGAAAAGAAAAAAGAAGACAAAAATTAAATATTAACTAGGTCCTAGATTTTTTTCAATTATTTTTCCTTTTTTTTTTTTAAAAAAAAAAAAAAATCATTCGTTGTTTTTTTGTACTGGATTACTCGACAACTAGAAACTCTATCCGATAGTAATTAATTATTATATTACAATAATAATTGATGAATTTTTTTCAAAATTTATACAATTATTATTTTTTTTATTTTCGTAAAAATTAATAGAGTTTTTTTTTTTTATAATACTTAGACGCTAAATGTATAATATTGTGTATATAATGTTTAAGACACTTAATTAAGTTAAATAAATAAAAACAACATTTGAATAATATTTTTATTTTAATAAATTTTTTATAAATTTAAAAAAAAAGTTGGTGGCGCTGATGTCACTTTTGATAAAAACTCGCCTTAAGTATTTTTAATATTATTGTCAATAAGTGTATAATACAAGTAAACCAAAAATCTACTAATACAATTATCATATTTTATTATCAATTAAATAATCAACTCTGACAGATCTAGGTCATTAAATATTTAATATTTATTTATTTTAAAATACTCATTGTGTAAACAGACATTTAAAGTGTGAATTTTAAGATTTTTAATTTTATGACAAGTTAACCAAAAAAATTTATTGCATTAAATTATTTATTTTGTTTTGTTTTGTTTTTTTTTTTTTTTTTTTTTTTTTTTTTTTTCTGTGATTTATCATAAGTAAATATTTTTTTTACTGCAAGATCAAAGTCCAAAATAATTTATGTAGATATTTTGCAACTGCCATTGACATTACTATTATATGCATATAGATAAATTTATATTGGATGAGGTGGTATGTATGCAACACATAGGAGAGATATGAAGCATAATCAAGATGACTTGAGTGATGTGAATTGATATTAATTCAGTATAAATTTGTATCTCAAGGTATAAGGTTTATTTAAAAAGAAAAAAAAAAAAAAAAAATCAACAAAATTTTCAATAATTGTAATAAAAAATAAATTTATTTCAGAGTTATGGATAAAAAAAAAGAGGTTCATATTGACATAAAAATAGATGAAAATGATTATCAAGATGATATTAAAATAATTGTTGATATTTTACGTCCAGAGTGGCCTAAAGGTCAATTGCAATTCAAGGTAATTTATTTATAATAAAAATAATTTATTAAATATTTATAAATTTTTTATTTAAATTTCAGATATTTACAAATGGTATCACCAATAAATTAATCGGCATTTATTATTCAGGTCATTACAGTGAAATGTTGTTGATAAGAATTTACGGTAATAAAACAGATTTATTGATCGATAGGAAGGATGAGGTCAGAAATATTCGGGTACGTTTTGTTAATAAATTAATATTTGTGTGTTAAAAATAAATTGTCGAATTAATATTGACTGAATATTATATTTAAACAGGTGCTGAATAAAGCTGGATACACACATTCGCTGTATGCAACATTCAACAACGGGCTGGTGTACGAATTTATTAACGGAGAGGTTCTTACTCCGGAAACAGTAATAAACCCGGAGATTTATTGGCTGGTTGCTAAGCGACTGGCTCAAATGCATTTGTTGGATCCCAGGGAATATTGCCCGGGAATTAATTGGGGCAATGCTCATAGGGAATCTATTATTTGGAATAAGACTGAAAAATTTATAGAGTTGATGCCAAAGTCCTTTGACGATCCTCTAAAACAAGCTAGGTAATTTTAACACCTCGCTTTAGTTGACTTTTTTTATATATATATATATATATATGATACTAAAGTTAGCCGACGTTAAAAAATTTTTCTATTTTTTTTTTTTCACTTATTAAATTGCAAGTAAAAAAATATAATTTTTCAAATTTTCTACATGCGAAATTTTTTCTCTTAATTTTATTATACCTAACAAGTTTTTCAATAAAAATTTTTATATTTCGGCTAATTTAATTAAAATTTTTTTTTATTACAAATACATTTTTCAGGTTCGAAGAATTAATAAAACCTCATGCAGTATTACAAAAAGAGTATCAATTACTAAAATCTAGTCTCTCTAAATTAGACAGCCCAATTGTTTATTCCCACAATGATTTACTGCTGACAAACATACTCTACGACAAGACAATAAACAGTGTGACTTTTATCGACTTTGAGTACACGGGATTCAACTACCAGGCATTTGATATTGCTAATCACTTTGCCGAATTCGTTGGTAATTATTTATTTATTTTTTTGTTTAATAATAATATTTATAAAATTAATATAAATTGCAGGGGTCGAAAATGTAGACTACGATCGGTATCCCGATGAAGCCTTTCAAAGATCCTGGCTGAAAATCTATCTTCAAGCATTTAATAAATCTTCCAGCGTTTCGGAGGAGCAAGTTACCAAATTGTTTAAACAAATAAAAAAGTTTAACCTTCTGACCCATTTTTTCTGGGGCTGCTGGGCCTTGATACAGTCCCAACATTCGACCATTGATTTTGATTTTTTAGAGTGAGTTTAAAAAATATAATTATGATTTTTTTTTTTTTTATTTAATTATTTATTTATTATTTTTTAGATACGCTGCAATGAGATTCAACGAATTTTTCAAGTGCAAAAATTCAAACAATGACTCATCTGAATTAACAACTCAATTATAGAAAATTGATATTATTGGTTGAAAAATAACAATAATTATTGAGAATTATTTATTAAAATTTAATGATTAATAATAATTATTATTATTAAAGAGCATTTATTTTGATGTTGGTTTATTAAAAATATTTTAATAAATATAAACAATATTTTTATTGGGTATTTAATTTTTCTATATTAAAATCCCTGCCTCAAATAATAAATCAACTTTAATCGAAATTTCAAATTTTCCCAGTTTATTTATAATACTAATGGCGAGAAAACGAGCTCAATAGAATTATAAATTTTCACTAGAATTTTAAAAATTTCACCAAAAAAATAACCAAGGTTACTGATAAAAAATAATTTAAAAAAATTAAATAATTAATAGGCTTATTTATAGACAATAATAAACAAATACGTGACAAAAATAACAATTATATTAAAAATAAATTTGACATACTCAGTGAATTTCTTTGTCTCGGAGGCTCGCTACAGTAAATTTATTTATTTGGGTACAGTCAGTGCATAAGTGACCCAACTGCGCATGTATGAGTGTGTGTGTGTGTGTGTGTGTGTCCACATTGAGACACAACTAAACAATCACAGTATTTATTTATTATTATTATATTTAGAAATTCACAAATTCACATTCACACACAAATTGAGTATATATAACTGTATTTATATAGCTTGTGTTATCAATTTTTAGCCGAGAGCCGAGAAAAAAAATAATAATAATAATTTCAATAATTTCATCAGTGCAGGTAAAAAAAGTATATTGTTTTATTAAATAATTTAAATTGTTGTCGGTGGTATTATATTTAATATATTTTAAACTGCCAACTTTTTGTTTAATTGTTGGAAATTGTTCTGACAATTAGCCTAGAAATTAAGAATATGTATTTGAGATTTTATTTTTTTTTTATGTTTAAAAATAAATACATGTTGTTGTTTACGATAAATTTACCATGCAATCTAATTAAAAAAAAAAATATTTTTTTTATTAAGTACATAGTTAATCTGAAAAATAAATCGTATAAAAAAATTTTCCAAACTGTAATTAATTTTTTAAAAATAAATTATAATTTTGCAGATCTAACAGATAAATTTTCAAATCTGCCCGTCGAATTTTCAATTATGCAACTTTACTAACCCGCCATAATAAAAACAAAACATTATTAATTAAATTGTACTAGCAGAGTTAAGTTATCGCAGATAACCCAAATAAAAAATGTTTTTAAGCTGCAAATGTCTAAACATAATTCTAAAATACTCGGGCCGTCAATTATTATCACCTACTCAAGAGTTGTTATCATTTCCAAACCACGAATTTTTCCGCGATAACTCTCTGATAACTTCAACAGCTGATGATAATTTTGCGGTTCTAAAACGCCAGCCAGCATTGATTGACGAGCAAGTTATTGACATTTGGAATATCACTAGATGCATCAATTGTTATCAGTACACTTATGCGGTAAGCGATAACCCGGATAACTCATCATCAGAGGAGGTGGTGGAACCCCAAATAATAAAACCTGTCATCAAGTATTTGGTGTTGAACAAATCGCTTATAAGCGCTGATAATTTTTCAGATGATTCTAACTCTGAATTATCACGGACGAAAGTTGAAAATTTACCTGATGATAACTTTAAGGGATCCACTCCAAGGAAGGATAACAACTCCAAACTGACAATGAGTGATAATTTCAGGTTAGTAGCTAGTGATAACTTGAAAAAAAAAAAAAATAATAATTCTATCAGTGATAACATCCCACTGATACACAGTACAAGTACAAAAACAACATTGATGACTGATAACTCATCATTTATAAATTATAATTCACCAATTGTTGTTGATAATTCTTCATTAACAACAAGTGATAATAAAACAATTATATTTAGTGATAATGTACCGTTGATAAACGTTGATAACTCTGGCGTAATTAGTGGCGTGGATAATACTTGTTTAACTAATTCTATAATATCTATTGATAATTCAATAACATCACGCTCGACAACTAATTTGATAAATGATAACTCTGGTGTTGTTATTATTATCAATGATAATAATTCAACTTTTACTAGTAGTGATAATAACTCAACTCTGATTGGTGGTGATAATTTGAAAATATCAGCAACAACTGGGGATAATTCGACAATATCAGATGATGATATTAACTCAACGGTTAATAAAAATAATGTTTTTGTTAAAATGAGAAATCATCCCGATTACAGTGATATTTACAATGTTATCGTTGATAGCGATAACGATGGTGATGATATTGATGATAACGAAATTTTGATGATGCGAAAACAATTGTTACCGGGAGTTCAGGAATCATTGGGTAATTTACATCAGCAGTATGAGACAAAGGTGAAAAATATTAAGGATGTTGTTGAGGAAAATATTAAACAATTTACAGCTAAGCAGTACGAGTATCTTGAAAATTACAAAGATAAAGGCCATCATCATTATTATGTCTTGACTAATAAAATATTGAGAAACGAGTTTAAAAAAATGAAAAGAGAAAATATCCAAGTTATCGCTGATATTCAATCTAGTGATGATATTGAGAAGGAGGAGAAGGATAAGACTGAATTGGTCAGCAAGCCAAAAATAACGGGTGATTCTGTGAGACCGATAACTCAAGATAATAACTTTATTGTACCTGGTAGTTTGATATATTCAGATAATAATAATAAGATGACGACAGACGGAAAGAGGGTGGACATTAACAGGGAAAAGGAGGGTGGAGAAAAAAGGGCTAAAAGAAAGCAGATGAAAAATTATAACGGTGATATTGATGACGAGGTTATCTTTGCGATTGAAGGGATGGATGATAATGATAATGATGATGATGATGATATGGAGGTTGAGGATAACAACAAGGCTTCTGATGACAATGAGGATGATGATGATGATGATAATGACGACGGAGAAACTGATGGTATGCTATTTTTATATTTTTATATTTTTAAATGATTTTATTTCTTATATTGACAGTTAATATTCTCTATTTTATAGACTCAGGTCAGGACGAAGGAATCCACATCCCACGAGTCCAACGAGGAGGCCATCCGACCCTCGCCAAATCTCTCCCAGTAACTGTTCCTAACTTTGGATTCAGCCGTCGCAAGCAGCGCGACAACGATGGCCAGGTAAAGTTCACAATATGGCTACTCGATTACAACAAAAATTATTATAACAGTACTTTTGTTCTCCAGCAGTCTGTGGACCCTCAGGATCCTCACAACATCCGCGCCTCGATCAAAGCCCTCGCGAAAAGCGTCCACGGTGACACCGTCTTTGGAGATCTCCCAAGGCCAAGATTCTCAACAGAAATTTGACTCGAACACATTTCCGAGTCACCTTCATCACCACAATAAAAAAAAATAAAAAAATAATAATAATAATCACTTTTAACACTATTAGTCTTTATTTCTTTCATTTTTTTATTTTTTATAACTACAGCTAAATATTTAAGTATTAAAAATATAAGCAAATATTTTTAATTATATTGACAAAAAAAATTCATATCCAAATCATTTTTTTTTTCTTAAATTTAAATATATATTGTCAACTTGATAGTTATTAAAATAGTTGTTTTTTTTTTTTTTTTTTTTTTTTTATTTATTGAATTTAAAATGTTTATAAAAAATCAATAAAAATGTTATAAAAATTTATCGAGGGCAGTTAATGAGTCCCAAATTACCACATCATATTTGAAGTGGAGTTCCGCGCCATCGGATTCAGACACAAGTTTGTCAACAGGACGTCAACAGGAGAGCTGCCGTCGTCCTTGGCGTAGACAGTCGCTCGCTTAAATTTTTTCCCATTCCAATAGTTTGCTTGATTTATTGAGTCCGTTGTTTGATAAGGATCTATTTTAGGCATAAAGCCTAAACTTCCAGCTCTGGGTCTTGAAAAATCCACTGGGTCTTGATTTTTATCCCCACAATTTTTTTTATGAGGCCGAATTTTTGGGCCCGATCGACGATGAAATTGAGCCCGATGACTGGCTCGGAAAAAATTCGCCTCAGGATTTTGATGATAAGAAATTTTAGGGCCCAAGAAGCCTCCAGCAGAATTGCAGCTTGGCTTTGAAAATTCAATTTGATTTTCTGACTGCTTTAATTGAGGAGTCCTTTTGTTGCTTTGATTTCTACAAAAATTTTCACGATCTTGGATATTTTTTTCATGAGAAATTGTTGGGGCCTGTCTTTTGGTTCTCGGAGGCTTTGGGGCCGGACGCTTGACTTTTTTTTTCGGGGCTTTATTTTGCGGCCAGTGGGCCAAAATTGGGAGCCCGCAGGCGTTGTGCATGCCCACTAGGGGCACGCCAAACTTGTTTTTCTGTAGGGCCCAATTACTGGAGGGGGGGAGATCTGTGCGCAAGTGATCCTCAAAGACTTCAATCATTGCGCTGACGGTGCCTGCAGGCTCTAAAGAGTGTTTATTATTTTTATTATTTGTATTTTGGGCCTTTTTAGATTTTCGCGAGCTCACGGATTTATTATTATTATTATTATTATTATTATTATTGTTGGTCAATGATTCATGGGCCTTGTAATGTTGATCAGGAAAAATGGGCCTGATTCGCCGGAGAGTCCCAAAATTTTGGGCAAGTGAATTTTTGAAATTTTTAATCGGAATGCTTGTTACTGTTTTTGATTTTGATGAAAGAACAAACTGACTATCATTCGGAAATTCAAGCCCAGGCTTTTTTAATATATTTTTTGGGCCAGAGTGTTGAAAAATTTTGATAAGGTCCAAATTTTTGGGCTTTACACTTAAATTTTGGGAACTAGTACTGGGGCGAATTTTTGGGTCAGTAAAAAGAACATCGACTCCCCGCTCTTGGTAAGAGGAGTGGTGCTGGGGAGTTGTCGACAAAGTTTCTATTGAAGTTTCCTGTTTGATGGAATTAGAGCTCCACTGTTCGATTAGACTTTTGGGACTTGATGATGACTGATGGCATTGGTTTTGTTGATGACTGCCCTCTTGCCACCTTCAGGATTTTCCGGTAAAAATCGAGCCTGACATCTGCCGGTTCTCGAACCCCCCAAACTCATCTTGGCAGTCTTGGTAAGATCTCCCTAAAGTCTCGGTGGACGTAAATGACGCTGCTGCTGTTATATTGTGTTGACTCTTGTTTAATTTTTTTCTCAATTTACCGGATTTTCTTTTGTAGCCCATCAGCGTGGAAAGCAGAGCGCACAATTCAATGAACATTATTGATAATCCAATAATTAGTAATAACAAAGCTTGCTCTTGCGTCCATTCTTCTATTTTTTCCAAGCAGCCCTAGAATATTAATATTATTATTATTATTATTATCATCGCATTGCTGTAAACAACTTTAAATTAAAAAAGAATATATATATATATATATACCGTAGTATGTCTAGCACGTTGATGTTTAACAGGATTAAGTGTTTGACAAGTTTCCAAATCTTTGACAACAGGATTCAAAAAAGCGTCAAAATTATTAGTATTATTTAAGAGGCAGCAGGTTAACGGCACAACTAAATTCCGTCGACCAACTTCCTGTAATCGCCACCAGGATGTCCCGTAATTGTTGCTTCCGTTAATACCGCAGCATGAAAACTATAATAACAATTGCCATAAAAATTTATACTATTTTAATCAGCAGGTTTGTTATTTTATTAAATTATTACCGTAGTTTGCGCAAGATCTAAAGCTGCAGTAAACTGTTGTCTTCCCGGTAGACCGTAGTTGCGCTGCAACGTGCGTAGTAAAGTCACCACTCTAATGTCAACTCCAATTAAATTAGGAGTAAAGATTGTGAGGACGCAGACTGTCAACTGGCTTATCATAAGAGTTATAAGGATGATCATATACTGAAACAATTATTTTTTTTTTTTAATATATATATAATATTATGTCATATTTAATTATATATATGTATAAGCAAAATAAATTCTAAATAAATAAACTTACCAGGACAGTGACACAATTATTTGCCAAACAAGAAACCCAGCAGCCCAATAACCCGCTCAAAGCTATTAAAAATCCCACTCCTATCACAATCAACGCCAAATAGTAAAAAATTGGTTCCTTCACCACTGATTCGTTTGTGTTTAACAATCGAGACAACAGAATTCTATTGTTGTCAATTAGTAATAAAATTCCTAGGGACATTAAAATTACTCCCGAAATCTGAATAAGAAATATATATATTTAAATTAATTTAATTTAAAAAGAAATTTTTTTCTAACTCACCATAAAAACAATATTACTCCAGCAAATAAATGCCTTTGTAATTTTAAACTTTTCACCACTCATATTATAGTAATATCAATAAAAATAAATAATTATTAAATAACATTATTTAAAAATAAAAATTCAATCAGTTAGACTGAAAGTTTAAAAGCTAACTGAACAACGTTGTAGTCATTTTATTAAATGCTCCCCTGCAGTTGGAAAATAATTCACTACACCATGATAAATATATATATGTTCACATATACATATATTGTACGCGGGTATAGATAAATATATAAAAGCGTTAAGAATGTTACGTTTCATCACGCGTCAGTGAGTTTTAACTTTGTTTTGTAATAATCCTTCTTTTTTTTTTTTTTTTTTCTATATTCTATATTGTTGTGGATATAAACCGGAAGGAAATTGCTACGGAAGAGGTATACAAAGGAAAAGGGTGGTGTATATATTTTTTTTTTTTTTTTTTTAAATATAATGATATATGAAGCGCGTGTGTAATAATTGCTCTTACGAGTATTTTATATACTTTTATACTGACCGGCCATTTGATAAAATAATTTTATATTATATTATTGTTGATGTGCGTATGTCATATTAATTTTTTATTTAGTTTTTTAACGGTAATTATAAGCATTTGTAAATTTATTTTGTTTTTATAAATATATTATTTACAATCAATTAAAAATCTAATAATTTTGATGATCCACAACCAAATTTAGCAACTTTTTCTTCTTTTTCTTCACCAAAGTCTGGCGGTAAGTGAAGTATCTTAAAAAAATTAAAAATTAAAAATTTTTTATTATTGTTATTTAAAAAATAACTAAATATTATATTTTATTACCTCAATAACAAATTTTTTTCTTCTCATTTTAAAAGCCAGGTCATAAGATTCCGGACAATGTGGCGCCAGAGTGTTAATAGCTGATAATTTTTTAACATAAAGCAAACCATGGTAGTCTTTAAAAATTGGATTTGTTTCTTTGGAAGATCCAGCAAAAGATTCCATCGCTATCGCTGTATCTGACAAATTTTCTATCCTCATCATAATAGTGTCCTAGAATTAATCATTTATACAAAATATATAATAAAAATAAAATTTTTATTCACAGCTGAAACTTACGTCCTCTGTTAAAATATCAGAAACAGAAATCGCTGCAACTGCGTAGCAATTTCTCATCAACGATCTAAAGCAATAAAAAAATTTAACCAGATCTCCATGGTCTTCTGGATCTTGATCACTGATCCACAATCTAGATCCCAGGCCGTGGATCACGATCCTCATAATATTTCTTTTTTCAGGTTTGTCGGTAACGTAGAACCCTCCGGACTTTAGCTCCCTCTGGAGTTTTTTAAGCAGATTTGTGTACCGACAGTCCCTGAATCCCATTGGATGACATTTAAGCTTATCATTACCGACTGGAGTCGTGATATCACTGTCAGCAAGGCAGAAAATTCTGTCCCGGTCGATAAGACTCGGGTCCATTTTCTTGGTTAGATCAAAAAAGTGACCAAAGTCGCTGTTGTATTTTGAATTTTTACTTTTTGTCGCCAAAGGGTCGCTGGCTTTCATATTCTCGTACCTCCAGGCAATCTTCATTCTTTCGGCTTCTCTTATTGACAAAGGCGATGCCGATACTGCAGAACAGCTGGTAGACTTGTCCTCGCATGATATCACTGCCGGTAATTCAAAGATTAATTTGTCGGGAGGAAAATCTTGGGAAGCTATCAATAGGTTATGCTTTGCCACGCATCCTTCGGCGAGAAAGTATTTTAAAATTGTTTTTGCGTAATTTCCATATTTGTCTTCCTCTAAAATTTAAATTATTATTTATTTTAAACATTAGGTATCATGTGGAAAATAATAACTTAAATATACGTTTTTCTTTTGTTATTTTTAAATAATTACCTAGTAGTAATATTGTTCCAATGGGTAATCCGCCTCCTGGAAAATATAAAAAAATTTTTATTAGGGAAATTTAAATATTAAATATTTTATTGTAAATTGAATATTTAAGTAATTTATAGTATTTATAGTAGCAGTATGTAAATATTTAATTTTTTTTTTTTTTTTTTTTTTTTTTATATCGATCAATGTTTAATTGGGAAATTTTTATTAAATTTATTAATTTATAATAAACAATTACCAATAATAGTATCCAGTGATGGAATTCCAGTTGAAATCAATAATTGTGCATTAATAAATGACGGTTTTGTCCCCAAAATAGTTGACTGACTTTTTTTAATGCTTTTACTGTCATTGTTAGTCATAGTTTAAATAATATTAATTATATTTTGTCTCATATAAAATAATCTTATTTTATTTTTATATTTTTCACTCAATTATTTATAAATTATTATTATTTTTTTTTTCTTAATAAATTACTTGTTTTTAAAGTAAAAGGCAAAAAGTGCTATATGTTTGTTATTGTACACGTGAAAATATTTCGATAACCTCAAATGTAAAAATCAAAATAATTATATATTTTAATAAAATAAAAAAAAAAAATATGATAATTATTGGGATATGGTAATAATAGTTGCTAACTTACCTTTAGGTGGTAAGAGATTAAAGAAGCGCCACTGTCTCGCAAACCGGGAAATTTCAATTTTAATGAAATTTAAATACAGTTATTAATAATTATGACGATAATTCTTGAACAAATAAACCGATTTATACCGAGTTTGTTCCAATTGACTCTGAATTTTATCTTCTACATCTTAAAATAAATTGTAAAAAAATAAAAAATTAAGCCTTCTACTACTTCTAGAAGCTCTATTTAAATAAAATTCCAATTTATTTGGATATTAAAACAAAAACTGTAATTATTATATTAACATAAAAATGAATTTAATCGAGTATATATACTCAAACATATAAATATACAAAATACAATACCCGGCCAATACAAATAATTTAGATTGAACAAAATAATATAACCCAGACAACCTGAGACTCGACTAGCGGTACTAGCGGTACTCCCTCTCCCTCTTTTCCTTTATCCCCACCACAGGATAAATCTTGTCATCTCTTCTTGTTCCTCTCGTTATTCAATCTCTTACACACATATAATATATTTATTGTAATAAAATAAAACATCATCAGGTCATCCATTCCAGAGCTTGGAACCCCCCCACCAAAATATATGTCCAAATTACCTCATTATTACTCGTAACACGTCACCCGGTATGCCACCAGAAATTCTTCTTTTTATATATATATAGACATGAAAACACGTTATTCCGAAACTTTATAGAATCAACTGGCATTCAAGTGTTGAACGTAAAAGTGTACACTGGCTGTTACGATAAAAAAAAAATAATAATTATTATTATTATTTTATCATTTTATTATTATATATTATTAGATTGTGAGTTTTATTTAGAAAGTTATAATAGTACATTTTTTTTTTTTTTCTTCTTATAAAAAATCGATCCATATTTTTTTTAAAATATTTAAAAATTTAAAAACATAAATGGGAAAATTTTACTGAGAAAAAAAAATGTAAATGTGATAGTCTCTATCTTGAGATTGGAGTTTAGACTACTGAGCTTGTAACGTGCGAAAATTTTCATAAAATTAACATTAACAGCTAATTATTTGCAAATAAACAATAAGATAATAACCAGTATTATGATTATCGATTCCCCGGTAGATTTAAGTTAAAAAAATTTACAACTCCCGATTTATTGGTTATTCTTATAATATATTTTGATTTAATTATTTTTTTTTTTGTTTTTCAGGGAAATTATGGCACTGTTGCGGTTGATGAAGCGCACAAATATTTTGCGACAGAGGAAAAATTATGGTGACAAAAAAAATTTATCAACCACAAACAAACTGTGTCAATTAAATCAAGTACTGCCACGTGACAATAATGTGAGGATAACAAGTGCACAATTAGACGTAAAGGATAGTGTACCGAGAGATGCAAAGCGACCTATAGATCCGCTAGATTTGACTTTTAGCGACCCTGTTGCTGCGTTCAAGAGCAAATCTATGAAAGAGCTTATTCGCGCTTACGTTTGTTTTCAATTATGCTCCTTTGATTACGTCGTTGAGAATAACGCCAAAGTTAGTATTTCCCTATATAATTTTATTTTATTATCTACATACTGCTACTGCTAAACAAATTATTATTATTATTAAATATTATACCCTGCTTACTGAGATTAACCGATTAATCAACAACAATAGGCAATTATTATTAATACATCAAAAGCTATTTTTTGTCAACACGGATATATTAATTTTTGTTAACCTGGACATTATTAAATCAGGATCAATTGAATAAAATATAACAATAAAATATAACCTCGGCGGTAAATTAACTTTAAAAATAAATATCGGACGTCTTACAAGTGTTTTTTCGACATTTCAAGTGTTTCTTTCACGCAGAGATGTAATAAATTAAAGTTATTGTTATTGTTATTTGGCTAAAAATATTTATTTATTATTTTAATTTTCATTGCAACAATAAAATATTATATTATAAATAATGGTGACAATAATTATATTTAATATATCATTATTATTATTATTATTATTATTATTATTATTACGGTATTGACATATATATATATATATATGCACTCTTAATTCATAGATTGTTAAATTGTGATAAATCGTGTCAGATTTAATAGAATGATAATAATAAGAATGATAGGACGAGAGCTAGATCCAATAATTATTTTTTTTTAAATTATACAAGTTGTTTTTCATTATTTCTATTGACTTATGTACTTTAATATTTGTTTTTAATATTTGAATAAGACCACAAAGAATTTTATTTAAAATGATATAATTGTTTTAATATTTGTATAATTTAATCTACAGTATTATTATTATTATTATTATTATTATTATTAATATTTTTCAGATAATGAAAATAGCCCAAAATATTCTCGGTGAAAAACTCTTTACGTATTTAATGAAATCAACATTTTACGGGCATTTTGTCGCTGGAGAAGACGAAATTCACATTCGTCCGACTCTGGACCGACTTCGTCAATTTGGAGTTAAACCCCTCCTTGATTACTCCGTTGAGGAAGACCTCTCCAAAGAAGAAGCTGAGAGACGAGAAGTAAAGTCAGTATTTTATATAAAAATAATCAAAAAAAAAAAAAAAAGAAATACTAAAAATCATAAAATATAGCCTAAAAATAATATTTTTCTTCTTCCAGATCCTCAATTTCAGAAGCTGGAGACGAAAACAAAGAAGGAACAATAAAAAAGTACCATTTGGAAAAATCATTTGCCGACCGTCGGTACAAAGTTTCGTCGGCAAGAACGTACTTTTACCTTAATGAGGCCTCCTGCGAGCGGAACATGGATATTTTTATAAAATGCGTCGAAGCAGTTTCCAGTAAGATTTTTTTTTTAAAAAGAAAATTTCTTATTATTATTATTATTATTATTATTATTTATTACAGCGGCCTCTGTCGGTACCGGGATGATTGCAATAAAATTGACAGCACTGGGGCGCCCTCAACTTCTGGTAAGTTTTGACCCCCACTTTTTTATAAAAATAAAAATATAATAATTAGTTGTATAATTTATACAGCTACAATTGTCAGAAGTGATAATGCGCGCGCGCCAGTACATGTCTGAGGTAGTGGGGGGAGAGGGTGCTGTACTGGCTCACCACACTTCGCCAGAGGAGCTTAAAAAAAAGTTCGAGGACGCGCATATCACTGACGCTGCACCGGTAAAGAAATTTCTCAATGAACTCCAGTCGGATAATGAAGGGTATGTTCTAATTAATTAAATTAATTACTTTGTCTGATACATAAAGATATTTTTTTTTTTTTTTAATAATTTAATTAATTTTTAGGGTGATTCATCTCTTTCCCTGGAGCGGAATTTTAAATGAAAATTATGAATTGAGCGAGACCTTCCAGGTGCCGGATATAAAGACGGGGAGGATGGTCAAGTTAATGACCCAGCTGACGCGTAAAGAGGAAGAAATGTTCAGGAATATGATAAGGAGGTTGAACAATATTGCAACGGTAAGTTTAATTTTCTGTTTATAAATAATAAATGCGGTTATAATTTATAATTATTAATAATAATTAATGATTAATTAGATCGCAGATAAATTAAATGTCAGGATAATGATCGATGCAGAGCAGACGTATTTCCAACCAGCGATTTCACGGCTTACTTTAGAGATGATGAGAAAGTACAATACTCGGAGAGTAAGCTCTTTTTTTTTTTCAACGACCTTTAAATTTAAATGGATTTATTCCAGAGAAAATTGTTTTGTGCAATTATCTTAAATTTTCTCTTCAGGAAATTTTTTTTTTTCCAACAAAAATTAGTTATTTATTGACGAATATAGGCTCGTGGAATCAAACTATTAACCGGATTGATCTACAGAATTTCAATTTACAAGGTATTTTTGAAAAAAAAAATTACAGCCTGTGGTGTTCAACACATACCAAACATATCTAAAAGACACCTGGAGCGAAGTAAAGACTGACTTGGAGCAGGCTGAGCGGCAAAAGTTCTACTTTGGGGCGAAAATCGTCCGTGGGGCTTACATTGAACAAGAGAGGGCGCGAGCTTTAGCTATGGGGTACCCAGACCCGACGAATCCGACTTATCAGGCTACTACCGAGTGCTACCATCGCACCTTGATGGAGTGTCTCAAAAAAATGAAACAATACAAGGATCAAGGAATCGATCCCAAAAGGCTTGCTATCATGGTAGCTTCTCACAATGAAGACACTGTTAGATTTGCTATAGAAAAGTAAGTTATTAAAAACTTATATATTTTGAAAATAATATTAATCATTTTTTTTTTTTTTTCTTTATTAAGGATGAAGGAAATTGGAATTTCTCCAGAGGACAAAGTTATATGTTTTGGTCAATTACTTGGAATGTGTGATTACGTTACATTTCCTTTAGGTAAAAAATTAAAAAATTAATTTTAAAAAATTAAAATTAAAAAATTTTTTTTTTTGTTTTTGTTCTTTTAGGACAATCAGGATACTCTGTATACAAATACATTCCTTACGGACCAGTTAAGGAAGTTCTTCCATACTTGTCACGACGTGCCCACGAAAATTGTGCAATCCTTGCTAAAATAAACAAAGAAAAAAAATTGCTAATGTCTGAAATATTACGGCGCTTGCGCAGTGGACAGCTCTTTTACAAACCGGACGGCCATTACACTCCAGTATAACACACAAATATAATAACAAATATAATAAATATTTAATAATAATAAATAAATTTAGCAAAATTTTATTTATTTTCTTAGTTTTCAAAATTATAAGATTTATTAATTTAGAGGTTTAAAATTTTTTATTTTTTATTTTAGATAGGTGAAATATCCTTTAAATTTTTATATAATAGACACGTCTTTATTGTCACACCTTTAGAGGGCTATAATTATTAATATTGATAATAAATAAAAACGGCGATATTAAAATAATAGAAATATCTTACCGGACGGAAATAATAAAAAATATAGAAATAAATTAAATATCAATAACTAAAAGATGAAACTGCGTGTCTGATGATATTGTGAGTCTCAGTATAAAATTCATAGAGAATGACCAAAAAATCACTGCGGTATGGAAAGTTATTGTTTTCAGTTTGGCAAATCAGATATATGCCAATCCATTTTTATCGTGACCCCTGTAAACAGCCATGTCTCCAGATATATTTAAAAAACTTTGAAATTTTAATATAAAAAAAAAAATTAACATTATTTTAAACATATTATATTTATTAATATATTATTATATATGTACATATATAATTTAAATTAATTAATACTATACAAATAGACTTTCATAACAATATCTATATATAGTTTTATATGTTAATACATTATTACAATTATTATTATGATAACAAATTGAGAATTTTTTTTTTTTAAATATTTTTTTCAAGACTCCTGCTGTTTTGAGAAATTCTGCGGAAAATTTTTTTTTATTGATTAAAAGTGAGATTTTTATTAATTAATTAATTATAAATTTAGGGGTAAGTTGGAACTTGATATGTCACAATACTCCATTTGTATGTTGTTAGTTAATATATTATATGAAACATTAAAAGTTATTTAATTGTTATAAATATCACTATTTGTAATTAGGCAGTGTCTAAAGCTCTTGAGACAAATAATAATAATAATAATAGTAGTCGATGTTCCTTTTGGCTCGAAATCGAAATCGGGTTAGGATTTTTTTTTATTTTTATTACAAAAGTCGTGTTTGTTTAATTTTATATAAATAAATAAATAAATAAATAAATTATTATTATTATAAATATAAAAATTATCTTACAATTAACAGTTATCCATGTTAGTTTTTTTTTGTTTGTTTTGATTTTTTTGATGATAAAATTTTAGTAAAAAATTAAATAATTTACAAATTTACAGCGTTGTTCCATCCAGCTCTATATTTTTTTTTTTTTTTGCCATTTGAAAATGTCAAATGTCAAATGTCGATGGTTTTGGGATTTAATAATATTTTTTAATTGAAACAAAATAGGTAATCGTTCTTAAAATAATGTTAAAAAACAATTAAATTCCCAACTGTGGTGACTTTATCGACACTGAAGATTGATCACCATCACCGCGTGCAGGCGAGTTTCTTGAGTAAGTAACAAAAACATTGCCCGGGATATTAATTTCTCCTGAATTTTTTCTAAAATTCTGATTAAAGCTCGTCATGGTCACGTTGTTATCGTCATCATCATCATCATCATCATTATTATAATAATAATAATAATTATTATTATTATTATTATTATTATTATTTATGTTAACATTTCCGATAATGGCAACATTGTTGGTACAACTGGGCCTGACAGAGCAGCGCCTGGATGAGGCTTCTGAGGGTACTGAGGGTAACTGACGGTGGCGACTCGTTGAGGCGGTTGATGACAACGAAGATGACCCGACAACTGCATTACCGGCAGCTGATATCAGCGAGCTAGACGGAACAAATCTCTCTCATTCACCGTGGGACATTTTTCTTCTAGTCTCGGTTATTAATTTATCATTGAATCCGGGTTGAGTTTGCTGTAGACCATGGTGTTGGAGGTGGTACGACAGGTGATCGACAGTGGAGACTCCAGCTGTCGATGACGCCGACGCTATTAGTCAGGAGGAGGATGTCGTTACCAGGCATTTTCCTCTTCTGGCCAGACGAAGTTCCAGCCAAATGTAAGGCACCACTGCGAGGATCAATGACGTTCCGAGCCCGAGAACCCTCAATCGGGTGCAAACCACTCCGTGGAGGCCCAGTGCCAGGAACAGCCCCAGGTACTTCCAGAATATCGAGGTTGATAAGGGAGCTTGCCAGCTTGATGGGTACAATCCTAGTAAAAGGGCTGAAAAATTATATTATTAAGTTGTTTTTTTTTTTTTTTTTTTTTTTTTTTTTTTTTTTTTTTTCTACTACTACTTTAATCATTTAATTTAATTATAAAAAAAAAAAAAAAAAAAAAAAAAAAAAGTTACTTAGGATTAGTGTCTCCCAGATGGCGTTGCAGACTCCCCAAGCAGCTGATATTACATTGAATAATGCTGGGTCGTCACCCGCTGGGCGCCAGGTTACTAAAGCGAGTAATAAACACGCGTGAAAGGCAAATCCTACTGCTGAAAAATTTTTCATTATATACATGTATATTATTTATTATTGGTTAAATTTACCAAAAGTGATTTATTATTAGAGTTATCAGTAAAAAATAAATAAATTCTTACCCACAACAAAATGTCGACGAATATGACGCATCAGCATTGACAGAGTAACTCCAGCAAGAGCCTGAAGAAGGGCAAAGGTAAGAAAACTTATAATAACAGGTCCAGCCCCATCTAGCGCGCAAACGACAAAAGCTTCGGTGAAATCACTGTAGATAAAACCTTGTTCCAATCCAATAAAAAGTGTAAGTGGTGCAGCCAGCTGAAGCTTTGGATCCTGAAAGCTCTGTTTTAATGACTTTAAATGCTGACGTACCGACTGGTGGTCTAGTGAACTTTGTGGTTCACGTAATCGGGAGTCTAAAAATCCACAGGATATTCCAAATGCGAGAGCTCCCAGCCCCAAGTATACACTAAGGATTACTTTTGCTGTATCGACTGCCATTGTTGGTAAAAGGAGAGTCTGATTGTAAAAATAGGTTTCTTGGGGGCAGTATTCCGCTCCACACGTGCTTCCAACGTCTTCAAGATCACTTGAATCCAGAGCTTTAGTCAGTGGATTTATAACTTTGATAATTAGTCCAGCAATCAGGCAGCCTGGAATAAAAATATTAAAAAAAGGGTTTCGTTGTTGTTATCATCATCATCATCATCATCATCATCATCATCATCATCATCATCATCATCATCATCATCATCAGTAATAACTAACCAACTTACCGACAGCCAGTCCCAAATCTTCAGCAAGTTTTAGAATCCGATTAAGCCTTCGTAAAATGCATTCTCGTTTGGTATCATCAGGATCATCAGGATCATCAGGATCTGTTGCGTAGATAACACTTAAATTACTCGCACAGATGTTGACGTGTGAGGTCCGTGATAACAACCACGGACTCAATGTCATTCCATAGAGGGCATAACTGGCCAATAAAACATACCACTTTGGATATAGATGGGTCACTAAAAATAGTATCGTTACAAAATGACTTAAACAGATGACAATGTTAGTCCCGAGTTTTTGAATAACTACTGTCGATAACATTGAAGTAATTGTCGCTATTCCGTACAAAACCGCAAGAAGAATTGGCCCCAGGTGAGAATTGAATGCCCCCAGACCAGCTTGAAGTGGTAAAAGCGGAAGTGTCGCCGCAGATATTGTCATATGTCCCAAAAATAGGGCAGCACAGTGTCGAATTACTAGTTTCCTAGATGGACGTGGCTGAATATTACATCCTAAATAACCGGTACTGTAAATATTATTTCCTGACGCCGCCGAGGGTGTACTGGCTCTTACTGCGGCTATAAGCCGGCGAACTGATGAAGTACCAGTAGCTGAGGAGGTCATTGATTCTCGACGACGACACGAGAGGGCTGATGCGCGCGCTGAACGGCATGATATTGGTGAGTATGTTGTCATGTGCTGAAAAAAATTTCATTATCATAATATCATCATCATCATCATCATCATCATCATCATCATCATCATCATCATCATCATACTATTCCAATAAAAATTATAAATAATAATAACTAAATCTGGAGATGTGTCTTTATTTTTACCTCTAACATTACGTCATTATCCCACAAAGTATGATGATGCCCGCTGCTACTCTTAACCCTCCTGTTTGTCTGGGCAAGTGGAGGGGGTTGCGGAGGTAATTTAATCGGGCCAAATCCACCGATCGGCGAGGGCCTGTGAACTATCGGGGGGTTCTCTTTGTCACGTGAAAGTTCGTGTAAATTCGGCAACGAGCCCATCTTGTTAAAAGTACCTACACCTTCCTAAATAATCTTATCGATTTTAAATAATAAATCCAACTTTTATCATATATTTATACGACACAATTACCCAATGATCAATCTACTGTTGACATTTTTTGTGATATCAAAACAGAGAGGTATATAGATGCTCCATTAGGAGATGATGATGATGATGATGATGATGATGATGATGATAATGATCCATGCTTTGCGGATTTTCAAATTAAATAGCGCCCTTTTTAACTGATGTAACTGCAGACAATTTAAAAATCAAAACAGTTTATTATTTTTATAGTAATAAAATAATAATGTTTTATATTGAATTGCTTATTAACATATACACACTATATGTATATATAATTCATATCTATCTAATATGTATCTGAATCTTAAAATCGGTTGATGAATTAATTACAGCGTTTTAATTAATAAAATAATTAATCTTTATGTATATCTCATCACTTGACGATCATTATTATTATTTGTTCCGTTATATTATACATATATATATATATATATATTACTGTTTGAAAAAATATATTATATATACAATAATAATATAGTGTGTTATGTGATCGGTAATTATAATAGTGTGTGCATGTCGTTATCTTACCAACCGGTTATTTTAAAATTAACATACTGATGATTTAAATTTTATATTTTAATGCAGTGTGTTAGATACATATAATATAATATAAGTTTATATAAAGATTTATCTGGAGGATTTTGTAATAATATTGTCGATTACAATCAATCGATTGAAATAGAAAAAATATAAAATTTAAATTTTGTTGATTTATTTACACTAAAAAAAAAAAAATATTAACAACTGTTGTTTTTACATTATCTGAAAAATTTTTTTTCCATCTACAATGTATAAATAAATAATTTATAATAAAATCATTGATATAAACCCACTTAATTGAAATTGTGAAATTCTTCAACAGAATTATTAAAGATATAAAAATAAATATAATAATATTAATTTTCTTACCTCATTTTAGTTTCATAATTAATATCACACCACTATAATAATAATATTATTATTATTATTATATAAATTTATAATTTATACCATATATTTAATCAATAATTAACATTTTAGACATAAAAATAAAATATATTTAATTATTAATTGGACGGTTAACATACACATCTATGGTCATATATAATTTATAAATAAATCTATCAAAAAAATTAATAAAAATTTATAACAATTAAATTTTTCACTTTCTGGCACAAAAATTATGGCAATATTTGTAGATTTTACGCGTAAACTTGCGATTTACTCGCGATTTAAAAATGTGTTAGTAACAACAATCAATTATTAGTATGTCGTATTTAGTTTAATTATAGTAAATATAAAAAGTACGACATGAGATAAAATGAGATACCGAAGGAGGAACACGATATTGCAGTCTCCCACCTTTTTTATTTTCTCTCTACCCGGTCGATAGTTACTGAGAGTGCGTATATAATACACGTATAAATAAATTCTGAGGTAAAATGGACATATATATTAAACATAGGGTTGCTTTTTGTCGGTATTAAAAGTTATTATCAATTTTATTTTTTTTATTTTTTTTTTTTTTTTTTTTTTTTTTTTTTGTAGTCAGAATTTGAACCGATATCAATTTTTTTTAGCCAATTATTTTTAAAATTAATTAAAAAATTTAGTTGGAATTAAAATTATTAAAAATAGTTAAGTATAATTTTTAATCGATATAAATTAATCATTAAAGCGTTATTTTAATTAAAAAAAAAAAAAAACAAATAATGATGATGATAGTAATATTTTTTAAACAAGTAATTGAATCTTAGATTAAAATAAATGAATAAACAATCAGGAACTAAGTTCCATTGATTGATCAAAGACGCAGCTACCATGACATTGTACTAAGAAAATATAATATAATCATCAGGACGTAAATACTAATTTATACTACGTGTAGTTACTGTTATTTACGATATATAATGTTATATAACTATTTTTTATTTATTTACTTATTTAGATTTTTATACTCTACTATTATTTTAATCGTTATTAGTCTGTTGTGCACAGATAAATCTTTATTTTACACGATATTTGCTCTTCAAACAATGGTAATCTAATAAGTAATAATTATGATTGGATAATAGCTTACTTAATTATTGTATGTAAAACTCATCAATAATTATTAAAATGTATTTTTTTTTATCTATATATGGAAAGAAAAAAAAAAAAAAAAAAAAAAAAAATTTATTCCCTGTTTCACTGCCCCTATTACTGGAATATTTTGACAAAAATTATTTTGTATTCTTCCTATTAATCAGTATATTAAAGTTATTATTAATAAAAATAAAGCTAATAAGTAATAAGTAAACCCCCCGAAGCAATCTTTTTATAAACTGTTAATAAAACTATTTATTTTATTAACCCAATTACCCATTTACTAACAAAATAACGATTGTAATTATGGTTAATTTTTTGCAAAATGAGGAAGGAAGTAAACAACCGCCCGGGGGTGATTGAGATCGGTAATGAGATTTTGACCTTGAAAGTCCGATCAAGAGTAAATTGATCAGTAAATATGGGAATTAACAGTGGAAATAACAGTGTGCAATTTTTCCCCACTTTTTTTACATTTCTTACATCAAATATACTAGACACACGTTATATTAACATTGTTTAGTATGTTTAGTATTATATGTGCATGGGCCCCTTCTCTTTTTACAGAAGGTTGTCATTGAGCCTTGGAACTTTCTTATATATAAAGGTTGTAAGACCAATAATTCACTTGTATTTTATAACTGCCCCTCTGGAGCCGGGAGCCGGGAGCCGGGAGCAGGAGCCCCAGTGTGCCTTTTTAATTAAGACCGGAATTTTTTTAATAGTTCGGTAATAGTTAATTAGTTAATTGAACGGGAAAAAATGAGTTAACATTGATAATAAGATAATACGAAAAAAAGTGAGTAGATATTAAAATAAAATTTATTATATTATCTGTGAATAAAATTTTTTTCGGTGCTGGATATCATAATTTAGTTTAGTGGACTTATATAATATATACGAGGTAGGTAGGTAGGTAGGTTGCCTAACTAAATTATCGAAAGGTGAATAGCATTCTATGCTGCTCGGTATGCATACTTAGATTAAGATTAAGAATTACAGTCGCGCAATTCACTATATATATATATATATATATAGAGTGTGTATCATACGGAAATTTATTTTTCAGTCATATTAATATATATCATTTTAAAACATCATGTGCTTAAATAACTGTCGCATAATAAATGCTTTTTCAAGTTTCACATATCGTCATATATGATTTTCTTCATATATTTATATATATATATATATATATATGACTTAATGTTCATATTAAAATAAATATCCGCATAATTATGTTACCGATATGGTAATTTGTATTAAATTTAATTATTTCCACGTATAAAAAAATCAATAAATAAATCCATCAGGCATATTATAATTAGTAATTATAATTATATAATGAATTAAATAAAATAACAAATCGTGGAATAAATTAATTATTTCTTGATAATTCAATTAATATTACTATTATATTAAAAAATTCCACAGTTATTAGGCATCAGGCTGATCATAAGATGTTATGATCTATCATAATTCTGATGATTATGATTCTGATTAGTAATAAAAATTATAAATAAACCGCGCACCAAGTAAAATAAAAAAAGTTTACCGAGGTGTCAAGGCCGGTTAACTCCTTTATGACTTGTATATATAGCTTTAATCAAGATGTATATTTAAGATTATGGCCCTGGAATAACTATCTTTCTAGTCATCTTTACAATTATTATTTTTATCAATTCGCGGTCGTCTATTAATTATCAGAATAATAAGTTAAAATATAAATTAATAAATTTTTCTATATACATCACAGCATTTATAACTATATCATTTTAATGATAATTATCTTACAATTGGATCTAACGGGCTAACGGTTGTATCGTAGTTTACAGGAAAACTCAATAATTATAATTAATCAACGATATATTTTTTTTTTCTTTTCTTAATTATACTATATCTTATTTACTGCTAATTAGCAGTTTTTTTTTTTTTGTACGTACTTACCTTCAATTTTTTTGTTATATTTATGTCATTTTACATTTGATAATTAATTTGACTACCCATAAGCCGACATATATGATGACACATGCTCTCTAATATTAAATAAAATGTTTATCACCTTTGCACCCCACAAATTTGTAATCCGTAGCACCAGCCAAAGTTCCAATCGATTACGAAAAATCTATAGCCTGATTAGATAATAATTACGTATGCACTATGTTTACGTTATTATCGTAAAACATATATAAAAATTCGTCATGCGTCTTTGTCCCTATTACGAATAAAAAAAGTAACAAAAAAGTTTGCATCTTTTGTAATTATTACAATAAATAATAAATTAATGATCACCATATACAGCAGCCTGAATTTTAATGACTAATAATTAATTATAAAAGTAATATAATATAAATACAAAATGACAGTAGACTAGAATAACAATAGCAAGCAGTGTATAGATGTTTAACAGTGCATGGAATTTGCGTTAATGTTTCACATACAAACGCTTTTTTTTTTTTTTATTTTATTTGTATATATCTTCCATAAACGCGTCTTACGGTAATAAGCAATGATATGTATATATACATATGCAGATCTGAAAAATGTGTGTAGAGTTGAAGAATCAAAGTTGTCACGACGCGTCCCTGAGCCAGAATCATTGAGATGGAACTTGGATTATTTTTTCATTTTTTATTATTTTTATTTTTATGGTTTTATTGTAATTCAGTCACGAATACGGAACAGATCGTTTTTTTTTTTTTTTTTTTTTTTTTTTTTTTTTTTAATTGATGACACTGTAATCAAGTTGTTGATTTTTTACTCTTACATATTTGCTCAATAGCAATAATAATAATAATAATAGCAATAATAATAATAATAATAATAATAATAATAATTAGTAATGACTTAATTTTTGTAATTTAGACAGTGAAATTTTACGACTAAATGTTACCGAGTTTAAAAATGGTAAAAAAAAGCAAAATTCCTATTTCTTTGGTGAATTTTTAAAGAACCACAAAAAAATTTTTTTTGACAATTTAAAAATAAAAAATCAGTTTCTTAATCCCAAAAATCCTATTTTTATCTCTGCTCCAATCAACTTGCTGAGTGAAAGGAATAATAATAAAATTAACAATAACATTATTATAAATTAAAACTATTTACATAATCGATAGACTTATCCACCTGTCATAAATCACTTGGAGGAGTGTCTCAAAAAAAAAAAAAAAAAAAAAAAAAAAAAAACTAACCTTCGAATTTAAAAAGCTATTATTATTAATGTTAAGTTTTTATTGTCTTTAATAGATAATAATAACAATTAGTAATTAGCGATTAATCATTTTTTATGTTACAGATCCAGACAATTGAAAAAAAAAAAAAAAGTTAGATAATTTTATTTCTTTTATTATTGTCTAATCAAAAGATAGTAAAAAAAAAAATAAACAAAAATGTATAATACATTGATAAATAAATTGAGATTTTTCTACAAGCCTTATGCACTTGCAGTTGTTTCTATTGGGTATATTGTTGGTGAATTGGGGCATTATTTAATTGGTAAGTATTTTTAAAATTTAGATAAAAAATTATTTTTATAAAAAAATATACTACTAATAAATTTTTTTTTTTCTTTTTTTAGGATCAACTAGTAAAGCAACGGCAATTGATTTGCACTACGGTGATATATCGTGCCAATTAAATTCAACTGAATTTTCAGTAATTGATTTACCAGTCCAATGTGAAGCTGCCAATAATTCTGATTAGTAATAATTTTTTCTAATAAATAAAAACTAAATTTTTTTCCCTTAAAAACTATAACATTATTAACTAAAAAAAAAAAATATATATATATATATATAAATGTATATATTTTTATCTTAGTTGCTCGTCATTGGAGCTTAATGGTACTAAATATTGCGAGTGGAATTACAATGGATTGGGCCTAGATTATCAAATATTAGCTGGCCCAAGTTTTATCGCAGTTTTTACTGTGGTTGGAGTTGCGTTAGGTATCGCTGCTGATAAGTTTAACAGAGTGAGATTGTTGGCAATTTGTACGTTAGTGTTCAGTATCGCCATTATTCTCATCGGAACTGTCAAGGAATATTGGCAATTGGTGATTCTGCGTATGGTTTTAGCTGCTGGGTTAGTATGTTGTCACCTCTGCCATCATATATTAAATTATATTTAGTATTATTTGGATATAGTTTATATATCCTACTGTATGGTCACATGGTTTTATTACAGGGAAGCCGGATGTAATCCATTGGCCACGGGACTTTTGTCAGACTGGTTTGATGAAGATCAGCGTGGATTAGTTATGTCGATATTCAACTGGGGAATTTATGGGGGGTATGGTATCGCATTCCCGGTCGGCCGGTATATTCCTAAACTTAACGCTTGGGATTTGGTAAGTTCATTTTTGATTAAAATTTATTAAAATCTGGGCCCATAACCTATTAAAATATGAAAAAAAAAAAAAAAAAAAAAAAAAAAAAAATTGGGGGCCATAATAATTTAATGAAATAATAATAATAAGAATAAAATTACATCATCAGGGATGGAGAGTATGTTATTACGGAGCAGGAATAATAGGGCTGATAATAACAGGACTTACTGCATTCACCCTGTCAGAACCCCAAAGAAAGTCTATTGGGGAAGAATCTACCGCCAACAATTCTAATAATGAAACGACCAAATTAACAGTTTGGAAGGTTATTTTCCAGCCGAGGATTGTCCTTCTTTGTCTTGCTGCTAGTATCAGGCATTGCGGTACGTAATTTATTAAATAATAATAATAATAATAATAATTATTATTATTATAATTTTTATATCAGGTGGAATGTGTTTTGCCTACAACTGCGATCTCTACTACCGTGAATATTTCCCAGATTACGATCTAGGTTGGTGGCTGTTTGCAGTAACAATCGTTATTGGCAGTATCGGAGTGGTGGTAGGTGGCGTGGTCAGCGACAAGTTTGTAGCTAAAATGGGAATCAGATCCCGGGTTGCAGTTCTAGCAATCAGTCAGATCATAGCAACGCCATTTGCTTTTGGCTCTGTTTATTTCAACCCACTTGGTGCAATGATCACTTTGGGGATTTCATACTTTTTTGGTAATTTATTTATTTTTATTTTTATGATGAATTTTTAAAAAATTTTAATTATTATTCCAGCTGAAATGTGGTTTGGAATAGTCTTTGCAGTAATGGTGGAAATAGTTCCCCTTAATATGCGGTCAACAACTGTCGGAGTGTTCCTGTTTGTTATGAACAATATCGGAGGTAACTTACCAATTTTGGTGGAACCTACTCGCCAGGTAATTGGCTTCCGGGAGAGTCTCTATGTTTACTACGCAGGATTTTACGGGATTAGCTCGATAATGTTTTTCCTTACTATGTTCCTGATGGACGGCGGAACATCTAGTAATAATAATAGTGAAAAGCCAATCGAGAGTGGCACCACTGCTAGTGCAAACATCGCCAGCAATATCGAGATAATTAACAAAACAAACGGATTATTGGCTCACAACAATCCCGCTGCTTATGCTCATGACAACAAAATGTTTATTGATGATTCTGGAAAAGTTACTTTGGAATTACCACCCCGGTTTACTTCCAGGTTTAATAATTATGATTCTTCTGATAACCCAGAATTCTAGGTTATAGAGCAGAGGATAAAATTGAGAACGCGGGGCGACGGGGGGTAGTTGTACGATTTTTGTATAAATTTTTCCTTAAGGTTATTAGGTAATAATAATTTATATTATAATATACATATGATGTTATATGATGTATGAATCATTTTTATAAGTATATATATCACCTTTACAATTTTTATCTCAAGTTTATAAATTGTTTATTAAAAAAAAAATATAAATATCATTATTTTTTATTATAATTATATAGTTAATTTTACATACATATATTTATCACAATTGTCAATTCACATACATATATAAATTGTATAATTATTTATTAATATATATTTTTAATTATTAAAATGACTTTAGTGGTAATTAATTTTACTACTGTAATCGCAATATTATTGTTGTAATTAAGTTTGAATGAGATAATTATTAATAAGTATATTTGTATTTACAAAATTTATAAATATATAATTGTAATATATATAATTTAATTTTATAAAATATATGAGACTAATAAAAATGTTGTGTCATGAAATGCAATTATTTACAATTGTTTATCTTAAAAAGATTTAAAAACAAATAAAATTTTTAAACGTATAATTTAAATTAATTATTTCCAATTAAAACAAGTAAAAAAGTAAAAAAAATTGTCCACTTGTTAATATCTAAATATCATCTATAGATCATCTTCTGTTTAATAAATAAAACCGAATTTTTATGATTAAAATCACGTGGTAATTTTAATATTAGGAAATTATACGATAACTATTAGTTATCTACCAGAGCAATAGTTTTTTTTTTTTTTTTTTTTTTTTTTTTTTTTTTTTTTTTTCTGATAAATCTCCAGCAGCAATTAAACCCGAAAAAAGGAATCTCCTAATATAGAGGAGCTAACTAATATTATAACTATCATTAGCTATCATCAGTGGAAGTACTGGAGATCTGGGTGCTAGCACCGCTGGAGAAGCTGCTGCGACAGGTATCAACTGTAAGAGCTGTCTCAGGAACATGGACAAACTGGACTTTGGCAGGTTCTTTGACTTTCCCTTTGTAAAAGTTCCAAAACCCTTTGGAAAGTTTTTCTCCTTTGTCTCCTCCGCCAAGATTGTCAACGCCCCAGGTGGAGGAGCTGTTTCGCCTTTTGAGGACCTTTTTAGCCATCAAGCTCCTATTATTCTTATATGCAAGCTCCCTTCTGAAGCAAAAGAGCTTCCTGAGTTCCCTTTTGACCCTCCTCGATCGATAACCAAACAGCATTGGCGACACAATTGTTCCCAGTAAAAAACATCCGACCCCCACGACGTCAACTTGGTGGTACACCAAATCAACCGCCATAGTCTTGATTACAACAATTGTGAAAAATGGCGTCCAACAAACGAACCCCATGACAATCACTAACGCGCTGATTCGTGCAGCTCGAGTCTCTTCTCGGTATTTAAATAGCGAGCCATTGCTGATTCTGTGCCTTAAACTATTAATATAGTTAGTCGTACGCGTATTTTGCCGGGGATTCCCGGAAATCTTCGAAGGTATCATCGGTCCGGCATTTTGTACCACCTGTCCGTCATCGCCATTTGAGTCACTTTCAGTGGCATATTGTTGCTGCTGCTGCTGCTGCTCTTGCTCGTTAAATTCATTTCTCTCAATATATGCCAATTTTTCAGTGGCATCTTTTGATAGATCACCATAAGGTTCATCAATGCCATCCCATAATTTGCCATTTTCCTCTATATGGTCAATATGTGACCGGGTATTTCCCCCATTATTTTCTACATCATTTTTAGCTTCATTAAAATCTCTATTGATCTCCTCAGGATCAAAATCACCAATATGGCCATTATATGGCCGGCTATTTTCCATCATCTCGTTAATTTCTTTGGTATCAAACTGTGTAATATCATTATTATGAGATCCAACGGTAAAAATAACATGAGTACGACCATTATCATCATCATCATCATCATCATCATCATCACAATTATTATTATTATTATTATTATTATTATTATTATTATTATTATTATTATTATTACTACTAATATCTTCTTCAATGATTGGAGAAGGCGACAAGTGTCTTTGTAATTGACTAGTTATCTCAATGCTTTCGTCAATCGACGACAAACTTGATATGTTTTTAATCCGTGAGTCTGAATCATAACGTAGAGGAAGGTAATCGTCGTCATTAAGGTAGTTAGTAACTGTAAGTACCGGCCGAGAACCAGTACGTCGCGTTCTTTCGGAATTATTGTGCGCAGCGGTATAAATACAGAGGTAGATCCAGATTATCGTGATGAAAGGAGCCAAGTAGATTATTATTATGTAAATTATTGTGTAGGCGAGGTTGTAGATAGTTAGAAAGTCCAAAGACAGGGAAGAGTGATCGATTGTCGGTAAGTTGGGGTTATCATCGGTGATTGGTAAAACAACAACGGAGCGACAATTCTGCCAGAGGCTCTGCTGGCTCCCAGAGTGGCTTTTGATGTTGTTGTTGGTGTTGAGTATGGCCAGAACGCCGATTATTATCGACAGGATCCAGACTACGATAATAAGAAGGGTACATTTTAGATTATCGATCTTTGTTCGGTAACGGAGAGGGTCGATTACTGCCAGGTATTGGTCGATCGCTATTAGAAGCACTGAGAATATCGAAGATGTCGTTACTAATGCCGTGGCGCCCTCTGCTAAGGTACAGTGGACTGCAGATGGGGCTGACTGGTGATCAGTTATCAGCAGCGGGTGCAGGAGAATTATCGTCAGCAGATTGGAAGCGCTTAGGTTCATCACAAATCTAAAACATTTTTTTTTTTTATTTTATTTTTAAAGGTTGCAACTTTTTTTATTTTTTTGATAAAATATAAATTTTTCAAGTTACAAATTTTTTAATATAACAAGTTATTATTATTATTATTGTAAAAAATATCATTTAGCTATAATTTTTTAATTTAATGGAATAAACCCAACAAAATGAGCATTATCACGTTGGAGAAATAAAAAATAAACGTCTTAATAGAATTAATAAATACAATTACACACACATGATGATCAATAAGACGATAATATATGGATATATATTCAGAGGAAAGTTCATTGTGATTTCCGGCGTTCAGGGCCGATATATTATCAGATATATCACGTCAACGTAATCTGATAAAAAATAAATAAATAAATAAATAATAATAATTAGCTGGTAATTAATGAATGAATGAATTAATTAATTAATTAATAAATTAAATTTTCACTTGGAGGAAAAACGATGACTCACTTGGAGAATCATACAAGGAAATATATATAATATATATATATATATTTTATCGGCGAGAATTGATGAAATAAGCTGAGAGTATTATAGAATATTTCTTCGATATTCGAGATACATATACAATTCAAATTGCAAGTGAATGAGTATTGACCGTTTAGTAACTTGTCATAAAAATCATTTGTATTTATAACACATTAACGAAAGGTCGTCACATGATATATGACGGTGGACGTTAAAATGAAAAATAAAAATAAAAATAATAAATCAAGCCAAGAATAATAATTTTTAAGAAAAATCATTTTTCTTCTCGGTTATTATGATGACTTTATTCATTTTATTTTATTTTTGTTTAGAATAACTTAAGAGGTACGATTTTTTTTTTTAATTTTATTAAAAAATTTAATTTTCTATAACTTTTGTTCCTAATTTAAAAATATATAAATTTAAATACACACACCTGTTGGATATTGTCCGTAGTCCAGGGCGTTTTATAAACGCCAGCAGTAGTGTAGCGTTCAATAAAAAAGACAGCAAAAGTATTAAGCTCCATATTATTGTTGTGAAAATAAAATACGTATTATTATTTTCCAGACATCCCAAATTCTCCATCGGAGTGATATCAGGATTCTCCGTCGATCCTCCATCCATTCATGAATTTATCAACGATCTACAATATATATATATATATATAGATTATCTTAAATAAATTTACTTTTTTTGTAATTATTTTCTAATAATATACTAAACATCATTTTAATGACTATTATTATTAAATCCTAGCTCTGCGATTTATATTAATAGTCGTACTTAATCTCAATATTAATCTTATAAGCTCGTTATCTCTCATCAGAGAGTCTAAAAATAATTTTTATCATAAATGTTTATTAGCTGAAAATATAGTAGAGAATATCAAAATATCTGACTCATGCATGGGAATAATTTGTTACTTGGGAATTTCTGAGGTAATTTGTCGATACTTTGCTATGCGACTACATTTTTTTTTTTTTTGTTTTTTTGTTCTTTAAGGTAATTTTATTTTTTATAACTTTTGATTCTTATAAAATTTTCGTAAGCTGATTATTTTTTAAGTTATAGCCATTTACAAAAGTCTTATGATATTTATATATATATACAAATTATATAGCGCTGGCACAAGATTGACTCAGCAGAGTGTACACGAGCGATATATTTTTTCGCTAATTACGGACTAAAAAAAAAGACAACATATCAACATATTAACATTTAACATCTGAGGTTATTTTAAAACCACTTGAGAATAATTTTATAAAATTGCAACATAAAATGAAAAATATATAAATAATTTAGAGGAAGCTCAGTGTTATAAGTCAATATACCTATATATTTACCACACACATGCTTATTCTTATTTAATTAACGCCCCTTTTATTGCTTGTTTGTTTATTTATTGTTATTTTCTTTTTTTTTTTTTTTTTTTTGTAAATTGATGTATATGTTTTCAGTAATAAATAAAAAAAATAACTATAAGTTACGGACGCGTAAATATTATTTAAATTTACAAATATGAGGAATTAAATTATTTACTTTTTCAAATTTTTATCTTTAATTGTTTATTTTGATAGTAATATATAATGAGAAAATAATAAGTGTTACTAATAAAGTATTCAGACTGGCTGGATGTCATCTATATGGTGTAGAGTAATTAATGATTGTTGATAAAAAAATGAATTACCATCACCAAAATACAGATAAAATTATAATACGATAAAAAAAAAAAAACCAACTGCTTATATAAGTTAATTTTCACTCTTAATTAAAAAATAAAAAATTAAATAATTAACCAGTAAATAAAATATCGCAAAATAGAAAAATGATTCCTTTAAAAAAAAATAACATAAAACAGAAATTAACCAACACTCAGTTTTATTTAATTATTATTATTATTATTATTATGTTACCATTATTACAGGTAAATAATAAATTCACGTAACCGCGTGTCGTAACAATTTAGATTGGAGAATAATTTCCTTACTAAAAAAATTTATCATTATTATTACTATAATAATAATAATAATAATAATGAAAACTCCCGTACCGGTTGGCTCATTAAAATATTATGAAACAAAATTACCATCACGGACTTTATATTTTGAAACTTTTATATTTTTAGCCACTATCTACTTAAAATATATATTTAATAGCTTATTTTTATCTTTCGATAAATTTAATTTAATGCTCCCATCTCAACCCGTTGTAAATTAAAATATCAACTACGTAAATAAATATTTATGATTTATATATTAATAATACTTCTCAGATGATTTATTTTTCATTTTTTTAAAGATTTTTAATTAATTTTTTTATATCAATCACCGATGCGTAATTTAAAAATCATAATGCCGTCATTTCAACTCATAAATATAAATTTATCAAGGGATTTAATTGACTTAATTAATCGATATAAAGATTTTATATTAATAATAAAATTCAAAAAATTATAAATAATAATAATAATAATTATCATTAATTATTAAGAAAAATACAGCCGAAAAGATTGTTTACATCATGAAGACTTTTCAAAAATATATAGCTATAACTTTGTAAATAATAAATTTATGGAAATTTTATTAATATTAAAAAAAAAAAAAATTCATGAGAAGACTACTTACCAATAAAAAAAACATCAACCATCCTCGACAGAAGCTGTGCTATTATACCTAAAGGAACAAACAAAAACTAATCAAATGTGTAATCTATCAAGTATCATAAATAAACATATATACATATATCTCTATATAATTGAACTCAATTTCCGGGTTTTTACGTACTGATTTTATTTTGTTAAATTCAATTAAACTTTTTGTTTAATTTGACCTTGGATAATTGTTATTTGTGACTGAGATAAATAATCAACATTGTTATAGGTATTATTTTTTAGTAAAAATAATAATCTTATTAATTGTAACTTATTATTATTAATGATTCATTAATGTAGTGTTACAAGAAACAAAATGTCATCGTACGATAAGACACATAAAAGATTATCAATTGCTCAATAATTACATAAAACAAATAATTGCTTAGCTGATAGCTTTCGTGATTTGTCGCCAATTTTATCTATTGATGACTTATTAAATAATTTTATGAAATTCTCTTTAAATCACGCAGTATATAGATCATCATAAAAAAAAAAAAAAAAAAACAGTAATGGTTCGAACTCGATTCTGTCAGATCAAACCTCACTCACATGAGTGAAAAAAAAAATTTTTTTTTCCCTGAAATTCTCTACAATTGATCAAATAATTTTTAATTAAGATTGCAAATGAAATTTTCTAATTTTCTCTATAAATGTCTTTTCCTTTTTAAGTTGAAAAAAAAAAAAGGTTCTTAATATACGGGAGACAATATCGATGATTCATCTCACCTCCATTAAAAAAAAAAAATCTAATTATTTATACCACAATTAATAATATACGTCACGCATTACTAATTTAAATAAAGAATTGCGAGTTTAAAGATCGATAAAACTCTTATATTATTTATTTCATTGTCTACAATTTTTTCTACCCTGTTTTCTATATATATTTTTAAAAAAAATAACTTAAAAAAATAAAAATTGATATTTTTTTACCTTAATTGTAAATTTTGATAATTAGAAGCCATTCAATAAATATTTAACATCATAAATTGTACACAATAAATATTTACGAAAGAATTACAATTATTAATTCCAGACGGTGGGATAAATTTTAAATATTTAATTTATAAATAAATAAGCGATGATTATTTTTAGAAATTTTCTGTAAACCAGAGCCGGGTAGTTAATAATAATAAATAATAAATAATAATAATAATATTTAAAATAAAGTCAAATAGTCCTTGGCATGAATTTCCTTTATGCTGTTATCAATTCGTAATGTATATATATATATATATATATATATATATATATATAGTTTAAAAATGTTATTTTGATTAATATTTATCATTTGTACTTTCTTTTTTCGTTTATATTTATGTAATACATAGACAATGTTTGCATTTTTTAATTAGTTTCAGATAATAATTAGGGAGGGTCAATTTGCGTATAATGTGTGGATGATGCTGATTAGAGTTATTAAGATTATTTGAAGATTTTTAAAGATCCTATTATATTTAAAGTTGAATATTAAGTAATAAAAATCTTTTTTAAATAGATAAATTGATATTTAAACATAAAGAAGCACTTTAATCGCTTACGGTAAGGATATTTTTAAAAATTTTTGTGAGAGTATGCCCTTTTGAAAATATTAATTTTTATAAATACTCTATTTATTTTTTAATGTTCTCATCAGGCTGATGACAAGTTGAGGAATTAAAATTGCAGCTTAATATTGTTTTGTTTAATTATTATTTTGAGACAGCTAATACTTTACTCAATCGTGTTTGCAGGCTGAGCAAAGGTATAATACATTTTTCAATTAGTTAAGTTAATATCGGAACGAAAAAGGGCTTTCAATTCGTCAGACAATAAATACTATTTTACTAATTTACTATTGTTATTAAAATTATTTTTTAAATTTATTCTTGTAGTTTACCGATAATTAATTTTTATTATTGACGTTTCATATAATATAATTTAAAAATTCAAAGTAATAATAATTTAAAAACATTTATTATTATTATTATTATTAGAAATTTAATTTGATAAAAAAATTCCCATATTCTTAAAAAAAATATATATATATATATATTTACCACTCGAACTAGGTTATCAAAGATTTAGTACAGGTATAACTCATACATGTAAATATACCCATACATATCTATCTATATATATATATATATATATATATATGAAACCATTAAGACATTATTATTTCAATCTAAATCCACTAATACGGGGCCAGGTCATCTCTCTATCTATTTTTATCACTCTTTAATAAAACCCACATATATATATATATATATCTACTTGTACCCTCAGAAAATAATAAATTGTATTATTCCATTCGACTAATCATTAACGATTGTGTTAACACCCTATTATAAATAAATAGATAATATAGTGGAAAAATAATTGACATGTATTAACATTAATAACTTATCAATTCTAAAGAAAAAAAAAATATTACTTACTGCATCAAAGGAAATCCTTTGTTCCGAAATTTGCACGTTTTTTTTTTTTAAATTATCACTCAAAAATTAACAATACGGAAAATCTATTTTATAAATTAAAATTATTAATTATTATTATTATTATTATCAACTACAGCTGCCTAAAGTAAAAATAAATTGCAGCGATGAAATAATAATAATAATAATAATAATAATAATAATAACAATAATAATAATTATTATTATTATAAATATTGGCACACTACTGCCGAGCGTTTGTGAGCAAACTTACGACTGACAATATTTTAGATTTACTTTTACTTGTTAAACGAAGCTCAACTATACTTTGGTGTTTGTATAGTGCTATAATAACAATAATAATTATAATAACTGTGGGAAGAAAAATTAAAATTGACGCATGCGCGTCAGGTATTGAATGCCGCAAAATCTGCAGAGTAAAACGAGAGTAGCCATGCATGATATAAAGGAAAAGAAGAATGTTGCTTGTGTATCGACGTCAGTGGCGGTGAGTCCAACTATTGGAGCCACTGATCAGTGGTAGAAAAATTTAAATTTTTTTCAAAGATTAATATTGAAAATTACAACGATATAATATGTAAATATGTAAGCAAGATATTTTATTAATTAACCGACAGTAAATTTTATAAAAAATTAAACTATATATATATATATATATATATATATATATATATATATATATATATATATATTAGTAATAAAATAATTAGCTCAATTAATTAAACCCACCATGGAAATAGAATTAATCCGACTAATTTTAATTACAATGTTTGTCTGCTTAATAATAACGCAGATTAACGGTGGGGCAAACCCACCGTCCCCAATCTTAACCTGCAATAAGTAATAATAAACTGCAACTTAAGTACAATAGTTTACAACGGAGATAAATGTTGGATCACAATCCAACGACACTGTAGAAATCACCATCGAAGATCCTTGCGATCTTGAAAACGTAAACAAGCGCGTTATTTGTAAACTTGCGACAACCCAGACTTTTGCAAGTCATGCCTTTATTACACCACTTGCAAGCACTTTGACAACCAAATCGAAATTGGAGGAAACGTTATTCCGAAAAATAAAGAGGTTGAAGGATACTGTGTCGCGTTTAAAGACATGTAATCAGGCTGCAACGAGTATTATCAAGGTAAATTGGGCGATGATAAAAGCCTCGTATATCAAAGATAATAATCTCAATCCAAATGCCTATACATATCGCAGGTTCTGCCTCTGTAAACGACCTGGATTTATTGGATTTATTGGTAACGTGACCCTGTTCGGGAGCTGTGAGCATTCCTTTATATCTACGACGGAGACGTCGTCAACATCAACGTTCCCTATATGACAAAATAGAGTGCAAGTGTCTGAACGCGAGTTCAAGTCGAAAATGGTTGGAGATAATTGGCACCGTTGCGTTCCTCCTTCTGTTGAAAAACGCGTCAACTGGTCAACCGTGCCTATTAAGCCCAAAAAATTTGCCAAGTCTTTCATTATCTCCGTAAAAACATATTTTAACAATAACATTATTATCTCTAATAATTATTAAGTATAGGAACCTGGATGAACTGATCGACTCCTCTGCATCAGTATACTATAGGTGTCCTGTTACCGGGAAGCCAACTTACGCAAGATCAGTTACCATTGACAGAATTGGTGTGTCACCCTGCGATGATGCCACAGTGATTTGCCGACCAGCTGACAGAGTGATAATAAATAAACCAGTCAAACTGGGGCATCCCTTTGAGGAGACATACTCACAGTTCACAGTGGTGGCAAAGACGGAAAATATGTTCTTCCAAAAAGTTCTACAACAAGTGCCTCGGCGTCTTTCGGTTTAAAGGATCGCGATTTTCAACATCGCTAGCCATTGTATTACAATTGCACTCACCGGATTTAGTATTAAATTCGATTATTTCTTTATCGGCATTAGGTATCTCCATGCTGCACCATGGAGTTTATGATAATGTTCGGAATGTTTGACATAATGATGTTGCCATTTAGAAGCTCTTCTAGACGTCGGTTCGATAGTTTGTAGTTGTATACTTAGAGATGTAGCCGTAGTATAGTCTTTTGAATTTATATATATTGTCAAAGAATACACTCTGATAAAAAAATTGGCTTGACTCAAGAACCAAACTCTTGAACCAAAAGAATTCCATTTTAAAGAAAAATATTTTCTTGAGTCAAGAGAATAAATTCTTGAGCTAAGAAATTATTCTTGGTCTAAGAAAATTTTCTTGTGTCAAGAATTTATGCTCTTGACTCAAGAAAATATTTTTCTTCAGAATTGAATTCTTTTGGTTCTTGAGTCAAATCAATTTTTTTTATCAGTATATTAGGCAATCAACACTAGGATCACTGCGACAGTAAGTAGTATTATTAATATCATTTTGTTTATAATTTGGCAAAAGTATTTTTTGTATCTAATAAATATATATAGTTGCGAAAAAAAAAAAAAAAAAAAAAAAAAAAATTCAAAAAAAATTAATTAATTTGTTTTGGTCAAGGTAATTAGAGCTCGATTGGAATATAAATCCGAGTAAATTAACTTATCAAATTCGCCAAGTTGGGAAATAAACAATCAACGTGTTGCTTTTGATTAAATTATTAAACATTTTAATTGATATAAAAGCTATTAAATCAACATTTGAAGGATCCGTTGACGGCTATTAATAATAAATTAATCAATATTATTTATACGGGTTTTTATCGATAACTTTTTATTATTCGTTTTATTTTATCAGGTAAACCTATATAATCTAATCACCATTAACATTGTTAGTTAGTTAGTCTGCGATTTAGTTAGTCATTCTGTCAATTGTTACTGACTAGCGGACTAGGACAATATGTATCTGCACAAAAATTTCTGTTTTAAATATTTAATTATTATTATTATTATCATCATCAATCAAGCATATGTAAGTATATTATCATTATAAACAACTTAAAACAACAATTTTAAATATAAAAAAAGTATTAAAGCTTATTATAATTGATGATATCTAATATACTTTCAGGCGATTGATTACACAATTTATCGTTCCGATCCAGTTCCATCCCTAGAATTTGTGGCCTCAGCTGTTCCACCAATTGAAAATCTCCTTAATACTTTGATAGCAACTCCATCAAACTCTCTGCAAAATAGTATTGAGAAACTGCTGGAGTACGGTGGACTAGTGCGGTTAAAATTACTATCAAAACTGGGGTTTGAGATCTACAACAACGATAAGTTTGAGCTTTCAGAGGTTACAGCCTTGAATAACATCTATCAACGTATCCTAAAGCGGAAAGATAACTTGTTAAAGATTTTACCAGTAAAAAATTCTACGCTTCAACAGTTTTGTTCTCAGATTGATAAATTTTTCAGTGATAAATCCTTCAAAACAATAACCTCGGAAATTCCTTTGATTTTACCGCCAGCTCCGACTTCGGTATCAGTCAACCTGAGTTTAAACTCAATTTTGACTCAACTTAAGCATCATAAGCTGAAACTTACCACCCCATTGTTTATAGGGATGCTCCTTCATGTGCCATTTAACAACTACGACGCTCATACTCACAATTCCATGAGACACCTTATCTTCTATCTGGTGAAAAATTCAGATTTTGAGTTTAAAACTAGTACAGAGCACCTGAACTATAATAAAATGACCGACCTGGTCTATGATATTTTAATCAGCGAATTTTTTCAAAAAGCAACTACTCACGCTCGATACTTATCTGATCAATTAGAACCAATAATACCCTTTAATTCAAATATCGAAGAGCTGAGTGTCATTCTTGAGGATAACAAGATCAATCTAAAATTTTTGCTTGACAGGGTCCTGCCAAATGACACTCTGGACGGGGATTTGATTGACGCAAAAAATTATCTTTATCACAAATTGAAGAATATTAAAAACTGGGATATAAATGAGCTGATTGGAGATGAAAAATACGAATACCTAAACCAGGATCAGCTATTAATTGGACTTTTTGATAAACTGATAGACTTGGATTTTGTTAAAGACATTGCCAGTGCTTTGAAGGTTAACGCTTATTTTTGGCACAAAAGCCATATGATTGAAAATTTAAACGATTTGCTTGATCTATTTGACAATTACAACAATTTAAAAGGAGTAACCACTTATCGTGAACTTATAAAGACCATAAGTAGGATTAAAGAAAATTTGATTGATAGCAACAATATTACCATTGAATTGTTGTGCACAAGGCCTAGAGCTTGTCTTAAACAAGGACTGAATAAAGTTAGACAGTGTAAAGGAATAAATTTGGAAACCAAGAGCTTGATTAATAACTTTTTTAAGCAAACCAGAGACTGCCATTTTTCAGAATGTATTACTGAAAAATGTAATGAAAATTATGTTTTACCGATTGAATTAAATACAGAAGTAACTTCAGAGCCGGACTGCGAGGATAGCGAGGAGTGCGAGTCTGACGAGGTTAAAGCTTCTATGGTTGATATTGATAAAAATATTAAAGGGGTTAAAAAAATAAAAGTTAAACTTGAGGAAAGTAAAGAGGAAAGTAGTACGGAAAGTTTAAGAACCACCGAAGGCAATATTGAAGAAACTACTGAGCATATTGAAGTTGTTAAAGTTATAACTGAAGCGCCAACGACTGAAGCTGAAAAATTTATTACCACTGAAGTAATTACCACAACAGAACCTACAACTGAATTTACCATTGAACCTTCAACAGAAGTTTCTAAAACTCAAATAATCACAGAAAGATCAACGAATGAGCTTTTCACCACTGTTGAGATAACTGAACCAACTACTACTGTAAAAAAAATAACTGAACCTTCAACTGAACAAGTAACAGATAAATTAGTATCAATAACTAAAAAACCTAAATGGATTTCAGTTGCTGTTAATCAAGTATCATTAAAACCATCTATCTCCGTAAACTTACAGAGAGAGCCGGAGGTAACTAGCTTGGAAATAAAAAAATCAACAAGACGTGCTTCTATTAAAAAAATGCCCACTCTGAATATCAAAAATGAAATTGAGGCACCTAAACCAACAATATCAATTTTTACGACAGTTTCTCCGAAGCGCAAGCGAGTAATTTGCCACCACCGGGACCTCTACCACAGGAAAAAGCTCAAAAAAATAAATAATCTCAAGCAGAAGCAAAATAAATTGTTTAATTCTGTTATCGGATCAAAAAATGTCAATTATCAAAACCTGAAGCTTGATGAGCTTAATAAAATTAATAAAATTAATAAGGTTAATAATCTCAAGCAGAAGCAAAATAAATTGATTAATTTTGATACCGGATCAAAAAATGTCAATTCTCAAAACCTGAAGCTTGATGAGATTAATAAAGTTAATAAAGTTAATAAGGTTAATAATCTTGAATCAAATTCCGATAAGATCGATGATATTGATTCTGGTAACCAGAAGGTCAGTATTGTTGATAAGAATTCAAATTTAGGTGATAATAAAGTTGATCTTCATGTTCAATCTCATTCCGGTGAATTGGGTCTGCATTCAGATTCAACGTCGGGTAAGGTAGAAGACCTGCTGTCCCATTCTGATTTAAAGAAGCAGCAGTTGCATTCAAACTCAAAGTTTAATTCCAGTCTAGGTGAAAAGTCAGATTCGGGCTCGGTTTCAGACTCGGGCTTAGATAAAATCAGTCAGCAATCAGATTCCGATAAGATCGATAATATTGATTCTGGTAACCAGAAGGTCGGTATTGTTGATAAGAATTCAAATTTGGGTGATAATAAAGTTGATCTTCATGTTCAATCTCATTCCGGTGAATTGGGTCTGCATTCAGATTCGACGTCGGGTAAGGTAGACCTGCTGTCCCATTCTGATTTAAAGAAGCTGCAGTTGCATTCAAACTCAAAGTTTAATTCCAGTCTAGGTGAAAAGTCAGATTCGGGCTCGGTTTCAGACTCGGGCTTGGATAAAATCAGTCAGCAATATAGACCAGAGATCGATAAAAATCCATCAGATTCGACGGGTTATGATCATTCTAACATCCTGGAGAATACTTACAATTTAGCGACGAAAGACGCAAAAAAAATCAAACAAGGAATTGGTAGTTTTAACCCTTTTAGTCGGCCAAGCAAGTATCACTCCGTTAATTACAATGAAAATAATAATATTAACATCAATAATGCTAGAAGGTCAAGGTTAGGCTCAAAAATTTTTGATAGTTCTGAAGAAATGCCTCAAAATTCGGATAAGTCAGACATATCAGGTAGTGACCAGGACTTAGCTGAGCAAGAGGACAACTATTTTGAAAACCGAAACAAGACGAAAAAGTCCAAGGAGTTTTCAAAAATTAAAAATTCAAAATTAAATCAGAATCATCACAAGAAGATGACTAGTTATTATAATGAAGAGGTTAAAGAAGAAAAGGTCAAAACGCGAAGGTCCAATTCGGTGAGACGCAGTCACAGCAGTAAAAACAGTAAAAAAACCAGGAGAGCTGATCAAAATCATAAGGGGTATCATAATAATTTAAGAAAAAATAATTTTGAAAATAATTCATCTGATGGTCCCAAAAGCCGAATGTTGGATCTCGACATGACTAAGTTTATGAATTTTGAGGTAAAAAGGGACGAGACTGTAAGAAAAAAAGTGCCAACGTACAAGCGGAGTGTTGATCAAGGGCAAATCAAGGCTAGAGTTTTCAGAGAAATTCCCTACCCTCCCAACCCTTTAACAACATCTGAGACGGAAGTCAAGCCTAGAATGTTCAACATCGGAGCGTCTAAATTTGCCAACATTGAGTTCAAGAAAGATGAGAATTACACTGAGTTTAAAAAGTAACCTTTGATTAATAAAAGATGAATTTTAAAATGTTTTTGTTTTTTTTTGTTTTTTTTTTTTTTTTTATTTATTTTTTTTTTTCTTTTAAATTGACAATAAAAATTTAATTTAGTAGTTTATTGGCTATTATTTTTATGAGGTATAGATTAGTTAATTTGCTGTGGGTATGAAAGACTGATGTTTTATTGGGCTATTAATTCAAGTAAGCAGATTGGGTGTTGCTTTTATCGGTTAGTAGTTAATGTAACAGAGGTCGATTGGATATAGTCAAAATGATGAGGTAAGGAGGGTTGGGATAGAAAATGTTTATAGTAAATTTTATAGAAAATGTTTATATATGTGCATAGGAGCATGTATAATATAGTGTTGTATTAATGATGAATGGTCTAAAAATTTTCATTTTACTTTGAATTATCGTTTTTTATTCCATATATTTTATCCAATATTGTCAATATTATTATTATCATTATATCCAGAGTAGTTCGCTGTGCGAGACATGCGCAGCAAAAAACCTTCATTAGCAATATGGATTTTTATTATTACTAGCGTCTTGTTGAAGTTTATTTAATAATAATAAATAATAAAATAGAAAAATTTAAGTTAAAATAATAACCAATAATATTAATATATTATACAAACGTACAAAATAATACACTATACAATAATAATATAAATTTAGTGGAATTTAGATATAATTCATTTTTAATTCCGTTGATAAATTTTATTTAGTTGTCGTGATAAATTAAGTGATATTATATATTAATATATATAATTTTATATCCTACAATTTTAAAAATGTCTGAGGATTATTTGTTCGAGTGCCAGCGAGCAGAATTGTTGGGGCAAATTCCACCGACTGAAGAGGAGTGGCAAAAAAAATTTTCAACTAATGACAATAATGATAAAAATGAGGATAATAATGCTGATGCTGAGGTAAAATATTAATTATATTAATAGTAATAGTATAATAATAATAATAATAATAATAATAACAATTATAATATTTTTTGTTCAGAATTTAGAGCAAAGTGATGAAAGTTTAAGACGTATTGGAGGAGGATTGGATGAATTAACATCAATCTTAAGTGCAACTCAAAAAAAAATTAATCGTTTCAAGGTATATAGAAAATAAAAATAATTTTATTTATTGGTTTTGGTTGGAATTAAAAAAATTAAAATTTTTGTCAGACTGTTTGCGGAAGCTTGGGCTCGCTTTTAAAAGTAAAAGTTAATTCCCGTACCGCAACACCAGAGCACTCACAATCATTGACAACAAATTATTCCGATGAGCATTATCATCAGCAACCCCCTGAATCCGAAGAAACTACTGACGAAATTCTTACGGTAGAAACAGAAGATACTTCAGAACAAAATTCAGCTCGAAAAGACAACCCTGATGGTATTGCGGTAAAAAAAATCGACCTGAACGAAAAAATGGGCTCGCATTTAGACAAACTCGATTCACTGATCACCAAAGCGGAAAACGCTCAGTACAGCATGCAGCATCAGACCAAACAGATGAAAAAGATTGTTAAAAAATAAGTTTTATAAATAGGTAGCAAAAACTTGCCGAATATTTATTCAAATTTTAAGTTATATCTGAATTTTGCTTAATTAACTTTCAATATCAACGAACGATTCTCAGCTCTTTTATCAGCGGACAATGTTTATAAAAAAATAAATTGTTAAACATATAATATATATATAAATGTGCTTATATTTTTGTTTATAATCTTTAAATATTGTTGAAAATAAATTTAACAAATTATTGCTGATATATCAAAATACCCTATTAAATACAAATACCAATTAAATACAAATTGCTGATATATCAAAACTTCATGCTAATTCGCCGTAGTTCACGCTAGTTCCAGCCACACAAGCTGAACGATAAACTTCATGCTAATTCGCCGTAGTTCACGCTAATTCCAGCCACACAAGCTGAACGATAAACTTCATGCTAATTCGCCGTAGTTCACACGCTATTACCAGCCACACAAGCTGAAAGTTAAACTTTATGCTAATTCGCCGTAGTTCACGCTAGTTCCAGCCACACAAGCTGAAAGATAAACTTCATGCTAATTCATGCAATCCTATATATTGTATATTAATTTTATTTTATTTATTTTTAAATTTCTCAAAAGCTGCATTAAATAATCTCCATATCATAGCTAAAACTTGATAAATCCCTCTTATTGTTAATAAAAAATTGTATGTCTTGATTATTTATCGATTTACCAATCTATAAAATTTTGATATTACGATTACCGATCTTGTTGCTAACCTTCATCTAGTGTTATCATCATGAGTAAATCCCATCTATAACTAATATCAACTATATATAATAACCGGGGCAACACTGCGGCAACACCATTACAAACTAACTCGATAAAAAAGGAATTCATAATACGCATACATGGTAATTTTTACAAAACTCTACTTAACCTTCAGAGAATAACAATAATCATATTATAAATATAAAAAATAAATTCACTATTTATTCACAATATGTTTTAATTTTATTGAACCGTTTCTTAACCTGCGTATTGAAAAAAAATTTCAAGTATAAATGTAATGTCGGCAAGCCATGATTCAGGTAACAAAATAATTTCGAAATTGCAAACACTTGAATCAACTAATAATATTAATCAATCAATTGACATAATTAATTAAACGAAAGATTCATCAACCGAAAACTGCAACTACTCGGAGGACGGATGGTGTCAGTGCCAATCAAATACTGGTTGTCTAACTTCTTTGGACTGTACAGGATGGCGGCCCTGGGGTAATGCGGCGACAGGTATTTGTCCTGGACCTTGTCAGTGTGAGGAAGAACAAGCTTGGAATTCTGTAGTTCCTCCGCGGCCAAATTATCACTGGGTTAAAAATTTTATCGAGTTGCGGCGACAGTGGAGCGACCATGCTAGAAAGAATTTTATTAAGTTTAATCAAGTGTAGGTTATTTTTTTTTTTTTTTAATTTTATTTAAGGTTAACTATTAATCAATTGCGGCATTTTCGGAGAAAAGATTAATGTGATCAATAATTTTTATTTTTTTTTATCTAATTTTTACGGTTTGCTTTTAATATGCTTTTAAATTCTATACTCACAAGTTTAAAACATTTCCAACAATTTTTTATTGTACACCCTTTTGGCTGTATTAAGGATATAATTTAATTTTGTTTTATCTTTCTTCAATTTAAATTCAAGACCCAAAAGTAAAAATTCTACATTACCAGCCCCAAAACCTGCCTTACCTACAACATCATCAAAATTATCATCACAAACTCCTCATCAGCAGGTAAGACAATTTTTTACTAACTTAATAACCTACCCTGATAGCTACAGTTTCAGACCAACCAAGTTGGTGTCAGATAATTGCCACCAACTTACCGACGACATCTTGCGGTCAACTTCCGAATTTGAAACTGTTGGCGTCAAGTTGGCTACAAGTTTCTGAGAAAAACAAGACCAATCTACTGCCGCAATATGTCGCCAAATTTCTCGAGAAACTTGTCGTCAACTTGGTGCGAAAGCAATTTCTGCCGACAACTTGGTGAACAACCGAGTTCATTTCCAAGACTTGCCGCCAACTTGGTGACAAGTTGTTGCAGCAAATCAACGGAAAGTTGCGACCGGTTTGGCTATCAGGGTAATCTTGACTATAAATCATTTTTTTTTTTTTTTTTAAGACTGAGGACAAACCTACTGGCAAATCTCCTTCTAACGAAATAACTTTTCCTTATTCCTCTGATCTCTTTCACGCTACGAACCGTCATTACTCTCTTCAAGATTCCCAAGAACTCTCGCTGGCCTACAAACGCAAAAAAACCTCAAAAAATAGCACCCACAATTTAGAATCTACTATACCGAACTCCTGTTGCCGACAGTCAGCAACAAACTCCCCCTCAAATGTTCCCTTTCCACGTTCAGGCAACAACTTGCTCTATCCTCGCCCAGAAGGAGGTTGTCTCTGCCAACCAATACCAACAAATGGCTCTTCTCCAATCAGAATCGACGTTCGCGCTATCAAAGAGTGCACTTGCGAGTGTCCTTTTTCTCCAGAATGCGCTTGTCCTCCCAGTGAGCGCAGATTTTTACCAGTTAAAAAACATTGTCCCAACTCTCGACTTTGTCAACCACCGATGTTTCGTCTTCCTCTCCGACTTAGATGTCGTTGTACAAAGTGCCAAAAACTTGGATCTTTTCCAGTTCCTTGCAATCCTTGCACTGCTACCAAATGCTCGGTTGGTCAGAAAGAATGTAGTAGCTTTAAGAATTGTAAAGTTGATAAAGATATTCCTGTAAAAATTATCGACATAAAGATTGATCAAGATCAATCTACTCTCGGTAAGGAAGAAACAACTATAAAGAGGCAGGTTTCTTATAATGATACGGTTGAAATCAGAGAAGATGTCATTGATTTGCTTTACCTATTTCCTGTAGAAAATCAGGAAGATCCGCCTATTGATAACGAACATAAGGTTGTTATTGAAAATAAGGAAAATAAGGTTAAATCGTGTCCGGAAGGTTGTGGAGCCCGTTGTTTGGTTAGATGTGGCCTTAAAGTTAGTCAGGAAACGATTAAAGGTATTGACAAGATTAATAAACAAGACATTAAAGCTATTGATGCAGATGGTAAAGAAGAAATTGAGTTAAGGGGAGTTAGTGATAGCAAAGGTTGTAGAAGACAATGTGGTCCTAACTTTTGCTCGAACGATGTCAGTCTTAAAGCTGATGATGATAAAATAGAAATTAAAGGAATAGATATTGGTACAGAAGTTGTCCAAGGTGTCCAAGGTACAAACTGGGTTAATAAAGAAATTCAAGCTATTGATGGAGATGGTAAGGAAGAAATTAATTTGAGTGAGGGATTCTCTGATGGAAAAGGTTGTAAAAAACGATGTGATGCAAAGTGTAGTTCGAAGGATGTCAGGCTTTATGATGATAAAGTTGAAATTCAATTAATGGATGGTGGTAAGGAAATTAAGCTAAAATCTGTGTACGAAGGTAACGTTTATGGGAATAAATGTCGGAAGAAATATGACGCGGATGAAAGTAAAGAGACTTTGACGATCGATAAGTTACCGATAGTAACGGGTAACTCGACTGGAAAATGTAAAGCAAAGTGTTCGGAGAGATGTAGAGAGAATAAAGGATCTAAGGATGATTTTTTTAAAAAAGAGAGGACAGAAAATGAAGAGATTAAAGAATTGGAGAGGGGAGAAAAGGATGGAGAAAGTTTAGAGAGCGATGAGTGGACTTTTGTAGACGTCGAGTGCAAGAATAAACCGATAAAATTGTTGAAGGCTATAGATGAGAAAAAAAATCGTAATAAAGAGAGAAATTATGATTTATATTGTTAAATTTTAGTATGGATTGTTTTAGAGAAAGTGATTATAGATGGAAGATTTTAAAGGGGTAATGGAAATTTTTTTTCAGCGCACCAGCATCAGGAGTTGTTCGATTATGTTGTTGTTAAATTTGTAAAAAGAGTTTCTACAGCTACAGACTCGGTGGTGGTTGTCAACAAGATTTTTCGGCCCTCTTATTCTTTTCAGGGATTTGGAGATGAGAAAGGGGAAAATTTAAATAGTGATGGAATGATTGAGGATTTGGAGGATATGGCTGATGAGTCGATTTTAAGCTTTCAGGGGATTGACGCCGATCATCAGATCATTAGTACTATGGAGATTTTGGTAAGATTTTAAAACAAGTTATACGTCGTAATAGAGGTGACTTTTATAAAATAATTATCTTAAAAAATTATCTTAATTAGGAAGAGGAAAGGGGAAAATCAAAATGATATTGCTTTGAAAAGAAATGGATTTAGAAAAATTTTATAAGATTAAAAAATTCTAGATAAATTGTATTTCCTTTTCAATAATAATTGAATTTATGTGATTTTTGCTTATTTGAATGAAATTTGCTTTTTTTTTTTTTAGCCTAGACTAAACCGACACTAAATGACGCAATAAATTAAATAATCTCAATCTTGGTCTCTTTCATCATCATCATCATCATCATCTTTTTCTTCTTGTTCTTATTGTCAACAGAGAGTAGGATGTTAACTTTCTTTAGTCGTTAAAATGAATCCAAAGAATCAAGTCTTTATCTTATCGCTTACATTAATCTCCACCGCTATTACAACCGTTAAATCCCAACAAAAAGTCAGCAAAAATAGTGTCGAAGGGTGTGGAGAGTGTGCTTATTACCGGTAATTTTTACAATAAAATTAATAATCATCATTAATTATTATTAATAACTATAAATTAATTAAATATCAATAAATAATCTAATTGCTTTCCAGATGCCCCGAAAATTCTACCAAGTGCTTACTGGGCTCTGTTAAGGATCCTTGTAATTGTTGCAAAGCCGGAAAGTGCGCGAGACTTGAAGGTGAAACATGCTGGAATTCGAGTATCTCCAAATTGCCCATGATTAATCGCAATGAAGGTTATTGCAGCAATAATTATCGTTGTTTATTGAGAGATGACCTACTTGAACAGGTTTGTTTATTATTTTTACTTCTTTATAGTAAAATTTTTTCATTTTTATTTTTATTCAATATTATTATTATTATTATTATTATTATTATTATAAAATTTATCAGTATTAGATTTTTAATAAAATTTTTTATTTAAGTTAATTGGCTAAAACTTAAAAAATAATTAATTTAGAGGATAATTTTTATAATAATCTAAAATTATAAAGAATTGAATTTATTTTTTAATAATTTAATATTATTTTATAAATAATTATAAAGCTTTTGTAAAAATAAATGAAAATCGATCAAGCTCATTAAGATGTTAACGCAAAGTGACAAAATGAATCTTTTAAATAAACCGAGAAATAGCGCAATTCATTGTTAGAACAATTTATTTTTATCTTTACTGCAATAAAAATGTCAATGACCTTAAATTTAAATAAATTGTCACTTAGATTATTCTGACAGATCGAGTGATAAATGTTTTAGGTATGCTCGCAATATCCCGCTAAATAGCATGTAATCATACAATTGAATTTATTTATCATCATCATCATCATCATTATTTCTTCTCTCTTATTAAACTTTTCAATAAAAAAAAAAAAATTATTTAACATTATTTATTTAATAGGACAGCCCAGAAGCAATATGTGTGTGTATGGAACAAAGCCCGGCATGCGGAAGTAACAATATAACTTATGCGACACCATGTGCATTGCATGAGGAGGCAATAAGGGTGAAAAATAAATCCCTTAAACTTAAACACCTCGGGCCGTGCCTGAGCCGGCCTTGGATTCTCGCCCCCCTTGATAATCTATTTGTTAAATACGGCCAGAGATTAGCTATTAATTGTGAAGCTAAGGGCTTTCCAATCCCCGACATATTTTGGGAGTTTCACTCAACAGATGGCCGGGTTATTAGACTGCCAAGTAAGTAGAAGTTAATTTTATCGATCGTTAAATTTTAGTTACTGTTTTTTTTAAATATTTTGTGAAAAGTAATAATAATAATAAGTGTTTTTATTTATATTAATTAAATTGCTTCTATAACTTTTTAAATAAAAAAGTTATATAAAGAAAATTAAATTTTTTCTTAAAAATTGTCATATTTTATTAAACTATCATAAACATATATCCCTAATAATCTTAAAATAATCACAAAAAAACTGAAATTTTACAGATCAAGACTACGGGAGCACAGTAAACACTCGTGAAGAATCGGAGCAATTTATGCGGACATCTTGGATGCAAGTCGGTAAGATGACACGCGACCATATCGGCACCTACCAATGTATTGCCAACAACAGTATAGGGGACGTCAGCTCGGAATCTATAGTTTCTACTTTATAATTATAATGACAAACTTTATTTTGGATTTTTAATTAATAATTACTTTTTAACAATGTTATTTACTTTTTTTTATATAAAAACATTTTATCAATACTTGAAAATTTTTATTATTTTGGCTACCAGTCATCTCTTCGGGGCAGTGGTGGGGGGCTGAAAAATTTTTTAAATATTTCTAATATATTTTATTTTATATTTATTAAATTACTAATTTTAATAATAAACTTTCAGTGACTTACTCGGGTGTTCGCCAATTAGCGCGATCGATTACTATTGTTTCTGTACTTTCTCTGCTTTAAAAAAAAAAAAACAATTAATTAGTTAAGATTTTTTTATTTTTTAAAAATGAAAAAAAAATTAATTACCGTCTATTTGGAGTAAAAACAATTATTTTATCAAATTTTTTAAACACACATGCCAAAACATGTTGAATTGGTGTTGCTATCATCATAATAATAATACAAAGAAAAATTAGGAACCAAAATGTGTCCTACAAAAAATAAATTAAAACAGTTTTAAATAATAAAAATAAAAAAATTAATTATTTATAAAACTCACTAGTGGACCCAAAATATCCTGGCAAATGAGAATTTTGAACCCCTGTAAAATATTGTACAATGGCCGACATTTCGCGATGCCGAATCTCATTTCGGTTAGAACGTGCTTCCGCCATTGGTCGAGATAATTGTTTAGTCGTTCGACGTAGTGTTTTGTTTTCTGTAACAATAGTTATTGAGAGTATATATATGGTAGAACAATCAAAAGTTGTATATTATTATTAAATTTACTTAATAATAATAATAATAATAATAATAATAATAATAATAATTTTAATTAATTAAAGAAAATTTAAATTATTACCAATTGGGCAAAAAATTCCCCCTGAACATCGATATAATACTGAACACTCTTCAAGTGGACAAAAGTATCATTGAGTCTCTGTTGGTAGGGTCGTAACTGAATGTCTAGCGTTATTAGCTGGTCGACAATGGTATCCTGTATCAGCGCAAGCGGCTTTACTTTTTTAATCATCAAGGACCGCATTGAGGTGCCGATCGTTTCGAACTCTCTGGACGTTCTACGGTCATTTATTTGACGCGCTATATTAAATATTTGGTCGGACAGCGCTATTATATCGCGGCTCACCACTGATCCCCGCACCTAAAATCCAATAACCAGAACAATAATCAATAATTAATTAACTGAAATTTCTAATTGAAACGTATAATTGAGAATCAAAGCCGTAACTCTCATCCGTGACATATATATATATATATATATATATATATATAGACTTTTTAGATAATTACTATACTGCGATAGCTGGTCAAATTCGCCTCGCAAGCGAACATCAGACTGTCTAATTTACCCTCAAAACTGCTCGTTAGAATCTTTAAGCCCTTCAAATCGGCTTTTAGGATTGACAACGCCTCAGTAAGACCCGACCACTTCCAGTAGTCGGTTATTTCTTCAAGTTTTTTTTGGTTCTCTAATAGGTAGGTTGGATAATACACTCCTTCATTTTCTTCACACTTTCTGCAATGTGCATGTTTTATTTAATTATAAATAATCAACATATCTAAGTACTTAAAATATTTAAAAAAAATTAAGATTTGAGTTTTAAATATCAGACAACTTCTTATAGTCTCAAATTATTATTATTATTCAAGATAAAATAATCTCAATTATTACAGTGTAAAGTTTAATACTTGTAATTTTTTTTTTCTATACGATCTACTTTTTTTTTTTGTTGTCTGTCAATATATAAATGTTGTATACTAAAAAAAAATTAGTAAAAAATTTACTCGATAAAATCTCTAAGTGACATCTCAAGAGGTTTTCCCAGAAAATGCTTTGATTCGATTATTGTCTCAAGTGTTTTGTAATTCCTGTCACCTTCAAGCGCTCGGCAAAGTATTAGCTCAGTGTGTGTTGATATGAATATCATTAATATCATTATTAACCAGAGAAGTATTGATATGATGCAATTAAAAAATGATCCGCTAAAATAATTAAAGATTAATATAATATTAATATTAAAAAAAAAAAAACACACACACACACACATTTTTTTACTCTAAAAAACGTTATTATTGTATTGTTTTGATTATTTTAGGTAAACTTACCACAGTAGCGCGGTCCGTATTTTATTATCACTAGATGTACACCGACATATTAATGCGCTTACCAATAAAATCCATACAAAAAACACCAAAATAACAGTAGCTAAACAATAGATAGTCCAAAAAATTAATCCGATCAAATAATAGAGGAAAAACAATTTTTTATTTAAAAAATTATTATTATTATTATTATTATTATTATTATTATTATTATTACCGATTCCACTGAGCCATCTTGTCTCTTCAAATTCAAGAATATAAGGAACGACGTCACGGTGAATGTATTTTTTAATTGATTCAATTTTACGATTAAAGTGTGAATTACTTGATTCTAAATTACGAGTTTCATCGAATAGTCGGCCTCGAATTAAACTCAACTCTCTTCTTATTTCTAAAAAAAAAAAAAATATACTAATATATAAATATAAAATAATAATAAATCTTTTGATCCATCAAGAACCTTTCATGTTAGAAAACGTATATTAAATAAATCTCACATATAAATCCTTAAAGAGATAAAAAATTTGATATATTTATACAAGTATCTACTATGTACACAAACATGAAGATAATACTACAGGGTCGTCAAAAGAATGTCTAAAAATCATAAGAAAATAGTTTTACCGATGATAGAGAGAAAATATAATATATATTGCACCCCCAGGCGTTGTGTCAACATCAACATTATAAGAAGACCAATAGTGAAAGAAAAAAAAAAAACGAAAACGTTCTTACGGTTTCTGATGTCCAAAGTACTCCTTGAAATATGGTGAGGCACATACAAGTATTCCCCGCGTGCGCGTCTTGCATCTTCTGTCAAATTATCCCGGTTTATGCTGCGCAACCTCAGCAACCTTTCGTCCCTTAAAATCTGGAAAATTTAATAAATCTGTCAACTATTCAATGTTCCCGCAGAAACAGACACCAGTTCAATTAACTAATTTTTTTGTTGTTTTCTTTTTCTCGAGACATTTTTCTCGTTGTCACCACAAAATTGCCAATTGCTCTAGTTTTATCGGTATAGCGTTTAATTAAAACGATACTTTATTACTGCGTCTAATTTAGGAAAATTAAATTTTTCATGATTTCTGTTTGCTGTCTGTAACTAACTTTTTTAATTAATCAAATCAAAACTGTCTAAAAATTTATCCATAAAAACATGACTATAAAAAAACTATTTTTCAATTAAACCCAATCAAAAAATTTCTTGTGTCTTGCTATAATCAATTCTTTTTCACTATCTTGATTATCGACTTGGAACAAATGTACCATCAGATTAAGCACGATTACGATTCGTACGGCGCCACGATTTAAAGGCGGATTCTTATAGCTCTCGACAAAAGAAAACAAAATGAAAGATTAAAAATTTTTTGATATCTCGCTTAGTTTTCGAGACTTAAAAATCGAAAAATCAAGAAATTTTTTTTCACTTTTTTTAGCATATTTTTATAAATTTTTGATAAGAAATGGAAAAAAATAAATGAAATTTTTCGATATCTTGACAGTTTACGAGATATCAACACTTGAAGATTCAACAAAATGGAAAATTTATAAAAAAAATTTTGATTTTTCAATTTTATAAGTTTAAAAAAAAAATTTTAAAAGTAATAGAAAAAAAAAATAAAATAATAATAATAATAATAATAATAATAATAATAATTCTCTACATACGTAGATAAAACGTAATAATTATCAATTATTAGTTTATTAAGATAATTTAGTAGCCAGTCCGAGTAATAAGTGGAATGTCAGTCGGATACCTCAATGGGAGCTCGAACCCAATTTACTAAATAATTACGGATAACAAATATAAATAATGCTGTGAAGCGGGAAAGAATAGGAGTTACGGATAATTATTACGTGAAGCGTTCCAACATTCACGTAACAGGATAATTGGTAGGAAAGGATTGAGAAAGGATTGTGGAGAGGATCATCTTAATGTGAGTGTATAGAATATGCGAGAAAAAATTATTAGATAGCTCGGACTGGGATTCGAACCCAGAAACTTCCGAAGACATGTCGGCTACTCTACCATTTGAGCTATCCGGTCTATACTAAATTTCCTTTCACTTATTCTATATACGAAGGGTAATCGTGTAGCGCCTCTTCAACATGGTTTAAATGTGTATTTTTTCCTAATTAGTTCATCACAAACGCGGGTAATCGTCTAGCATCCTTCCAACATGGTCAAAATGTGTATTTTTTCGTAATTAGACCATCACAAACGCGAGTAATCGTGTAGCGCCCTTTTAACATGGTTTGAATGTGTATTATATTCGTAATGAGGCCATCACAAACGCGGGTAATCGTGTGGCGCTCTTTTAACATGGTTTTAATGTATATTTTATTCGTAATGAGGCCATCACAAACGCGGGTAATCGTGTAGCGCCCTTTTAACATGGTTTAAAAGTGTATTTCATACGTAATTAGACCATCACAAACGCGGGTAATCATGTAGCGCCCTTTTAACATGGTTTAAATGTGTATTATATTCGTAATGAGGCCATCGAAAACGCGGGTAATTGTCTAGCACCCTTTTAACATGGTTTAAATGTGTATTTCATTGGTAAGTAGGCCATCACAAACGCGGGTAATTGCAAAAAAATAAATTTTTATCAAAAAATCTATGAAAATATGTTAAAAAAAATTTTCTTAATTGTTCGATTTTTAGCTTCGATATCTTGGAAACTAAGCGAGATATCAAAAAATTTTGTTCTTTCATTTTGTTTTCTTTCGTCGAGATCTATAATAATCCGCCTTCAAATCGTGGCGCCGTACGAATCTTATCTCAGATTATAATTATCAAACTTTCAGCTAACTTAAAAAAAAAAAAAAATCATCAAATTCGGTTAATTACAAACCCGTAAACTCTTGGAAAAGTTGGTACCTTGTTGATTTGAAAGTTGATAACAAGACCATTAGTATTGATAGTAGAGCAGAGCAACCGATCTTGAGGATTCGAGCAACTGCTGATGACCTTCTCAAGGTCACGCTTGATTCCGTTCAATTCGCTGGTCAATTCAGCGGTCAACTCTCTGGCTCTTTCGGCATTCTTTATCAAATTATTTGCATTAGCACCGATATCTTGGCTGGCTGAAATACAAATAAGATAATAAGAGCTTTACAGAATTTAAAACACTTTACAAAGTTATCAAAACAGCCAATCGATTCTTGCAGTTGCGACAACAATTCCAAAATAAATTCCGATGCGCATATATATTACAAAACATTGTTTGTTTTTTATAAAAACCGATAATATTTCAAGGTAATGACAATTTAAATAAGGATCAGAGGTAATAAGGTTCAAATAAATTAAAATAATCTAAGATACTGATTGATTTATTCTACAATTAAATACATATATTTAAACTGTTTATTAACAATAACTTTCAATAAACATTATATGCTGACAGCAGAAAAAACTGACGATTTTACTGCTTTTTTTTATCATCAACCTTTTCTGCGACAACAGGATAGTACTCGTAACCAACAGGTTCGTCGATGTCGTAGAAAAAGTACTTATCTAGGTCATAATCACCTTTTTCCTGATCACTAGCAAGTTTTAGATCGTTTTCTAGATCTTTGATGATATCTGGATAATATTCGAAGCTGCTGAGCTTGTTAAAATTATCATCAGTAATATTTTCTTTCTTACTTGTCATTTGTTTTGTATTACCAGTAGGATTTTCTTGAAGATTAGCGATTTTTAGAACGTTGATGGTATCTACGAAGTCACCCATAGACTTTACATCATCATTAAGAATTAAATCTTTAAGATCTAAAGCTGGTTCTTCAAGATTAGCAACTTTAGGACTAACTAAAGCCTTATTCAGAAGGTCATTCACAGCTTTTACCTCTTCATCATCATTATTAGTTATTAATTTCACGCTTGATCCTTTATTTTTAATATCTTCATCATCTTTTGAAGCTGTTTTCTCCAGATCAGCAGCTTTTGCATCAACAAAGGTCTCGATCAAGTTTTTGATGATGCTTATATCGGTATTAGCTTCAACAATACCAGGATTAGCAGATTTTGCAACGTTAACAACTATTATAACATCAGCAATTGCTACTTTATCATCATCATCATCATCATCAACAGCAGCTAAATCTTGATAATCCGAAGCTGGTTCTTCAACATGAGCTTCTCCATTGCTTAAAACTGCGATAACTTTATTAAATATTTTTTTATCATCACTAATTGCCAGATCTTGATTACTTGAAGCTAAACTTTCAAAATTAGCAACTTTTGGGCCATTAATAGCTTGTTCGCTTTCAGGAATTACAAAATTTAAAGTTTCTTCAGCATTAGCTTCTTTTTTACCAGCTAAAAGTTTGATAAGGTCTTTGATGGCTTTGTCATCATCACTAACAAGGTTTTCGTTGAGGTTCTCAGATTCTGCAGCGTTGACAACCATTATGAGCTCACTGGTTGCTGTTTTATCATCACTAGCAGCTGAATCTTGAAGTTTTGTAGTTGGTTCTTTAAGATTAGCAGCTTCTTTATCATCAACCAAAGAAGAAAAGATGTCACTTAAGGCTTTTCGATCATTACGAGTTACTAAAGATTGATAATTTGAAGATGGTTGTTTATAATTGGCTGATTTTTTATAAATCAAAGTCTTGATAAGATCACCTAGAGCTGTCTGGACATTGTTATCAATCGCTTCATCGCTAATATTATCAATAGTCGTAAAACTATCTAAGTCACTATAAACAGTATAGTACGCAGAGACAGACCCCAGCGTAAAAATTAGCAACAACATCGTTGAATTATTACACATTTTGAGGTATAATAATAAATACCAGACTATCGCACTTTCATAAGCTTGATTAAATTTATAAAAATATTATCCCAGTGGTACGAAATATTATTATTATTATTATTATTATTATTATTATTATTATTATTATTATTATTATTATTATTATAACTTTGAGTTTATTATTTAGAAAACAGTTTTGCCCTTGAGAATTATCGATTTAATAATGTGTTATGATGTATCTCGGACATTGATAATGACTGATTATTTTTTTGGCTACGATTATTAATATTATCGATGTAAAAACGACAAGTATTTTAAGTCAAATTAATAATATATTTACAATTACGATAAGACATATTATTTATACTCGACAGATTCAGCAGCTGCACAGACTTGTTTACAATTCGCGAGTATAAGTAATAATGAATATTGATAAGTCTGATGGTATAAGTGATATTATATATGCTGGTTAGAATGATAATAAATAAAGTGATTTATTTTATAATTATAATTTTTGGGGCTACTGCGGCAACAAGTTGTCGCCATTGTAAGGATGAAACTGATGGGATGAGTTATAAAACAGGTGGAAGTAGTAAGGGGAATGATGGCCTTGTAAAAATAGATGCACTAACATACAATGAAAATTCAGAATCACATAGTGGTTCAAAAGAAGGATATCGAGATACTGACCCGAATAATTATCTTTTACATATTAAGGGACTAACAGCCGATGTGAATCATTCAAAGCATACCCATTATTCTGATGAATACTACATATTTCACCAACAAAGGATTGTTACAGTTGCAAGGATTCGAAAAAATCACCGGAAGGAAATTACGACAATATCATGGTGAAAATTCTGAAAATAGTACTGATAAAAGCAGTGACGGTTCTAATACAGGAAGTATTAGTTCAGAACAAGATGTATTAGGTGAATTAGGTGGATTAGGTGGAAATTTTAAGGAAACAGGAGATAGTTTATCTGGGGAAGATTTTTTTGTTACCACAAATTCTAACAAAACGGAAAATTTAATAATAAGTCAATTAGGAAGAGATGACTCAGATGATGATTTTAACCGTGAAGGAAACAGACTAGAAAAGGTGGGTCAATCTTGTAGCAAAAAAATCAAAAGAGCGACGAGTGCTACTAGCAGTGATGATGGCAGTGATTCAGATAGTAAAGGAAAAATGACCAATAAAGTTGGTGGAATGAATAATAACTTTGGCGATGTTGCTAATTTAGTCGATGGTGTTCCTAATATATTAGAGGGTATCACGGGAGGAAGTGGCTAAACTGAAAGTTTTTCGGGACAATGGTTCATCAGCAGACGCGATTACTCTTCAGGATAATACTTAATAAGCCTCTAAAAGTGCGATTGTTTCCATATCGATAAGTGTTCTGTCAAACAATAAAGTTAATAACTCATATAGCATGATAATTCAGGTTAATATTGTTGAAAATTGAACGCCTCCAACAAATGATGATGTGAATAACAACTCTATACTTTAATATCATCTTCATTAATTTAATAATATATTTATATATAAATTAAATTACGCGGTTATAATTATTCTATCTGTTTCAAATAATTTAATAACAATTATGTTAACACAGATTAAATTTTACACTCACCATTAGCAACATCCAGTAACTGGGTCAGCGTATTTTCCAACCCGGTTTCGTAGGACAGCTCAATTTGTACTGGCTTTCCCAGCAGCTCATCAATGTCTACCAACATTAACATTTGAGAAATCATCAATTGACCTCTAAAATAGTTTTCGCGTTACTCACTATCAAGGTCAGCCATAATCGCTTCGCTTGCAACATCTAGGCTTCTGGTCAGGCACTTGCGAAATTGTACAGTGGTACCCGAGTGATAGTTATTGAGATCATCAATTGCTTGGTCAATTGTCTTCGGGATTTTCTCCATACCCATGTTGGTCAGCTCGTTAAATAGTATCAAAACCGCCATGCCTAGTCTGAAAAATTAACCATATTTTAATTACTCATGTATGTTAACATTCACTACTTGCGATAAATTTTTTGATTTAAGATATATAAAATTTAATTTTTATTTAACTTTTATTGAGATTCTATTTTGGGAAATAAATAATAATAATAATAATAATAATAATAATAATCAGAGTAAATATCGAAAGAGTAAAGATGGAATATCAATAGATAATGTCAGTAAGTGAATAAAGAACAAATAGTTGGCGACTTACCCAAGTATAAAGGCCAATATATAGAGTACAAAAGTTAGGAATCCGGGATATTGTGTCGGCTTATAATCCTCTCTGATAGGACGACAAGCGAGCCAGAGTTCTGTGCCAGGAATGACACAAGCCAAAATAGAACAAACACCTACGAGGATGAGTAAACCGACCTCCATATGCATTGACTGAAACGGGAAAAAATAAATCTAACTTTAGTTTGTGAGGGTAAAGGTATATATTTCCTTGGTGGGGATGAGGATCGGTTGTATTTATTCCGTCTAATCTACTTTTACTCTATTTAACAACAATCTCAGTTTCTATGAATGCTAATAAAACGAATTTAAATCCCAAACTAGTTTATTAACAAACTACTAATAACGTTGGTGGCTTGGAGGTAGGTACTGGAGTCTGCATTGGGACACATCCTACAACTATTAGAAAAAATTCGAAAGGTGGACAATGATGACGTATTGGTGTTTATTTTATTTTTTTTTTTTTCTCTTCTTCATTGGCAAGCTTTGGTTTAATCTCACCTCTGTTATTAGTTTCGATATCGTTACGCGATTTTCTAGGATGTCTTTTAGTAAATCTATAAAAAGGTAAAGGAATTATTAGAATGATATTAACATTTAACACTTAAAAATTTCAAAACTGTTAATATTTTCATGTTAAAATTTTAACACAATGAAAAATGTAAAATAATAATTATTATTATTATAAACTTACCTGAAGGTACATCATAAGGCTGAACAAATTGAATAAACACATGTAAAAAATTAAAATAAAAACTATAATTGGCAGATTTTATGACGTCAGATATGTGAAAATCTTGATTGTATGGAATTTTTGGAAATTGTAACACTTGTTTATGAATATCCAAATCATGGTCCATTTTACGAGAATCCATTCCAGTAGTAAGATTTTCATTACCATCGAAACTTATTAGAGAAGATTCAAGAACACCGAGCGGTGTTATTATCGTTGTTAAATTATAATTATTGTCGTAGTTATTGTTGTAATTGTTAAAATTTAAAGTTTCATCTTGATATATGTACTCGGAATTAAAATCATCTGCAGCGTTTACATGTAGTAAGAGACAACAGGGTACACTTATTAATATCACTAAAACAAATAAGAGATTATTATTTCTAACAGTGTTAACGATAAGTAATTTTAATACGCATATCAATAACATATTATTTATTATATTTAAGGTGTATGTTAATTTTAGAAACAATAATATAAAATCTTAAATTGTTAACATTTAAGTGTTAATTGTGTTAACTTATTAACAAAAAAAAAAATATTATCATCTTCATCTTTTAAAAATAAAATAAAATTTTTTAATATTTCAACACCTTTTAACATAGTTAACTCAATTAAACCGACTATTTAATACAATTAATTATAAAACTATTTATTAATGGCGAGTATATTATAAAATATGACATTAATGTCCGACTTGTTAATAGCGACTGTTGAAAAATAGTTAACTAATATTCCCAGGACTTTAAAAGGTTTCAGGAAGCCTTTCAAACATGATAATATATAGAGTATGTAGGTTATTGATCGCTATAAATACTATTTAAACTAGATAAAATTAATTATCATTCTATTTGCCGTTTAAACTATTGATTCCTCGCTGTCTCTTATAGGCTTACAAAATCGAAATTCATCCACGTCTTATCGTTCATTTAATGATACAATATAAAATTGACCTAAAAAAGTTGAAAATACTTAAGACTTTTCAACTTTCAACAGAGAAAAGAGGAAGGTTAAAGAGGCGTGAAAGATAAAACAAAGTTTTAGCAAATCTCCATTACTGTTAATATTAAATTATTAACTTTGGTAATCTATTGCCTTACTTCATTCACAACTCATTATTTCGGGCTCGTCAGTCTCTAATATATATATATATATATATATATACCTATAACTAACACTAAATAACTAAATATCCATATATAATAAATAAACTCTTGAATCTCATTACTTGTTACTATTATACTAACTTTGGCATCTCATTTTGTATGATAATCTTATACTTTACGTCAACTAAATTTAACACAGATTTCCTACTCGTATCGGCTTTGTTCTACTGAATAATAAGATGAAGAACTAGATCAACCCAATATAACTTATTGTCGTAACTTATATCATTGTTATTATTTATCATTTATTATATATATATCTATAGTAATTGAGGGGAAAAAAAAGGTGAATGGTTTATGCTGAATCATACTCTCAATTGCATAAGAATTCATCTATCAATTTATATACCTAATACTTAATCCGCCTGATGGATTATTTACTTCGGTGAATCTATTGTCGAATTATTCCACATTGTTAATCAATTTTTACCTTTTACTCTCGATTTGTGAGCTTCAATTGAACTTGGCGTTATTATATAGTAACTGATGATTCAGAGACAGCAAATTTGAAATTAAATTTTTTTTATTGTTTATTTTGACAATCGATAGATTAACGTACATACACTTTTAATTTAATCTAGCTCCGGTAGACAATAAATTAAAATTAACATATTACTGTGTGTAAAATTATTAATTTATATATATGGTTTAAATTTTTGAATTACTCCATCACAAAAAAATGTTTGTTGATCCGTTTATATCTCTTAGCATTATTAAACGAAATCAACTGAAAAAAAAATCTCTCATAAACCATACTCACACCAACTCGTAATATTTTCAAAAGACTTTAAATCACTGAGGTTCCTCCTGATGTCGCCCCTCGACTAAAAAATAATAGATAGATATGAAGACAATGAGGCTAGGTCAGTCGTGCGTAGGTCGTGGCGCCGTTTTAAACTCATCGGTTAAAGTAGTGCGGTTTCATCACTCCCACCACACTTCACCCTTTTTCTTGGTTTCTCTTGGTATTGGGTTGAGAGACACTGAAACTACAAATTCATGACCAATACCAATGGTCCAGATCGTACCAGAGTAATAGTAGGTAGAGGAGACTATACCATCAGACGAGGATGGAAGTGAGTGAGAAAGCGGAAACGGAAGTGGCGGGAAAGGATGGGTTGCTGCGGGTGGAAAGTGTGGGAGATAGAAAGTGCCAGAGTAATATTCCAGCTCGATAGGAACTGGTAGGGGATGCTGGGGATCGCTAAATGCCCGACGGAATCAAATAAAATTCTCTAATTTAAAAAAAAAATAATAATAATAATAATAACGTTTATAAAAATATAAGTATAATTGTGGATTTACATTAGTTAATCGTCAGAGTATGTTTACGTTAGTATATATGTGACACATTCGCGCGCTATTTATACGTGTGCGCTCTACCGTCAAATTTTGGACTCACAAACGCCCATTCTCCCAGCCTAGTAGTTTTAGTCAGTGCGTCGTCAGACTCTGCGATGACGACACCTTTTTCGATTTTCATTTTTTCCCGAAATTATTTATGATAAGTGTTAAAAAATCTTTATTCTGTGTAAAATAGTGTTATTATTAGTAAAATTGTAATTTTTTTTTCTTTTTTTTTTTAGAAAATAAGGGATGTTTCTTCAAAAGTGGTAAAAATTTTAGCACTTTTAATGTTTAATGTTGAAAAATTTTTAAAAATTTTTCAATTTTTAAAAAGTATTCCACATATTTTCTATTTTAACACATAAAAATTTCCAATACCTGTTTTAAATTAAAAGAAAATGACATCAAGTGTTAACAAGTTTTTGTCAGTGGAAAGTTGTAATTTATTAACTTTTAAGAACGTTTAACACAAAAATGTTATTAAATTTTCAAATCAAATTAATATAGTTTAAGAGTTAACACATTAGGTTATAATTTATGTTAGAATTTAAAATCGTTAACACTTTTAAAAACTTTCGATCAACATTTATTAGTGTTAAATTTTTAACGTAAGTCGTTAGGAATAAAACAAAAGTATACAAATTGATTAAGATTTAGAAAATTTTCAATAGTTAAACTTGTGTTAAATTTTAACATTAATTTTTAACTCTAACAACAACAATTAATTAAATATTTTATAATTATTGATGTAGTGCTGAAATGTTAAAATTAATTTTTCAAGTGTGTTAAGTCGAAAAGAAGTTTATATAAAATTGGCTATGAGATAAGAGCTTTAATTTTAAAATTTTGGCTCAGTAATTTCATTTAACGCTTTGTTGTTAAAATGTTAACAATGATTTTTTTGTTAATATTAATTAATCATCAAATCATATTTTGTATAATGAAAAAATTCATCTGTTAAAATTTGACACACATAATAAAAAAGTTAAAAACAAAAAAAAAATTTTACCTAAATAAAAAAAAATTTTCCCGAAATATGAGGTTAGAAAATTTTTTTCTTGTCTTTTTTTGCATCGTTAAAATTTTTAACACTTTATTGGCCTAGGTCTACAAAAGGTTTGTTAAATAAAAATAATAATTTTATGTGCGTTAAAGAGACATTTTTTTATGACACCCGCTATAGAACGGTATATAAAATCGAAGGGTGAGGCGTCGAATGAGACTAAAAAAAAAAAAAAAAAAAAAAAAAAAAAAAATTGTTAAAGATAGGAAGAGAAAAACGGAAGAAAAGTAAAATAAAAAAATTGTCAAATGGTGCTAAGCTACAGAAAGAATAAAATAGCTACGTCAGTGTTAATGTAACTCTGAGTTGAATTGTATAAAAAATTCTAGATGTCATTAGTAAGCACTATCAAATGTTAAAATTAACATTTTTTAGCGATAAACAATTTCGATTATTAATTTTATTAAATTTTTTATTTGATGATTATGAAAAAAGTTTACAAAAAAAAATGGTAACAGAGCTCGAAAGAGAAAAGTTAACAGTCAGTAGCTCTTTTATTATTGAAGATAAAAAATAATTGGAAAAAAAGTTAAGGAAAAAAAAGGTTATCCATTCATTTTATTCAGTATGTTAGGACTCATGTCTGTGACACGTGACTCATGAATAAATACTTTTAAATATACCTACTGAAAGACGATAAAAGGGGTTGTAAAATAAAATATATAATAAAACCGTTTGAATAAATGAAATAAAAGTTTTAAATAAATGAATAAAATGCTGCTGAGGGGAATATACAAAATTCGATATTGTCTGTGTAGGAGTAAATAATTATCAAGTTATTTTTCTTTCCCACGGATCATAAAAATGCGGGTCCACCACTTTTTACTATACTGAAAGGAAAGAATTGGCAATTTATTGCTGGAATATGCGGGCTGTTGAATAAATATTTGTATTTGGGTTATAAAGTATTTTTATAAAATAATAGGATACTTGTGTTTGCAAGTTTTTAACTTCAAAAAAGGTTAAATTTTTATTTTTTAGCGCAACTTTTGGAATTTTGTGTAAGGAAGATTTTATAAAATTTTTTATAAGGTCTAGTGAATAATTTTCTAGAAATTGTATCGAATTAAATATTTGGAATATTTTAAAACAAGTTTTACTGTGGAAAGTTTTTAGAAAATAAAATTTTGTCTGAAAAAATCTTTAAGAAATAGTCCAGATAACGAGTCCCATATATTTTATAAAAGTCTCTATATAGAACCATAAGATTTTAGGAGTCGTTTAAAGTTAAATTTTTACAAAATTAGAGAAAAAAACAAATAGCAAGTCTAGAACTGAATTTAATTAACGAAACTTTCCAGACTAAACAATTTGTAAAATTTTTTAGAACTGACAATTTTTAATTAAACTTTTATAATATTGAATCTAAAATATGTTACAAAAAGAATCCTTCAGTTATTTCATAAAACTGACCATTAATTAAATTTTCTAGAACTATAACTTTCTATAAATCGTTAAATATAAAATTTTTACGGTATTTAAAAAAATAATTTTCTAAAAACACATTTTAAAAAATTCTTTAGGACCGTAACTTTCTATAAAATTTAGAAAATTAATCGAGTAAAATTTTCTAGAACTAATTCCTTGCATTAAAAATAAATAAAAAAATTTTCTGATATAATGGAAAAATGAAACATTCTAGAAATTTTTATTCTATCAATAAAAGGTGTTTGAAAATTTCCGAACAAAAAAATAGTATTTTAAAAATAATTTTTAATGATAAAAAAAAAAAATAAAAGAAAAAGGACGCTGTACTGACGTTCATTTGCATTCAATGTCTCAGTAGAGTATATGCTGAAAGAGAAATAAAAAATAAATTAACTAATATTGAAGGTAGTAATAGATAAGACCTAAGTAAAGGATATTACACTTTTGTTACCGTGCATCCACCATACAGAATAAGAATATTAAATGAAAGAAGAATAATACGAATAGAATACGAGAAAATTAGATTTCGCGCGAGTTTTCTAGATCTGACGGATTCTGTTACGTGTTGCTATAAAATATTTCCATTAAAATATTATAGAAAAAAATAAATTCATATTAAAAAAAAAATGATACCACTGACAATTTAATGGTTTACACACACACACACACACACACACACACTGTGTGGTTGTTGTCTGTATTTATTCGATATTAGACCAACACATAACCTTCTTACCGTAATAATTATACAAAATAATTATCTGATCCCGTGATAAGTGATCTCTGCGACAAGTGCGATCCTTATAAAAAATATTATTCATTTAAAAAAAATTCTTTTGTTATTATCATTGGCAATAAATCATAGGCTCGATAAAAATCAATTCTGATTGTCTGAAAATATTTAGAGCAATAATATGTTTTATTCATGAAAATAAACAGTAATAAATTCGGCGAAAAATCTTTAATTCAAGCGCTATCGAATTTTACTCCAATAGAAAATGATAAAAATAAAAAAAAGGGATATTCTTAGCTAGCTCGTAGTGTAATTTATGCATTGTCTTTCCAACGTTGTCCTTTTACAACAGTTTCCCGGAAAATCCCTCGGATAATAAAAAAAAAATCTTGGAAAATACACTCGGGCATATAACTTAACTTGACCTCTCTCGCGAATTTATCAATTGAAAAAATTATTAGTGACATTAATTGATATTCGACCGAATGGAAGATAAATAAATCACAACTTTGTCAAATTTTTTTTTTTAGTTTCAAGTTCGATGCCCTCGAGAGTTGTACAAGTTGAAGAGTGTGACATACAGTCACACATCCCCCGAGAGCTGTTTTATTTTTTTTACTTTTTTTTTAAATCTCTGGGTTATGTGTAAGTACAGGGGTGAAAAGAAACTCCAGATACGACGTGATAGAAGTGCGATGACTAGACATCAGACTTTCGATACTTTTCCAAGTTCGGCTTGACACAAGTCAAGAAATCAGGATTACTTTTTTTTTTTTTTTTTTTTTTTTTTTTATTATTTTTATTTTTAAGACTACAAAATTATTATATTGAATAATTTCTTAAAGACTATAGCTCAAAGTGTTTTAGATAATTTCTCATGTTAAATCTTAAGTACAGTGGTGATTCATATTTGATGAATCGTTAACTCGGAGAAGAAAAAAAAAAAACATAATCCCGTTACTTTTTCAGACTTATTACAGTAGTAGATTAAAACTTATCAGCAGTTATATAACTTTAAATACAAAATCAATAGTTCTACTACAAGCGGAAAAAAGTCAGCTTTAATTATATGATAATGATAATAATAATTATAACAATGATGATGACAACAATGAAAATTAAACTATAGTAACATTAAAAAGATTACGCGAAATGGTTTAATTATGTAAAACAGTCATTGCTATAATTATTATAATAATAAAAAAGACTTCTCGCGTGAATTTTAATTGTTTAATTACTCGGTTATCGCCATCAAGTTCATTCGTATAAATTTATAGAGCCTCATATACCGCAATAAGGAAAAAATACTGAAAATTAAATGGGTAATATTTTTTTACGTTAAATTGTATTATTTTGAAAATTAAAAAAATCAGAAACACTTAACAGTATCAATATTTTAATACCGTGAAATAAATTTTCATTCTTGATGTTAAGTTAAAATATATTAGCGCTTATTAATGATTTTAAAATTTCACAAATATTATACATGTATATGTTTAAATTTTAACACTTATTTTTAAAACAAAATTCAAAAGAATTAGACTCTTTTGACTCAATAATTGTTTTAAAAATAATTATTATAGCGATGAAAATTCAAAAAAATTCCTTCAATAAAAAAAATAAGGTCAACTAATCCGACAATCGTTAATAATGAGAGGTTAGTTAACAAGAACGTTGGTTAAAACTCATCATCGAGTTATAGTTGAATTTACAGCGACGGAAATATTGGTAGAGTCATAAGTGCATGAAATATTAATTAATAATTAAAAAAAAAAAATCAAACTACGCAATTTTTTCTCCTCTATTTTGGATACTATTTTTTATTTGCGGTCTATTTACTTTTTACTGAGAAAGTTTATGAGATTAAGTGGAAAGCTCTCCTCGCCGCGAGGGCAAAACAAGTTTGTAAACTTTTGGTGGTTTTTTTTTTTTTTTTTTCATTTTTTTTTATTTTCGGCTTTTATCGACGACAGTGAAAAACCCTAAAAAAATATTGACCCATGTATTTTTTTTCTTTGACATTAGAAAAATTATAAAAATCTTTTGATTTTTTTGTTTGACAATAACTCGTTGAATTTTAATTTTATAAATAAACTACAAGGGACATTTTTTGTAGATTATAAAAATTTTTGTAGATAAAAGTCAAATGCAATTTCAACGTCGTATCTTCAATATTTACAAAGAAATTGCGAGTGCCGAAACATAAAACTCGGTTTTATGGTGGAATAATGAATAAAAAATGCCGATAAATTTCGGTAAATAAAAAAATAATTGCAACAGTGATCGTTGATGGTAGTGGTAATGGTAGAAAATTTGTTTGACACTGGTGGTGGTGGTAAGAAGACTCGGAAAAAAAGGAGGGGTGTAAGCTTAAGCTGAAACTCAAACAGAGGGCGAGCCGAATAGAAACTGAAGGGGAAGGAAAGGTATCTGAAGAATGTTAGAGCATCAGACACCAACTTTATTACCACCGGCACTCAACAACAGCAGCTGTTGGCCTACTGACGCTGGGCATAAATTTACACACTGGCCAACACCGGGACCTGGACAATTACTGCGCGCGACCTTGATACTTTTCTTGAGTATCGGAATTCTGGTCGCTAATTTGCTGGTCATCTGCGTTATTAACAGCCGTCGGTACAGCAAATATATCCATGCACAGGTGAGTGATTATATTATATTTATTGTTGTTTTTTTTTTTAAATTTAAAGGGACGGGAAAATTTTTTGAGGTTTTTTTTTTAAATTTTAAAATTTATTCCCCAAAAATAAATTGTTGGAAAGAGGGAGTTTCAAGCTTTTAAACGACTCGTAAAAAAAAAACTTTTTCGAATCGGATTATTAGGTCCTTAGTTATCGTTAGGTAATTAAAAAGTTGATAATAATAAAAAAATTAAAATTATATATCCGATAACTAAAAACTTTTTCCATAATCGTTGAAAAATATGAAATCCAAAATTGATTACAATTTTATTGAAAAATATAATTCACATTTTGAAAGCTAGCTCTCGGAATAAATGGGTATAATAAAATCAATTTGTTATATCTGGACGATAAAAATTCATATATAATAATAATAATAATAATAACTACTATAACAATAAATCTCTTAGAAATTTAAGATCCACGTCACGTAGAATATATATATATATATATATATATATATGTATGTCAGTTTAAGTATACTAGTAAACTACAGATATATGCTGGCAAAGGAAGAAAACTAGAAGGTGGTATATCCGAATGTATTTACTGGGCTGTTGGCATTTGCATATGCATGAGCAAAGCTGTAGAAAGTGGCTATAGTACAATATATGTATAGTGTATGTGTGGAAGGGTGGGTATAGAGAGTAAGCCGAGAAGATATGATGAAATGTTAGTAAGTCGATGAGAGGGAATAGACTGAGACATAAACTCTATAAACTATTATATGAGGGGATCATCATGAGGCTTACAAGAGCTTTATCCGCATTATATATGTGTAATTCGAATCTAAAATCTAAAATAGTTTATTCATTACACGTACGAACCCACCAAGAGCTTCTGATTATTATGGATAAAGTCTTTCTAATAAAGACTAATTGATGAGAATAGTTAATTACATCTATATTTTTAGTTTTTTCCTTTTACGATTGAGACAGAAACTGTTGTAAAAAATTTTGAGAAAAGTTTTTTTGAAAGCTTTTCTCTTATATAACTTAGTTCTTATAAAATATTTTAAGTATACCCTAATAAAATATATAATCTCTATTTTTTTTACCTACGTTTCAGCCAAAGTATCTGCTAACGAGTCTAGCCAGTAATGACCTTGCAATTGGCGTATTAGTGACGCCATTTGGATTTTTACCGGCAGTTTACGGGTGCTGGCCCTATGGTGAAGTGGTCTGTCAAATTCAGGTAAGTTAAAACAACGCAAACATCGGTTATAATAATAATAATAATAATAAAGATTATTATGATTATGATATTGAATTTTGAATATACAAGATTCAGTGATTTACATAGCGGTTTTATGGATTAATTTTGCTAATTCGGTGTTTGTTTAAGAGACATGCCTTTGCTTCTCTAAAACCACAAACTTCTTGGTTTGCTCGCTGGTTTTGTATGCTCAAGTTGATTTGACAGAACTAGAATTCTTGATTAATTATCTGATGCATATACTTATATATACCTATATAATATACATATTAATTGTTTTAGTTCCGAGACACATTGTTTGTCTTTGGTTTATATAAATACAAAGTGATTATAATAATCCTGGAAATATATGTAGTCATCATCAAAAGGATTTTTTTTTGTTATTATACCATTTACAGCCAACATAGAAGCATACATGATCAGTGATCATGTTGGAACGCTTCACGTAATAATTATCCGTAACTCCTATTCTTTCCCGCTTCACAGCATTATTTATATTTGTTAAAAATGCTAGCCGTAAGATGGACGGTGTGGCTTAATGTATATAGAATAAGTGAAAGGAAATTTAGTATAGACCGGATAGCTCAAATGGTAGAGTAGCCGACATGTCTTCGGAAGGTTCTGGGTTCGAATCCCAGTCCGAGCTATCTAATAATTTTTTTCTCGCATATTCTATACACTCACATTAAGATGATCCTCTCCACAATCCTTTCTCAATCCTTTCCTAACAATTATCCTATTACGTGAATGTTGGAACGCTTCACGTAATAAATATCCGTAACTCCTATTCTTTCCCGCTTCACAGCATTATTTATATTTGTTAAAAATGTGGAACGCTTCACGATTTTGCGTGAGCTATCTCACCTTTACATGTGATCATTGATCACATATAAAACTTGATCAGATATGAAATATACATGGTTAATGGTTATATATTATATATGACTTTAATATATACAAAATAATGATGATCATCATCGCATATATAATGCATATGCGACTACTTTGTCGTCAAAAATAAAATACTATCCAATAAACAAAAAGTTTTCAATTGTCTTTAAAAAAACAAACAATATATAAAAAGCAAGAAGCTCGTCGAGGATAAAAAAATGATAACGTCGATAATATAGTATAGCCCACAAGAGTATAAAATAAAATAAAATAAAAAGAAATAGATATTTATTGTTAGAATGAGTTTATTGCCACGTACATACAATACGATAGTATAGATAATATAAAAATTGACCGGAAGCCGTTTGAAGAGCTATTTCAAGGATATGTTCCGTTTCCACTTGACACTATATACTATACGGTTATAGATTCCAGTAGTATAGTGTAAGAATGCATGCTGATGGTGTACAACCGTTTATATTTTATTGGATACCAAAGCTTATACGTCACGCGTTGGTGTATCCTGCGGAAGCTCAAAATGCGCAGGATTATCAATGTTTTTTTTTTCTTTTTTTTTTTTTCTTCACTTTTATTGGCATTATACCAAATTTTCCTTTATTTATGTTGTTTGTCAAGTGAACAAAATTTTTATCACAATTACGTTTTTATCGAAAGTTTTATCGCAAATGCTATTAAAAAAAATCAAAATTTGGGGTTGACATATTGTCAGCTGAAATTCACGTATATATAATAATATATATTATATATTATATATACTTATAATCATATATATGACTATCTATTATATACACCATATGTGATCAATGATAATATAATGCCTTATTATAAGTGGTCAATGACCACTGTTTTTATATACATAATTCAAATTTATTATCTTACGATCATCATATATGCTTCTAATATATATATATATATATATATATATATATATATATATATATATATATATATATATATATAGAACTAACAGAATAACAACAAAATCGTATTGCGGTTAGTTGACTCAATTGTTAGCATGCGATAATCGTCCAATTTCACGTCTATCAACGCACAGAGATTGTATTGTACAGCAGGTTATTATTCACGGGATAAATTGACAATTTAAACTTTTAAACTTTTGTATTTTATTCAAAATGTGACAAAATAAAAACTTGACCATGTTATTGATCAATACTAACAATAGGTAACTTTACATACTTACTATTGTATAGTACTACATGCGTCAAGGTTGCATGGCTGTCATGTCTACGACTTGGATCGCCAGCATTGCAATATTTGGGAGCCTTGTTCTACCCAGTGGAGGATACTACTTTAACAGCTCGGGTCTGCTGGCTTGCGATCCATTTTTTGCTCGGCCATCTTTCAGGTAATTGACAAAAAATTTTCCAATAATACCTGAAAGACCAATAACTGAAAATTTATCAAAAGTTTTTCAAGTTTTTCTTGAATATTAACTAAAATTAAATAATAATAATAATAATAATAATAATAATAATAATAATAATAATAATAATAATAATAATAATATCAGTTTTACAGAAAATTTTATCCTTTATTAAAAAGTTGCGATGTGACGTTTTCATTGTTGTCGGTTTTTGTTGCCATGGTGATAGCACTTTGGCAATTGGCAATAACGGTTAAAAATTAATGAGTAAAATTTGTAAAAATATTGATTAATTAAATTGTCGAAAATAAACATTTTGACAGAAGCACGCAAAGCGCGTTCGATTTTCTATAGTAAATTAATAATTGTAGAACATCAAATTTTCTACAAGTTTTGTTCCGAACAATTTTTGATCCGTCAATTAGTTTGAACAAAAAAGTATACTTTGACTATAATAGTAAATTGATATTTTTCGAATTATTTATGAGAAATTAATAAAATACTTAAAAATCAAGCCTTAATTTTTTATTTTTCAAATTATTATTAAAAAACTGGACATGTATAATATTCATATTACATAAAAAAAAGTCCTGATAAATCCACGCGGTACGTGAATATCCAAGGCCCTTATATATGATATTCACGTGGCGTGATTTTATCAGGACTTTTTTAACTTGTGAAAAAATTTTTTTAATTGCTGTAATAACCAATTTTTGTTTCCAGAATCCTCGCGTGCTGTTGTTTCTATTTTCCGACAACTATGGTGCTCATGTATTGCTACGGCTCAGCATTTCATGTCAATAAATTACGATTAAAACGCGTTGTTTGCGTTAACACACCGGAAGTTGTCAGCAACAGTAACATTGAAAGGGTAAATATTATACCCAACTAGTATTTTTTAATTAAAACCGCAAAATCCCTTCTAAAAAGCGGCAAATTCTTCTAGAATGCTCTAATTATTTTATTACATCTTCCTGGACCTAATTAAAATTAAAATTAAAATTAACGAGTCCTATCTTAGGGGCAAAAAAAGGATAAACAATATTTGACTGCGGCTTGTCTATATATAGCCGATAGATCTCACACTGACTGAGTAAACTTTGTCAATAAAGTACATGAAAAGCTGTCTGCTAAATGATTAACTTGATATCTGACAAGACATCAGTCTCAAGTAATAGAAAGTCCAACTCTCAAGTATTCATTTGAAACTTGATAGCTCCTTCTATAAACTATAATAATCGATATGATATCATTTTGTGACAATTTTGACTGAAGTAACTTATATAGTGATGTATAGGCGCATTGTATCACTGAACTACCTATATATAATTAAATTGTCGACATGATTTTATTATGCAAGTTCGAAAAAAAATGATTATTTCTTAAATGACTCTTATTGTATACGCATCTTATATACAAAAGAAATTTACTTATTTTATTTAGGAGTGTATTTTATTTGGTCCATTGATTTTTGCAGAGCAATAAATGCAAGACCTTTTTACATTTACTTTTATTTCTTTGCCCACAGTTTTTATTTTTATATATATATATGTATATTTTTTTTTTTTTACATTTTATTTATACCAGAACCGGGAGGATATAAGATAGTAAAAAAAGTAAATAAAATCTAAAAAGAAATGTAAGATTGAGGAAACGATAAAAAAGCAGAATGGTGAAAGCTTTAGCGTTTTTTTATTATTTTCAACTACTTGATTTGAATCAACTAAATTTAGCAGCCCCTTTTTGTCTACAGTTACTTTAAAATGACAAATTCTATAAGGACAAAATTCCTCGATATGTGAATAATCCATAGCACAAAGGAAAATGCTCACTGAAAAATAAATAAAATAAAAAAAATTTCAGCTAGTAGCACACGAGAGAAGACTGTCAACATCAGCCTCGAGAACAATGGCGGCAATGAGTCTTGGTTTTATTGTGATGGTGACTCCATGGACAATACAGGAAGTTGTGGTCGCGTGTACAGGAAGCAAACCGCCGCCATTTCTAGACTTCCTTGCCACGTGGCTCGCGCTGTCAAATAGCTTTTGGAATCCATTTCTCTACTGGCTTCTCAACAATCATTTTCGGCGCATCTCACGCGATATTATCAATACCAAGGTAATTCCATTTTTCAATTAGTTATTTTTTTTACGATTCAATTATCGAAACGAAAGAAGGCGTTCAATTCATATATGACGTTAATAAATAATATCCGTGGAAAAACTTAAACGAGCTTTAAAATTGAATGGTATATAAATAAAATTTGTTTCTTGTAATGTTATTTTTCATTAAAATTAATTTTCAAGAAAGTACGAGCACCAAGACAACTTTTGATAAATTTTTTAATATCAAGTTTAAATATGTCTAAACAAATTCCGAAAATTTGAAAGAGATTGCCCGTTTATTTACACAAATAATTAACTTTAAAGTTGAGCAATTTAACATTGGTCTTATATATGATGGGTTAACCTCGTCGAAACATTGATACATTTCTGTATTTTTTTCGTAAAACTGTCGGTGAATATTTTTAAAAAACTTATGGATGAAAGTAAATATATTAGTGATAAATTTAATTCAAAAAAATGTACACTTGCCCGACTAATTAAAGTGTATTCATTAAAAGAAAAATAAATGCCGCTATTAGCCAATGTTAAATGTATATCTATATATTGAGAAAAATCATATGGTTACTGCTCTTTCCTTACCGCGCTATTAGAGTCGATACCTATAGGTATATCCCGACCCTGCCTAACGTTTATACTTTCTTAAATTTATTCTGGTAGTCTACGGATTATTTTTTTTTTCTTTTTTTTCTATTGATATTGGATATAAAATTATTAAAATTGTATTCTAATATATTTAAATGTATTATATTAATAGATAGAGCGGCATTTTTTTCCACCGTAAGTAGCTGGATGTTGACGAACTGGTATATCTAGAAATTTTTTTGACAATAATTGTAAATTATAACAATATATAATATAATATATAATGCGCTTATATCCACTTTAACGATTTGTCCTATTTATACAAACACACAGACGCACATACACAATATTTTTAAAGCTCGTTGCTAATGTAGGTCTCATAAAGTGATTTATGTGACAGTGAATAATGTCTCTGTCCTGTTCATAACGATTCTACTTGCATTAATACTATCGTATAAAATATTTATATATATATATATATATATATATATATATATATATATATATATACATTTGCTGTTCACACGTGAGCAACTACCGAAAAAAATTCAACATGGATTTTGTATTGTAGGTATATTATAAAAAGCATTACCGGAAACTGAGAATAGGGTTTTAAATTTTAAAAATGGTCAATGTGAATTGCGACATTGTTGTGCTGATTTGGAAATAATTAAAGTTTTAATTAAACATGGTGACGATGTTCCAGTTAGACAAATGTTTAAATTTTTGTTGAAATTTAGACTTTATTAATAAAATTTGAACAATTCTTTAAATCACAAATAAAAATTATCATTTCAGATTTTCTGCCGGCGAAAACAATTGGGTCCAAACAAAAACTGCTGTGCGACTAGCACCGGAGGACTAGACGTCTGCAGTATCGGCGGCTTCGATATTTCAGGTAGTATTTTCGTAGAAAAAAAAAAAAAAAATGATTGTTATTGAATTCGGTAAAATAATGAAAATCAAATTTACTTTGAAGGTATCGATCGATGTTCGATAGATCATTCTTCGCTAGCACGGTGTTCAACGCCGTCATTAGTGACTCCACCCCTACCTTGGGAATTAAATTATCAGAGCATCGTCGGGGTTAATGAATTATCAATAACGTGAAATAGGGATGCCGCCACGCAAACCGAAGAAATTCTATCTTCCGATGACGATGCCAGTTAGATATTTCTTCTTTTTTTATTTTTTTTTCTTAATTTTTGCGTGGTGGCGTTATTATTATTATTATTATTATTATTATTATTATTATCATCATTATTTTTTTTTTAATGCGAATATCTAATGAAACATACAGTATTAACAATAAAAAAAATTTTTTTTTATGTCTTTTTAGTCACAATAGCACTGCCTTAATTAATGAAGAAAATAAGAAAATAAAAAAAATTTTCATTTTCAAATATACTGTTGTTCATATTAGTAATAATTATTATTATAAAAACTACATAATTTTAAAATAAATGTTATACAATTACTCAAGCGAAAATACACGCACCATTAGATGTAACCATTCTATTAATAAAACGATCGCAATGAAATAAGATTTGCTAGAAAACTAGAAAAAATACAAAAAAAAAAAAAAATTAAAAGCGCTTTTTGTAAAAAATAACTTATCTTTTTTAAATTCAATTAGTTATATATGTAGGCAATAATCGAAACATATTTACGTATTGATTGATTAATGTTAATATCGATGAATTTGAGTCATTTTACACAACTTTGTTAATTTTGCTACTAATGTTGATAAAAAAATAAAACAACAAAGTAAGTTTAAAAAGTTTCGAATAATTAATGTAATTATAATTCTCGATAAAATACTCTACATGTAATGTGATGTAAATTTATCGATTTTTTGTAGAATGAGATATATGTACACGAATAAATTACAGTATAAATAAATTTAATTAATCACGTGGTTTTACACGGTTTAAAAGTATATGTATTTATATATATGTAAAAAAAGATAATAAAAATTCTATGTGAAATTTTTATATCAATTTATTGACTTCCCCTCTGATAGACCCGTATTTGTTATTATTATATATGTAGATTTAACCGTAAACTTCAGATTTGATATTAAGAGCTTCAATTTCCAGATAATTTTTTAATCTATTACTTAAGAACCATGAAGACTCCTCGGAAAATTTTAAAAGATCCCTGATAATAAGAAATCTCTAAAATCTGTCTGGAGATGAGAAAAATTTTATCCAAATCTTAGCAAATTGATATCTTTTTTTTTTATCAACACTTCACCTTACCATATCATTATCATCAACAAAAAATTTTCCATCAATAGCTGCAATCAATTTAACAATAACTTATCGCCAACTCTATTCACAGAAAAAAAGAATTATTTGTCTCAAATAAATCAATTTATTTGAGTCATTTTTTTAAATGTTTCTTTGTGACAACCATATATATTTGGTACAAGTAAATATAACAGTTGACTCGAATTATTTTATTATTTGTCAGAAATATATCATTTATTTGTGGTAAAGATGCTAAGTTTATGGTAAACAACGGCATCTTTGAGGGTACCAGTCAAATGTTGAATTCTCAACTACTGCGCAAGCATATTCTTCGGACGTCACCCGAACTGACTCTCAAGTGACCGCCATGTTCATTAAAAACGTTTGTTGTTTTTTTTTTTTTATAACAGTGCGTATTATTGTATGTATGAATTCTCAATTTTCAATTTTAAATAATTCATAATAGTGATCGAAGCGATGGAACAATTGTTAATTAATTGTTTAACTGTCGGTTTAAATGATCATTTAAAAGGATACATAGTAATATTACCTGATAAAAATACAACTGAAAAAATTTTAATTTTCAATATTAAAAATTGTCTTCGTCCAATAAAAGTGCATGTTACAGCTGAAGGCAACCATATTATATCTAAAGGTGATTTGAATTTTTAATTGTATTTCTGTTCTAATAAAATAAATTTAAAATTATGAATTTTTTATTAGCGCTATAATAACCTAAAAATATGTACAATTAATTTTTAATATTTTAAAATATGCATTATTTGCGTCAACTATCATTTATTTACCACAAATAAATCATATCTTGACAACAAATAAATCACTTATTTGACGCAATTAAATAGCTCAAATATATCGTATATTTCTCACAAATAAATATATTTATTTGGCCATATCCAAGTATACAATATCTTTGGCTCAAATAAATCTTATTCAGTTCAAATAATTCTTTTTTTCTGTGTTGCTATAACCTATAACGATATATATTTTTAGACAAATTGATAGGAATCTACTGATGCAAGTTATCGCCGTCAAATGAGCTACAAAATCCGGCAGTAGATTTCTCCGAAATTACCAGATGCCGATTTCTATCCTTAATTAAAAAAAAAAATCTTTATTCAAATAAATTACATCAAACAGTTAAGTCTTAACCTAATATCTACAAACTAATCATAATCATCATCATCATCATCATCATCATCATCATCATCAATTAGAATTTTTCTTCCCTTTATTCTTCTTTCCCCTTCCCCTGTTTGTATTTTTTTGTTTAGATGTCTGCCTGGGCTTCCGTTGCTGTCGTTCGCGTACCCATTCTTGATACTCGTTTGGATCAGGTCTAAGCTTATCAAACTCTTGTTCACTAAGCAGCTTTCCATGCTCACCATGATAGTGAATATAAAATTTATCTTTATTCATCCAGAAGCAATGATCAATGCAAATCGACTTCTTGCACCTGAGACACCTAATCAGCGTGGGCTTCTGACAATCACCAATTTCACATTGCTTTTTTCTTTTAAACATCACATCATTGTCCCTAAACGCCCAGTCAACAGCATTAGTATACATTTCATTTCTGTCCCGGACAAGATAATTGCAATCATCCCAAGACTTTACTATTGCCTGCCGCCATTTCGGACTACTAAGCTGGTTATGAGTAAACGCCTGAATCATCAAGATATTATTCCTTTCATACACCGGAAACTTATCATTGTCATGATTATTATAAAACCTGATCTCCCTCTGGAACTCCTTGACGTAGTGCTTCCAACCGCGGAAAAAGTACTGGTCGCAAGGCTGGAGCATACTGGTCCACCCACCAGGAATGTGCCGTATAGTAACTTTATCAGGTGTCTTATTATTAATCAGCAATTTTTTCAAATCCTCCTTCTTTCGAGTAGTAGCAGCGTCCAGCAACAAAACAGTTTTCTCCCCAGTCGCAGGCAAGTAAACTTTCTCGAACCACTTGTTGACAATCGGGCCACTAGTCTTTCCACCTTTTCCCGCGGTAATAAACAGATTTGGGCTGGTAAATAGCTTAGCGGCGACATTCGGGCCAATGTATCCGGTCTCCTCCCTTAGGACAATCAACATGCGAGGTAACAGCTCCCCTGCGGCGGAAATTGTCGGCATTATTGTGTAAGAAGTCCTGGTCTTATTCTTCTGATCAGCGATCGTCTTGACATCCTTGACGCCCATTTGATCCAGCGTTCGCTTGTCGAAGAACTCATATTGGTATCCACTTTCATCAGCATTGAAAACATTTTTAGCCCCAAAGACCTTGATGTCGTTTTCGGTGTCTTCAATGAACTTGGCAGTAATGATTTTATCTTTGATCCTATTCCTGTCTCTCACGCTGTAAAGGTAGTGAGTGATCTTCCTTGAGACAATCGAGTGCCGCTTCTTGAAATAATGCAGCCAAGTTTTAGTTGCCTTGAATTCCTTTCCAGCAAATGTGATGTTTTTTATGTTAGCGACGTCTTGCGCGACTTTTATCAGGTCCTCGCCTTTTACTGGAAGGTAGCTGTCCCGCCTGCGTCGGAACTCACCGTAGACCAAGCTATCTAGTAGATTTTTCCGGTCATTCTTGTTGAGCTTCCCTCCGCGTCTTACATCCAGGACGTAAGACTTCCACTTTGATAGCACAGGGACACTTTTTAAGATGCCATCGGGCTTAAATAATGCGACTACTTCCTTCTGACTGGCACCGGAGTACAGCAAGTAATCCACTACGGCTTCTTTGTACCTAAGGTGCGTGATTTTCCCTTTCTTTTTAATTTCCTCTTTAGCTGGCTGTTGCTTGGTTTTTCTATTTTTTTTCTTTTTCTTCGCGACCTTCTCCTCCAGCTCCTTATGGAGCTCCAACAATCTAGCTCTTTCATCATCACTGATGTCGGCGTCAGTCATTGTGGTTGATATTTCACTTTTTTCGATATCTGAATTGTCCTCACTTTGCTCAGAATTGCTGTCCGACTCGAAATCGGAGCTTGCTCCGATCGTAGAATCAACGTCATTCTCATCAGGATTCAATCTTGAAGTTCCGTCGTTGGAATCTACATCCATGACTTGATCATTAGCATTAGAATTTTTGTCGTTCATTCTATCGATGTTTCTTTACTATATAAAGATAAATAAATAAATAAAAAAAAAAAAATAAATAAATAAATAAAAAACTGACAATATCAATCATAAATCATTCGTCTTAGCAGTTTGATTAATCGTTTTAAGTGAAATGCAATGAGATCGCTTGAACAAAAGAATCCACGATCGTGAAGCTACGAAATTTTTTAATTTAATCGTCTCATTGGCTTCTAAGGCCCAATTGCAAAAGTTTTTATCATGAACAACTTGTTTACCAGCGACAGTAATAATCTTGAATTTGTCATAAACGTGCTTGGATATCATTTTAAGCTTATCAAAGCGCGTCCCGCTATTTTTTACCGCGCGCTCCCACTGGTATAATTGTGATAGTGATTTAATAAGAGGAAACATTTGTTTTACAGAATCGAAGCTACGTGATTTACAACGGGGTTTTTTAATGTCAGGCTTGCAATCACGCCAGTAATTAACCACTAATTTTTTGTATTCAAAGTCAATTTGCGCTGAGACATCTGAAGATGGTTCTAAGCTTGGATAACTTTTAGATGGTTTCATTTTTATGATAAATCTTCTTACTATATAAAAGCGATAAAATAAAATAAAATTTTTTCTACAGATTTTTTTTCTTTACTATGTAAACGAAAAATAATTTATAAAATTACATTGCTGAGTCATTCATGATTCAAGAATTCTTAAAGCATTCTTTGTAATTTATAATTTTTTTTTTTTTTTTAAATCACT